TTTTTTCTCGAGAATTAGCCTGGGAATTGTCTCACTGATCTGCTGAAACAGAGAGTGATGACGTCGGGGACGAGAATGCCGACGTGGAGGGAGAGAGAGAACAACAAGAGGAGAGAGAGACGACGGAGAGCAATCGCGGCGAAGATCTTCACCGGATTGAGACTGTACGGTAACTACGAGCTGCCCAAGCACTGTGACAACAACGAGGTCCTGAAAGCACTCTGCAACGAAGCCGGCTGGATCGTCGAACTCGATGGCACCACTTACCGCAAGGTTCGTCTTTACGATTTCCCGATCTCATTTTGCTCTGTTTTCGTAAGAGATCAAAGTTACTGGTTTTCTTGCTAACGTGTTCCTGGTAGTTCTTTCGGCGTAGGTTAGCAAATTAGAGGATCGTTTAGTCAAATGTTTGAATCTTTTTTATTATGCGTTTTTAATCTAAAAGAAGATTCTCTCTATCTCTCACCACTGTCTCATGTTTGTTTGACTGATTCACTTGTGTCAAGAGGTCTAGTCTTTTTCTCAGATGATAAAGAGAAAAAGCAAAGTAGCATAGATCTCAATAAAACTGTCCATTGCACAGACTTCAAAGTGTACGTTTTGTGATCTGTAAGATTTTTGGGAAAAGCATGTGACCACTTTTGCTTTACTGTCTCAACACAGAGAATTTGCTAATGTGAAACTAGGAAAATGACTTTTGCTGTTTCAGTTTGTTTTCACATTAACAGAATCAAAACTTTTGAACTAATTCTTGACATAATTTTTTGGTTTTTCAAGAACTTCTTTGTGATCATGTTTATTTGTTTGTGATTTGTTTCAGGGATGTAGTAGACCTATAGAACGTATGGAGATAGGTGGTGGCTCAGCAACAGCGAGCCCATGCTCTTCTTATCAGCCAAGTCCATGCGCTTCTTCTTACAATCCAAGTCCAGGCTCATCCAACTTCATGAGCCCATCTTCGTCTTCTTTCGCTAACCTCACCTCCGGAGACGGCCAATCACTCATCCCCTGGCTTAAACACCTCTCAACAACATCGTCATCCTCAGCTTCTTCATCGTCAAGACTTCCTAATTACCTCTACGGCTCTATAAGCGCTCCTGTAACACCTCCTTTAAGCTCTCCGACAGCTCGTACACCGAGGATGAACAGCGATTGGCAACAACTCAACAACTCTTTCTTTGTCTCTTCAACACCGCCTAGTCCCACGAGACAGAGTAACATCCCTGACTCTGAATGGTTCTCCGGGATCCAGCTGGCGCAAAGCGTTCCAGCTTCACCGACGTTTAGCCTCGTCTCGCAAAACCCGTTTGGAATCAAAGAATGTGGAGACGGGTCGAGAATGTGGACGCCGGGTCAGAGCGGGACTTGCTCACCGGCGATTCCTTCTGGTGCTGATGTTCCAATGTCGGAAGCTGTTGCTGCTCCTCCAGAGTTTGCGTTTGGGAGTAACACAAACGGGTTGGTGAAGGCGTGGGAAGGAGAGAGGATACATGAGGAGAGTGGTTCGGATGATCTTGAACTCACTCTTGGAAACTCAAGCACAAGGTAACTCTAGTCACATGTACATTTCTTCAAGAAAAACCGGTCCGACCAAACCATTCTCAGTATGTTGCTTCGATTTTATTTCAATTTCTTTTTGTCATGTAAGGCTCAAAGCCTCAATCAAAGTCAAAACACAACTTTATATATTCGTTTATTTGTACCCTTTTGATTGTATCGTAGTATGTCACAGCCTTATTTAATCGTCTTGTTTCCCAACCCACCCCGGTTAATCAGCTAACCGGGTTCAGATGGTTGTAATCAGATTATGTTCTTTACCTTTGCGGTTAATGTTAACAGTCAACGAAAAGCAAAATCATGCTTTCATTTTATAGCATCATAGACGCTTAATCACGAGTCACGACACAATAAGGTTTTTGCAGGGGACAGAGAAGCGTCAGCCTCTGTTTATAACGGCTACAGATTTCATTTTCTGACATGGGTTTGATTTTCTTCTTCTTGGTCCTTAAGACTTTTCTTTTGTAACTCAGAGAGGAATATGGGTGACGTATGTGTATCCGTATGACTATGAGCTATAACGATCACATGGGAATGGGATAAACAAAGCTTTAATAAGTTGTGGTCAATGCACGTACGTTTAACTGAGGAATGACCACATTTTATCCATTAGCATTCTGCCACGTGTATACTTGTTTTATTGAAAACAGCATAAAGCTTTTTTACTCATAAAAAATTGTATCCATTTAGTATGATGTAAAAAAACACGTGAATTGTGGTTAATAATAGTTTGTTTCTAAATAACTGAAGTTAAAAATCATTAGAGAAGTTTGAAAAAAAAAAAAAATCATTAGAGAACAAAAAACAAATTGTATCAATTTACGATGTATACAATCGAACCAGCTTTGACTATATATGTATTTGAAAGACTCCGAATTGATTGAAATTAAACTTCGGCTATGAAGTTCTAAGGTTTTTATAAACGTTGATATTTTACTTTATCTACTAAATCAAATTGTATTTGACTGTATCTTCCCCTAATGGCAAAAATCGCGTAGATTCATTTTTATTGAAAAGAAAAAAGCTTTAAAAAGTATTCAACATAAGGTTATTATTATTACTTACCCAAAACCGTAGATGGTTTGAATATTAATTTAGACAACCAAACAGTCATCCCACTACGTGAATACTTGTCTATAAATACAACAATTTAGCTTTGATATCATGTTATAATCGTCCTTTCTACTCTAACAAAAAAGAAAGAAAATGGAATTCCATCAGTTCTTCTTCATCCTTCTTCTTGTTTCTCTTGTTGAGTTATCAGATCACAACGCAACTGCTCAGGAGGATAATGGATCAAAGTGTAACATTTACCAAGGAAGTTGGGTTTATGACAACTCTTCTAAACCTCTTTATGGAACATCGACTTGTCCGTTCCTCGGACTGGACTGCCAGAAGTTTGGTCGGCCAGACAAGGACTACCTCAATTACAGGTGGCAACCCACCGGCTGCGGCATCCCAAGGTGATAATCGCATTCATTTATCTAGTACACAATATACTTGAATTATTGTTTCAGAAATTTGTTTTGTGAAATCCGAATAACCTGATCATAAGTCATAACAATGCAATCGCATGTGAAATCATATAAAGCGACCTTAGAGATTTCCCATGCACTCATTTAGAAATAAATGGTCCGGAATCTTGAACGTCACTAATGAACATGTGATACATTTGTTAAACGTAACTTTTTATGACAATTTTAATAATTGCATATTGATTCAAATTACGACTTGTCATTAAATAAATAATTTTGTTAACATAAGAAACATTATTAAATTTTGTATAGTCTAGCAATTTTCATTATAATTGTGTAATAAATATTGTGATTGTCATGTTTAGATCTTCAAAGTGCAAAAATACACAGCCCCCGATTTGAATGAATAAAGTAATTTAATTAACGGGTGAGACGTATTTGTGGAATGGCAGATTCAACGGACAAGATTTCTTAACGAAATTCAGAGGGAAGAAGATACTGTTCGTGGGAGATTCACTGAGCAACAATATGTGGAGGTCGCTAAGTTGCATGCTTCACGCCGCCGTTCCAAACGCTAGGTACACCTTCCAAGTCAGCAAGCTCTCCACCTTCACCATTCCGGTACGTTTAACTCAAACCGGTTTACTTCCAATTCATGTTTATTTTGGATTCGGTTAATCAAACTTATCAATTGAAATGATAGGAATATGGAATATCGGTAGATTTCCTGAAAAATGGGTTCCTGGTGGATTTGGTAGCGGACAAAGCAAGAGGATTGGTTCTGAAACTAGATTCCATCAGTACCGGAAATCAATGGTTGGGATATGATGTTGCCATCTTCAACACTTTCCACTGGTGGTCTCACACCGGTCGTGCTAAGACGTACGTTATTAATTAATCATCTCATGCTTGAGCTTAGTGTAATCACATCACATATTCACATAACAAATGTTAACTAACTCAATGATGATGATGATTATGTAGATGGGATTATTTTCAAGTGGGAGACCGATTTGTGAAGGAGATGAATAGAATGGATGCTTTCAAGACTGCTTTGACAACTTGGGCTAAGTGGATTGATCACAACATGGATACTTCAAAAACTAGGGTTTTCTATCAAGGAGTCTCTCCCGTGCATGTCAAGTTAATCTCTTTCACACTCTCTCTCTCGTGATTATAGTTAACTAACTACTTAACCGGGGATTAATTTATGTTGTGGTTGCTTGGTTTTTGAAGTGGTGGTGAATGGGGTAAACCGAAGAACACTTGCTTGGGTGAGACGGAACCAGTGAAAGGACAAAGTGAGTACCCAGGACATAACGAAGGTGAGGCTATAGTGAAAACTGTGCTCAAAGGGATGGCTAAATCGGTGAACCTCCTCGACGTGACGGCTATGACGGAGCTGAGGAAGGACGGTCACCCTTCGATTTATGCCGGTGGAGGCCCTAAGTTAAATGACTGTAGCCATTGGTGCCTCCCTGGAGTCCCTGATGCTTGGAACCAGCTTCTCTATGCCGTTCTTCTCGTCAACTAGTCTTTTTCCTTTTTCAAGTTGAAATACAAACATACTTAATTAAGCTTTACTGTCTCTTAATCTCTATACTTAAAAGCTTGAGAGCAGAAATTACATATTTTTTTTTTGTCTTCATCCACATATCCTCAGAAGTTAAAACTGTGTGCAACATGAATAAAAAAGTCAATAGAGACTTGAGTATTGGTTCAATTGAAGCAAAACAATTTTATTTATTGATCATATAATCTTCTTACAACTTACAGATCATCAAAATGATCACAACAAAGAAGAAGCACAGAGTTCTTCTCATAAACTTAAAACTCAAAAGACAAGACTGTTTTGTTCATGGTCGATGACTAAGAGGATCAGAGAACAACAAGTTGGCAAGAGCTAGATAGTCTTGGAATAAAAAAAGAGTTCCTTAGAGGATGACATATTCTTCAACATTTCTAGGTTTATCCAAGAATAGAGTCAATTTCTTGAGGATTGTTGACTGGGCATGAGGCAGAGAGTCTTGGAGTAGTAAGGGGTCTTCTGAGGATGAGAGATTCACCTTCCTTTGTGGAATCATCCAAGCATAGTGTTGAGTTCTCAACAAAATAACTCACTAACCGGTGTTTTGAGGATAACAGATTCTCCTTCCTTTGTGGATTCGTCCATGGCTTTTGTATCTCAACATACTCAAGAGATGACAAGAAACACGGACGTCCAGATGAAATACTAATTCCTTCCTTCTCCGGGGGGTTTCTACAAGATTCCTGAAAGCACAACCGAATCCACAAACAAAAGTTTAAATATATATAAACACTTTCACCATTTGCATTATAACAAAGGAAATTCGATGTTCAATAAAAAAAAAATCCTAACCAAGAAAAGACGTTTTAATCTCGGGAAGCTCTCAAGAAAAGCTGGTAACATTTGCCACTTGTAGTCGGTGATACGCATGGAAGATAGGTTGGGAAATAGTGGCAGTGGTTGACATCTTAAGTAATCATAAATGACCTGAAAAAGAAACAAAAACAAAAATATCAGATATGTCTTGTATGAAAATCTTTTTTGAAGTAATAAAATAACAATCTTGAATTAGGTCACCTCGAGGGTACGTGAAGAGATGACCATATCTTTAGCAGTGGAGATCCCATTGAAGAAATCACGGATCATGTTTATCCTTGGTAGATCATTGGGATCGAAACTCCTTCCATAACCCAGCTTAAACACAATATCCATATCCACCTTAACAAGGGATCCAAGATCTTTTACTATGAAACATGGGACACATGTTGTATCATAGTCAGAGAGCTTGAGGTAGCGTAGCCTGGGAGCATCAATAGCAATTACTAGATCTTCACCAATAGAGTAGTTCTCGAAATGAGTGAGTCTCAATAGAGACTCAGAGCACACTCGGAAACAATTTATATTTTCGAAAGAAATCGTCACTAGAGACAAGCTTTCGAGAAGTGGAGAGCCTGAGATGAGCATTTCGAAAGCCAGATTGTTTGCAAACTTAACCCGAATGAGAGAGATGACTTTGAGACATGGTAAAAACACAAACTTGGGACTAAGCAAGGTTGCTTCACGGAGCTCCAAGGTTACCAAGCTCTCACAAGTGTAAACTGTTGAAGGTATGTGGGCTCCATTAATCGACCAATGATAGGCAATAACTGATAAATGTTTAACTCTCCGCTTAACAACATCGTTGATCCACCGCGTGACATGAGCACTACCTAACTGGTACTTTACCTTGAGATTTTCTATGCACAACTCGCTGTTAAAACCTAGAAACCTATCGACAAAACTCACAAAAGTGTTGTATTCCCGGAGATCATCACAGCTCAAGTCCAAACCAGGTACGGATCTCCAGAGATTTCTCCATCTGTTGGACAAGACACTAGTTCTAACCACATCCTTTGTCGAGAGTTTCAAGAGTATCTCACATAACATAGAATCTGGCAAGCTGCTCAGCCTATCTTCATTATCTGTTCCACTTCCATCCATGTTCTCTTGTCGGATGAAGAATCCAGCAAATCTTCTGAGAAATTCCATTGAGATTTTAGATAATCAGGGTTTCACTCCAGTGACTGCGTCCGTTTAGGGATTTTTCTTGGTGGAAAAGTTTTCAAGTCACGTATTTAAAAGTGAAACCCATTCGGTTTAATTTGGTTTAGTTGAATTCGAATTTTCACTTCTATTACCTGTGTTTTGATAGAGGTCAATATTTAAACTGATTGTATTTTTGGAAAGAAAGCTTATCTAGAGTGATGGAGAAAGTGTTTCAGAAGTGAAAAAAAGTAAGAAGATTTTAGTTTCTTAGAAGAACTTCTTATTACAACTTCTTGATTCTTAATTACAAAATGAGAGGGGGAAAGAGTTATTTATAGCCTCCACATTACAAATTATCTTAAATATTTTAATCCTAAATATAGAGTGTTTTTAACTAATATCTAGATTATTTTATTACAATTATCTAGAATATGTCTAAATATTTTATTCTCTATAATTTTCTAGATATTACAATTATTAAGGAGGTGGAAATCTAGATATTTCTAAAGAGGATTCTAGAATTTGGGCTAAGTATATATTAGATTTGGCCCAAATTAATCTTGATCCAAAATCAAGTTTACCTTTCATGTATTACCAAACAAAATGCTAATATATTTTTAAGATTGCTCTTTCTTCTCATTTTTTTTTTTTTGTTATTTCTTGTTTTATGATGACATTGAAGTGTTGAAGTTTCGTAAGAGAAACATAATGAGAAGAAAGAAAAGCACCAACAGATGTTGTCGTGAAAGAATGATTATGATGAAGATGAATATTTGGTTGAGAGAGAAATCAAGAGATGCAAAATTGATTCGGCATTTTAGATATTGTGAATTGATATGAGAATATAGGAGAAAACGTTTTAGTTTAACAAAGTTTAAGATAATCAACAAAATAAATATTTCATTCAAGTCATGGTGTGTCTATTTTTGCTAGGTCAACAGAACTTTATGTTGAAGTTATAAAAGTCAATAAAAAGTTGGGATAAATATGAATTTACAAGAGATTGTAGTTTCTTTGGCCACAATAAAGTTCGGGATTTTTAAGGCATTTTTTTCAAAAAGGAAAACTATAGAGTTAGGACTGTCGAAACCTAGCACTGTCGTAATTGATGAGGCAAAAAAATATTGAACTTAATGAACACGCTTCAGAAGATACTATTTAGAACTTTATGAGATGTATTACAACACCACGTTCACTCTTTTGTACTATTAAAGTGTTAATTAATCTTCTTAAAATTTCCAGATCATCAAAATGATCACAAACCAAAAATCATAAACTTAATTAGACAACACTGTTTGTTCATCGTCGATGACTAAGAGGATCATAGAACAACAACTTGACAAGTGCTAGAGAGTTACATTTCTAGGTTTATCCAAGAATAGAGTCAATTTCTTGGGGCAGAGAGTCTTGGAGTAGCAAGGGGTCTTCTGAGGATGACAGGTTCACTTTCCATTCTGGAATCATCCAAGCATAGTGTTGAGTTCTCAAGAAAATAACTCACTAACCCCGTCGATGGCCTTTGTATCTCAACATGCTCAAGAGATGACAAGAAACATGGACGTCCAGATAAAGTACTAATTCCTTCCTTCTCCGGGTATCTAGTAGATTCCTGAAAGTATAACCGAATTCACAAACAAAAGTTCAAGTGTATATAATACTTTCACCATTTTCACAAAGGAAATTTGTAGTTGAGTTTAAGAAATTACTAACCAAGACGAGAGATTTTAAATTCGGGAAGCTCTCAAGAAAAGCTGGCAACATTTGCCACTTGTAGTCGGTGGCACGCATGGAAGTTAGGTTTGGAAATAGTGGCAGTGGTTGACATTTTAAGTAATCATAGATGACCTGAAAAAGAAACAAAAAACAGTATAGTATTAGTGGGTTATCTGAAAATCTTTTTTAAGTAAAATAAATTTAACAATCTTGAGTAGGTCACCTCGAGTGTACGTGAAGAAGAGATGACCATATCTTCAACAGTGGAGATCCCATCGAGGAAATTACGCATCATGTTTCTCTTTGGTAGATTATTGGGATCGAACCTCCTTCTAGAACTAGGCTTAGACACAATATCGATATCCACCTTAACAAGGGATCCAAGATTATGTACTATGACATTTGGAGTTTCATAATCATAGAGCTTGAGGTAGCGTAGCCTGGGAGCATCAATTGCAACTACTAGACTTTTATCATCAGTATAGTCGCCAATATGGCCGAAGTGAATGAGTCTCAATAGAGACTTGGAGCACACACGTAAACACTTTACATTGCCACATGCATTCATCCATAAAGTTAAGCTTTCGAGAACTGGACAGCCTGAGATGAGCATTTGGAAAGCCAAACCGTAGTCGAACATAACCCGGTCGAGACGGATAACTTTGAGACAAGGCAAAAACACAAACTTGGGGTCAGGCAAGACCACGTCACAGAGCTTCAAGGTTACCAAGGTCCCACAAGTGTAGACTTTTGAAGGTATATGGACTTCACTAATCCTCCAATGATAGTCCTTAACTTCCAAATGTTTAACTTTCCGGTTAACAACGGTGTTGATCCACCGCGTTACATGATCATTATCAGAATGGTTCTCTATCTTGAGATATTCTATGCACAAGTCGCTGTTAAAACCCAGAAACCTATCGACACAACTCACAAAAGTGTTGTATACGCAGAGATAACCCCAACTCAAGTCCAAACTAAGTTCACATCTCCAGAGATAGCCACAGCTCAAGTCCAAACCAGGTACACATCTCCAGAGATGTCCCCATCTTCTGGATAAGACACTACTTCTAACGACATCCTTTGTCTTGAGATTCAGGAGTATCTCACATAACAAAGAATCTGGCAAGCTGCTCAGCCTATCTTCATTGTCTGTTCCATCCTTGTTCTCTTGTCGTTGTCCGATGAAGCATCGAGCAAATCTTCCGATCAATTTCATTTAGATAATCAGTCGTCGAATGACAGGAAATTGTACCCAGGGTTCCACTCCAGTGACTGCGTCCGTTAGGGTTTTGTCTTGGTGGAAAAGTTTTAAAGTCTCAAAACGGGCTTTATTTGGTTTGCTTGAATTCAAATATTCACATTTATTTATTCCCCGTGTTGATAGACTAAACCAAACATGTATGATGTTTATTTCGAAATTAAACCGAATGGGTTTCCACAAAATTAAACCGAAAATTCGATTTTTTTTTCATATAACCAGTAAACGAAAATTCGTAATATGTTATCTCATAGCATAAGCATTATAAGATTACAACAACTCTCTTAAATTATGTTATTCTCGAAAAAATTCAAAGACAAACTTGATATGTTTATTGGTGACTGATGACTACATAGAGATCATCAGAGAACTAAAACTTGGCATGAGCTAGAGAGTCTCGGAATGTTAAGGAGTTCTTTGAAGATGACAGATTCTTCTTTCTTTCTGGAACCCGAACCATCCATGCATAAGGTAACTTTCTTGAGGATTTTCGAGTTCTCAAGTAAGTAACTCACTAGTTTCATCTCCATGGCCTCTCCTTTCAATGGCCTTTTTATCTCAACATACTCCAGAGACGATAGGAGACACCGTGGTCCAGATATAACACGACTTCCCTCCTTCTCCGGATATCCACTAGACTCCTGCATGAACAACAAGAGGAAAGAACAAAGTTTGAGTATTTGATACTTTTACTACAAAGAAAGAAAGTAAAACAATCCTAACCACGACAAGAGACTTTAGATTCGGGCAGCTCGCAAGAAAGATTGGCAACATTTCCCATCTGTAGCCAGTGAATTGAACACGCAAGAAAGATAGGTTATTGAATAATGGTACTTGTTCAAATCTTGAGTACTCATAAATGACCTGCAACAAAATAAGTATCAGGAAAAGATAAAATTAAGCATACAAATTTCAAAACAGAGAATTGGAAGATAGGTTTACCTCAAGAGTATCGGAAGCAATGATCATATTTCTGACACAAGAGATAGCGACGAGAAAATCACGAATCATATTTCTCTTGTGTACATCATTTGCATCAAAATTCTCTCTTAAATCCAAGTTAAACGTAGTATCAACACACGCCACCACAAGGGAATTTGGACTCTTTATTACGAAACTTGCAATTCGATCATCACTGAGCTTCTTATACTCAAGCCTAGGAGCATCAATCTCAACTACTAAATCTTCATCCAAACGGTCATTACAATCCGCAACATGAGTGAAGCTCAACAGAGATTGAGAACACACACGTAAAACTTCAACACCATCAGAGAAACTCCTTTCAATAGCTAACCTTTCGAGAACAGGGCAGAGAGAGACGAGCGTTTCTAAAGCCAATTCGTCGGCAAAGTGAACTATAGTTAGATCCATAACTCTGAGAGAAGGTAAAGAGACAAACTTGGGGCTCAAGCTAGGCAATGTTACGCCGCTGAGCTTTAAGGAAACCAAGCTCTCGCAAGTGTAAAGGCTTGGAGGCATCTGAAAATCCCAACTCTCGAAAGAATCATCCAAAAGATCGATATTTTGAACTTTCTGCCCAACAACAGTGTTGATCCAACGCCGGAGAGGAACTATTTGACAGTGATCGTACTTTAACTTAAAACTCTCTAAGCAGGAATCGCTGTTGAAACCTAGAAATCTATCGACGAAACTCACGAATGAGTCTTGCTCTGGGAAATCGTCAATGTCCAAGTCCAATACAGGTACATTTTTCCAGAGATTTCTCCATCTAGTGGATAATACGCTGCACTTGACCACATCCTTCGTGGGGAGATTCAAGAGGATCTGAATTATCAATGAATCTGGAAAATTGCTTATCCAGTCTCCTTCTTCACTCGATCTTTTGGCACTGACACGTTCCTCTCCGTCTCCATCCATCGAATCGAAAATAAATCCTCTCTCCTCAAAGCCTTTCGACTGAAAACTTCACTCTAATTTGAAGAACGATAATTTTACAAACTTCGAAAGCAATCGAAGGACATAAATCTGTTCCTACAAAATCGCAATCAAGCACGAAAGAGTGAGTGGTCCAGAAAAAAAAAACTGCTACGCAAATTCCAAGCGAGAGGAGATACGTTAAACGACTTCGTTTTCGTGAATGAATTGCAATTCCTGTGAATTTCCTCATGTCTTTACAAACGACGTCGTTTGCTACAAAAATGTTCCTATGTTCATCAAAAGTCAGATGAGTGCCATGTCTTTACAGTAATATCCACAAGAACAAGACAGTCATTTACAAAGTACCACAAGGTATGATTCTATACAAACAAAGGAGAAGGTATATCAACAAAGTCCTCAGAGAAAATTTTATCTGTGAAATGGCAGAGACGATATGGATCATCTGAGAACGACAACTTCGCAGGAGCTAGAGAGTCTTGGAATGGCAAGGAGTTTTGTGAGGACGACAGCTTCTTCTTCTTCACTGAAATCGTCCAAGAAGAAAGTGAATTCCTTGAGGATTGGCGACTTCCCCAGAAAGTAACTCGCCAGTTTCACGAATGCCATCACGTCGCCTTTCATTGCATTCTCTATCTTAACATACTCGAGAGTTGGTAGGAGACGACAAGGTCCAAGTAAAATCCCATTTGCCAGCTCCCATGGATCTTCACTAAATGACTGCAAAGTAGGATGAAACAAGCTCAGAATGTGATACTTTCACCATTTGCATTCAATCACAAAAACTAAGAAATGAAAAGGTTTGTGATTTCAGTATCCAATCCTTACCAAGGAGAGAGTTTTTAGATTGGGGCAGCTCTGGAGAAAGACTGGCAACACTTCCCAACCGTTGTGGAAGAAGTTAGCACGCAAGGATGATAAGTTGCGAAACAAGGGTATTGGATTTTGTTCACATCTTGAGAGATCATAAATGATCTGCAAATTAAAGAAACAAAAGTATCAGAGTAGAGTAGAGGAGGTGATGTATATATCTAAAAACTTCTTATATGAAAATGCAGTAAAACAATGGTTTACCTCGAGAGTATCCGAAGAGATGGCCATATCTCTAACACTAGAGATTCCCATGAGAAAATCACGAATTAGCTTTCTCTTTGGCACATCACTCGGATCGAGCACGTCTCTGTATTCGTAAGGCAAGTTAAACCTAGTATTGATATCCACCTTAACAAGCGCTCCCAGATGATTCATTATGGAAAGCCTTGTCTGGTCTTGAAAAAGCTTGAGATACTCAAGCTTAGGAGCATCAACTGTAACTACCCTAGGAACATCAGCCTCGTGCTCGAATTCGTAGTCGTCGTGCCCAATAAGAGTGAAGCTCCGTAGAGACTGGGAGCTCACACAGAAGACATCTCCTTCCTCATAGGCAACTCTCTCTACATATAAGCTTTCAAGAACTGGGCAGCCTGAGATAAGCATTTCGAAACTCCGTCTGTTGTCATAGACAACCGCAACTAGTACGATGGTTTTGACACGAGGTAGAGAAACGGAGACTGGATCAGGCAAGAGCACGTCACGGAGCTTCAAGGTTACCAAGCTCCCACAAGTGTAAACCGGTAAAGGTATCTCCAGATTCTTGTCATAAGGCTTTCTTCGCTCCAAAACTTTGAGATGTTCGATTTTCCGGTTAAGTACAGTGTTGATCCAGCGAGGGACATGAGCAACCTCAGGCTCACCATCGAACTCAACCTTCAAATATCCGGACGTTAGCTTGAATTCTCGCAGCTTAGAGTCGCTCTCAAAACCCAGAAATCTATCCACAAAACTCACAAGAGACTCGTAATCTGGGAAATCACAGCACCCCAAGTCCAAACGAGGTACTTGTTTCCAGAGGTTTCTCCATCTTTTGGAGAACGCACTAGTCTTCACCACATCTTTTGTGCGGAAATACAGAAGAACCTCACACAGCAAAGAATCTGGCAATTCGCTCAGCCTATCTACATGACCTATCTTATCAACTGCGCAATTGGCAAGCAAGCTTAGATGATTCTCTTCGTCTTCTTCCATGTACCCTTCCTTGCAAACATCCAATCGAACACAATCATTTCCTGATGAACAATCCAGCAGCACATCTTCGAAAGATTTTGAAGTTTGAGTACCAAAAAAAAACAATTCTATCAAACGCCAAAGAGAATCGAACGACGGAAATGTGTTGAGATTCAATCAAACGACGGAAACTAAAGAACGCACAAGCAATTTCTTCACCGAGTTCCCAGTTTTACAGGAATAAGCAATCGAAGACTGAAACTAAAAAAGGAACTCGATTCTGCGATAATGGCTTACGAAGAAGGAGAAGACGCTTACGAAGGAACAAGAGGGAGAATCCGCAGGAAGAAGACGCTTACGAAGAATTGAACTTCTCTCAACCTCGATTCTGCGATAATGGCTTCTCTCTCTCCCTCAACATCTCTTTGTTCGTCTTTTCGTTCTTTGTTTTTCGCTTACTCTGATCCTTTCTGTAACAAACTCTTTATCGCTCGCTCTAAAACCTTAGAGACGATGAATAGTGTCTTTTACGTCTTGGGCTTGGATCGATTACACTCAGACTGGCCCATATGAAGAATTTACTGACGGATATTGGGCCCAATGCCCATTTTGTTTGAGTTAAGCTTCCAATAGGCCGTGGAAAGTTCCTCAGACGTTTTTCATTTTAAGTCCCAAATTTACAGTTTCTTTCATCTCTCACCCTATTGTTTTCCCTACTACATACATAGCTCCTCTCAGCAAGAAGAAAGAAGAAAGCACTAATGATATTCACTTTTGAATACATCTGAAGCATTAACTAAGTTCCTCATCTCTGTACAATAATATCCACAAAATCTAGGACGCATTGTTTTCCGGCCGCAAGAACAAAACAATCATTTACAAAGTACCACAAACATTCATCACAAACAAAGAAGAAGGCATATCAACGAGTTCGTTTGTTGATTGCCAGAGATTATATGAGGATCAGAGAACGACAACTTTGCATGAGCTAGAGAGTCTTGGCAGAGCAAGGAGCCTTTTGAGGATGGCATGTTCTTCCTCCTCACTGAAATCTCTCAAGGAGAAAGTGAATTTCTTGAGGATTGTCGACTTCTCCAGAAAGTAGCTCACCAGTTTCACGAATGCCACCACGTCGCCTTTCATTTCCTTGTCTATCTGAACATACTCGAGAGTTGGTAGGAGACGACAAGGTCCAAGTAAAATATCATTTGCCTGCTCCCAAGGATCTTCTTCACTAAATGACTGCAAAGTATGACCATACGGATTAAACAAGTTGAGAATTGTGATACTTTCACCATTTGCATTCAATTAATGAAAAAAAGAAAAGAGAAGGTTTGTGATTTCAGTAACCATACTTACCAAGGAGAGAGTTTTTAGATTCGGGCAGCTCTGGAGGAAGACTGGCAACACTTCCCAGTTGTTGTGGAAGAAGTTAGCATGCAAGGAAGATAGGTTGCGAAACAAGGGTATTGGTATTTGTTCACATCTCGAGAAATCATAGATGATCTGCAAATTAGAGAAACAAAAGTATCAGAGAGTAGAGGTGACTTCTTATATGAAAATGCAGTAAAAACTATGGTTTACCTCGAGAGTATCCGAAGAGATGACCATATCTCTGACACTAGAGATTCCCATGAGAAAATCACGAATTATCTTTCTCCTTGGCACATCATTCGGATGGAGCATGTCTCTGTATTCGTAAGGCAAGTTAAACCTAGTATCCATATCCACCTTAACAAGCGCGCCCAGATTATTGATTATGGAAAGACTTGTTTGGTCTTGAAAAAGCTCGAGATACTCAAGCTTAGGAGCATCAATCACAGCATCAATATCTCCCGCCATTTCGTAGTCGTTGTGGCCAACAAGAGTGAAGCTCAGTAGAGACTGAGAGCACACACGGAAGACAAATACGTCCTCATAGGGAGACCTCTTAACATATAAGCTTTCAAGAACTGGGCAGCCTGAGATGAGCATTTCGAAATTCTGATCGTTGGCATAGGCAAGCCCTTCTAATTTGATGGTTATGAGATGAGGTAAAGAAACGGAGCTTGGTTCATGCAAGATTACGTCACGGAGCTCCAATGTTACCAAGCTCTCACAAGTGTAGATTGTTGCAGGTATCTTCAGTCCCTTGTCATAAGGATATCTTCTCTCCAGAACTTTGAGATGTTCGACTTTCCGGTTACCTACTACAATGTTGATCCAGCGAGGGATATGAGCATCATCAAACTCACCCCATACCTCATCTTCCTTTAGCTCGAAAGATTCAGACTTTAGCTTGAATTCTTGCAGCACTGAGTCGCTCTCAAAACCCAGAAAGCTATCGAGAAAACTCAGAACAGCCTCATGATCCGGGAAATCACCATACTCCAAATCCAAACGAGGTACACATTTCCAGAGGTTTCTCCATCTTCTGGAGAAGGCGCTAGTCTTGACCACTTCTTTTGGGGGAAAATACAGAAGAACCTCACACAGCAAGCAATCTGGCAATTCGCTTAGCCTATCTACAACCCCTATCCTATTCATATCAACAGCGCATTAGGCAAGCAAGCTTAGATGATTCTCTGCGTCTTCTTCCATGTACCCTTCCTGGCAAACATCCAATCGAATAAAAATCCTTTACAATCGTTTCCTGATGAACAATCCAGCAGCACATCTTTGAAAGACTTTGAAGTTTGATTAACAGTTCTATCAAACGCCAAATAGAATCGAACGACGGAAATGTGTTGAAATTCAATCAAACGCCAAAGAGAATCCCATCTGGTGAAATGGAAACTAACGAACGCACAAGCAATTTCTTCACAGAGTTCCCAGTTTTACAGGAATAAGCAATCGAAAACTGAAACTACGGAAGGAACTCGATTCTGCGATAATGGCTTACGAAGAAGGAGAAGACACTTACGAAGGAACAAAAGGGAGAATCCACAAGATGAGAGATGCAGGAAGAAGACGCTTACGAAGACTTGAACTTCTCTCAACCTCGATTCTGCGCTAATGGCTTCTCTCTCTCAACTTCTCTTTGTTCGTCATTTCGTTCTTTGTTTTCGCTTACTCTGATCTTTTCTCTGTAAGTACCTTAGAGACGATGAATAAGTACCTTTTAACTCTTGAGCTTGGATCGATTAAATTCAGCCTGGCCCATATTAAGAATCTAAACTGACGGGTATTGGGCCCAAGGGACTTCTCAGTTTTTGCCTTTGGTCGTGGAAAGTTTCTCCAGACTTTTTCATCTTTAGTCCCAAATTTACAGTTTCTTTCATCTCTCGCCCTATTGTTTTCCTACATGCTAGCAAGAAAGAAAAGAAGAAAGCACTAATATTCTCTTTTGATAACATTCGTCATGTCTTTACAGTAATATCTACAAAATCTGTTGTTAAGAACAAAACAGTCATTTACAAAGTACCATAAGGTATGATTCTATACAAAAAAAAAAAAATAGAAGAAGGCATGTCAACTAAGAGTCCTCAGAGACAAGTTTGTATGTGAATTGGCAGAGACGATATGGATCATCTGATAACGACAACTTCGCATGAGCTAGAGAGTCTTGGCAGGGCAAGTAGTTTCGTGAGGATGACAGATTCTTCCTCTTCACTGAAATCGCTCAAAAGGAAACTGAATTTCCTGAGGATTGTTGACTTCTCCAGAAAGTACCTCGCCAGTTTTGTGAATGCCACCACGTCGCCTTCCATTGCCTTCTCTATCTCAACATACTCGAGAGTTGGTAGGAAGCTATAAGGTCCAGGTAAAACACTAGTTTCCTGCTCCAAAGGATCTTCACTAAATGACTGCAAAGTAGGACCAAGCGGATGAAACAAGTTTAGAAATGTGATATACTTTCACCATTTGCATTCAACTAATGAAAAGTAACAGAAAAAGGCTTATGAATTCAGTAATCAATACTAACCAAGGAGAGAGATTTCAGATTCGGGCAGCTCTGGAGAAAGACTGGCAACACTTCCCACCTGTTGTGGAAGAAGTTAGCACGCAAGGAAGATAAGTTGCGAAACAAGGGTATTGGTCTTTGTTCATATCTCGAGAAATCATAGATGATCTGCAAATTAGAGAAACAAAAAAGTATCAGAGTAGTAGAGGTGGTGATATACAATACATTAACTTATATATGAAAATGTGATATATAATACATTAACTTATATATGAAAATGCAGTAAAACAATGGTTTACCTCGAGAGTATCCGAAGAGATGACCATATCTCTAACACTAGAGATTCCCATGAGAAAATCACGAATGATCTTTCTCCTTGGCATATCACTAGGATCGAGCATCTCTCTGTCTTCGTAAGGCAAGTTAAACCGAGTATCGATATCTGCCGTAACAAGGGATCCCAGATTGTTCAGTATGGAAAGAGTTGTTTGGTCTTGAAAAAGCTCGAGATACTCAAGCTTAGGAGCATCAATCACAGCATAAATATCTGCCGCCATTTCGTAGTCGTCGTGGCCAACAAGAGTGAAGCTCAGTAGAGACTGAGAGCGCACACGGTAGACAATTACTTTCTCAAAGGGACACCTCTTCACATATAAGCTTTCAAGAACTGGGCAGCCTGAGATGAGCATTTCGAAAGTCTGATCCTTGCCATAGGCAAGTGCTTCAAGTTTGATGGCTTTGACACGAGGTAGAGAAACAGAGCTTGGAACAGGCAAGACTACGTCACGGAGCTCCAAGGCTACCAATGTCCAACAAGTGTATACTGTTGAAGGTATCTCCAGAGTCTTGTGATAAGGAAATCTTCGCTCCAGAACCTTGAGATGTTCGACGTTCCGCTTAAGTAGTACAGTGTTGATCCAGTGAGGGATTTGAACATCATCAAGCTCACCCCATACCCCATCTTCCTTTAGCTCGAAAGACTCGGCCTTTAGACTGAACTCTTGCAGCTTTGAGTCGCTCTCAAAACTCAGAAATCCATCGACAAAGCTCACAACAGCGTCGTACTGTGATTCCGGGAAATCACCATACTCCAAGTCCAAACGAGGTACATATTTCCAGAGGTTTCTCCATCTTCTCGATAACACGCTAGTCTTGACCACTTCTTTTGTGGGAAAATACAGAAGAACCTCACACAGCAAGCAATCTGGCAATTCGCTTAGCCTATCTACAGCCCCTATCCTATTCATATCAACAGCGCAATTGGCAAGCAAGCTTAGATGATTCTCTGCGTCTTCTTCCATGTACCCTTCCTGGCAAACATCCAATCGAACACAAATCCTTTACAATCGTTTCCTGATGAACAATCCAGCACCACATCTTCGACAGATTCTGAAGTTTAATTTTATTCTATCAAACGCCAAAGAGAACCAAACGATTGGAAAAGTGATGAGATTCAATCAAAAGCCAAAGAGATTCTCAGTTTGAAAATGAAGAACACAAGCAGTTTTTTCACCGATTCCCAGATCTACAGGATTAAGCAATCGAAAACAAAAGGAAAAAAAGGAGCAGGAAGGAGAACCCACAAGATGAAAGATGCCGGAAGAAGACGCTTACGAAGACTTGAACCTCTCTCAATCTCGATCCTGCGATAATGGCTTCTCTCTCTCTCTCAATCAACTTCTCTTTGTTCGACTTTGTTTCTCTCACTTGCTCTGATTTGCTTTTTTTCTCTGTAACAAAACTCTTTATCTCTCTAAAACCTTAGAGACGACGATGAATAGTACTTTTAGTGGCTTTACGTTTATTGGGCCCAAAGCCCAATTATTTTGAGTTTTTTCAGACGTTTTTCAATTTAACCCCCAAATTTACAGTTTATATTGTTTCAAGGCCTATTGTTTTTCTACTATATAATAGCTCAGCAAGACAAAAGAAGAAAGTTTTCACAAGGTCCGAAGCATATGTCTTAACTCTTAACCACGATTCTGATTTGATCATAATTATAATTCTCTTCCGAACTTCAGTTTCATCATATAAATCAAGGAAAAAACAAAGAATTCAAATTAACTAAGCGAGTACTTAAATAATATCTTTCCAAAAAAACTCATGAAACTATATGTAAACATTGTATGCTCTTAGATGGTGATGACTACATGGATCATCAGAGAACGTCAACTTGGCATGAACTAGAGAGTCTCGGAATGTTAAGGATTTCTCTAAGGATGACAGATTCTTCTTCTTTTATGGAATCATCCAAGCATAAGGTTAGTCTCTTGAGGATTTTTGAGTTCTCAAGTAAGTAACTCACTAGTTTCATCTCCATGTCCTCTCCTTTTAATGGCCTTTCTATCTTAACATACTCGAGAGATGATAGGTAACTCCGAGGCTCGAACAAAATATCAGTCCTCTCCTCTACCGGACGGTAATGAGGTCCCTACAAGTACAATCAAAACGAGTGGAAGGAACACAAGTTTGAGATAATTTGATACTTTCTAGAAATAAAAAAAATACCATTAATGTTTGGTTAGGTTAACGATACTAACCACAACAAGAGATATAAGATTGGGACAGCTCTCAAGAAACACTGGCAGCATTTCCCATCTGTAGTCGCCGAACTTAACACGCAAGAAATATAAGTTACGGAATAATGGTAGTTGTTCACATTTTGAGTACTCATAAATGACCTGTAACACGTTATAAAAAAAAAGGTATCAAGATAAAAGTTAAGGCATTCAAGTAGCGGATTCGACATATTGTATATAAAATACCTCAAGAGTACTCAAGGAAATGATCAAATCTTTGACATTAGAGATCCCAACAAGAAACTTGCGAATCATACTTCTCTTTTGCACATCATTTGGATCAAACTTTCTTCCGCAAATCAAGTTAAACACAAAATCGATATCCGCTTGTACAAGGGAAACCGGATTATCCAGTACGAAACTTGCGATCCGATAATCACTGAGCTTCATACACTTAAGCCTAGGAGCATCAATCTCAACTACTAAAACTTCATCTAAATCCTGAGCACCGTCCGCAACATGAGTGAAGCTCAACAGAGACTGAGAACGCACACGTAAAACTTGTATACCGTCACAAAAGCTCCTCCTTATAATCAACCTTTCGAGAACAGGACAGCCTGAGATGAGCACTTGGAAAGCCGAATCGTTTGCAGAGTCAACAGAATCTAGCTCGATGAATCTGAGACAAGGTAGAGAAATCAGCTTTGGATCAGCCAAGGTCACGTTATTTAGCTCTAACCTTACCAAGCTCTCACATGTGTAAACACTAGGAGGTATCTCTACATTATCATTCCTCCATGAATCATCCAAAACATGGAGATACTTCACTTTCCGATTGACAACAAGGCTAATCCACCGCCTGACGAGAGCGGCTTCAGAGTTATCAACCCTATCGGAATCGTACCATAACCTAACGCTTTGCAAGTGCGGCGATTCACTGTTGAAACCAAGAAACCTATCGACGAAACTCACGAATGTGTTGTACTCTTCGAAATTTTCGTACGCCAAGTCTAGTCTGTGAATCTCTTTCCAGAGATGTCTCCATCTACTTGATAACGCACTGCTCTTAACCACATCGTTCATTGGGAGATTCGAGAGTACCTGTAATAGCAAGCAATCTGGCAAATTGCTTAGCCGATCCACTTCTTCCCCTGTTTCGTTACCACCCGATCTTCTGGCACGAACACGTCGCTCTCCATCTCCCTCCTCCATCGAATCGAAAAGAAAGCTTCGGATAGAGAATAGAATGTTGTGTCTTTCTCGTTACACCTTAATGTCTTTATATACACGATACAACATAAGAGAAACCCTAGCATAAACTATACTTAAGGAATATTAACATATTAAGAAACTTGCGCCTTCCGCAGTCGGCAGTCACCGTGTTACCGTTGCCGCCTTCGGCAGCTATCCCGTCCTTACCACTGCCTCCTGCAGGTCCGTTCTTCCCCATAATCTCTTACTTGAATCTACCAACTTGGAAAGGAAACGAACGTCGTGTACTACTTTCTATTGGGCCGCAACGTTAAACCTAGCCCATAAGATTAGAATGGAGATCGAGTGAAACACATTTGCCCTAGTGTTCTCTAGTTTGCCTTCTTCTTCACGTAAAGCCTTTAAAAGCTTCCTTCTACAATGTCTGTCTCTTCCATGCTGCTTGTATAAAACATGCTGCCCATGTCTACCATTGCACCGAATAAAACCTTAAGAAACAAAATGTTGTTTAGGGTAGTAAAAAATAAACGGTAACTTGAGAAATACGTTACAAGATAGGTGATTAGTATCTTGCTTAACAAGCTAAAACTATAATTATTACCTGAACATGTGTCGGAGTTGCTTGCTATGGAGGCGACTCTACTGAATAGAGACAAACTTGAGATCATCAGCAGAGTCAGTCAACCCAAAAAAAACTAGGATTCCAAGTTTGGTTTTTCTTTAGAACAATCCAGCAGCACATCTTCGAAAGATTTTCAAGTTTGATTTATTCTATCAAACGCCAAAGAGAACCAAACGATTGGAAATGTGTTGAGATTTAATCAAACGCCAAAGAGGTTCTCAATTGGAAAAATGAAGAACACAAGCAATTTTTTCACCGAAAACAGAAAAAAAAAAAAAAAGGAGCAGGAAGGAGAACCCAACTTCTATCAATCTCGATCCTGCGATAATGGCTTCTCTCTCTCTCTCTCAATCAACTTCTTTTTGTTCGTCTTTTTGTTCTTTGTTTCTCTCACTTGCCCTGATTTGTTTTTTTCTCTCTCTCTAACAAACTCTTCATCTCTCTAAAACCTTGGAGACGACGATGAATAGTACTTTTAGTGTCTTGGGCCCAGATTAAAAATGTAGACTTATGATTATTGGGCCCAAGGCCCATTTATTTTGAGTTAGGCTTGTACATTTCCGCCGTTGGAAGGTTCTTCAGACTTTTATCAACTTAATCCCCAAATTTACAGTTTCTATTGTTTCAAGGCCTATTGTTTTCCTACTACATAATACCTCAGCAATACAAAAGTAGAAAGCACTTGAGCTTTCCTACTACATTTAATATCTCCTTTCACAAGGTCCGAAGCATCATAATTATAATTCTCCTCCGAACTTCAGTTTCATCATATAAATCAAGGAAAAACAAAGAATTCAAATTAACTAAGCGAGTACTTAAATAATACTTTTTCCAAAAAAAACTCATGTAACTTTGTAAACAAAACATTGTATGCTCTTCGGTGATGACTACATGGATCATCAGAGAACGACAACTTGGCATGAGCTAGAGAGTCTCGGAATGTTAAGGATTTCTCTGAGGATGACAGATTCTTCGTTCTTTATGGAATCATCCAAGCATAAGGTTAGGTTCTTGAGGATTTTAGAGTACTCAAGTAAGTAACTCACTAGTTCCATCTCCTTGGCCTCTCCTTTTAATGGCCTTTGTATCTCAACATACTCCAGAGATGATAGGTAACTCCGAGGCTCGAACAAAATATCATTCCCCTCTACCTGATCGTAATGAGATCCCTACAAGTACAATCAAAACGAGTGGAAGAAACACAAGTTTGAGATAATTTGATACTCTCTAGAAATAAAAATTAGGTAAACGATACTAACCACAACAAGAGATTTAAGATTGGGACAGCTCTCAAGAAACACTGGCAACATTTCCCATTGGTAGTCGCCGAACTCAACACGCAAGAAAGATAGGTTACGGTATAATGGCAGTTGTTCACATCTTGAGTAATCATAAATGACCTGTAACAACAGAAAATAACAAAAGAGTATCAGGAAAAGATAAAGTTAAGGCATTCAAGTAGCGAAATGTATATAGAATACCTCAAGAGTACTCGAGGAAATGGTCAAATCATTGACATTAGAGATCCCCACAAGAAACTTGCGAATCATACTTCTCTTTTGTAGATCATTTGGATCAAACACTTTTCCGGAAGTCAAGTCAAACACAATATCGATATCCGCTTTTACAAGGGAAACCAGATTATTCAGTATGAAACTTGCAACTCGATGATCACTGAGCCTCAGATACTCAAGCTTAGGAGCATCAATTGCAACTGTTAGATCTTCAACGGTATCGTCAGAGTCCGCAGTATGAGTGAAGCTCAATAAAGACTTAGAAAGCACACGTAAGACTTGTGTATCATCACAAAGGCTCCTCCCTATGACTAAGCTTTCGAGAACTGGGCAGCCAGAGATGAGCACTTGGAAAGCCAATGAATCGTTTCCACACTCAACATATTCAAGCTCGATCACTTTGAGACAAGGTAAGGAAATCAACTCTGGTGGATTAGCCAAGAGTACGCTTTGGAGCTTTAAGGTTACCAAGCTCTCACACGTGTAAACGGTAGGAGGTATATGGAGACGATCAGTGTTGTTCCATGAACGATCTAAAACATGGAGATGCTTAACTTTCCGCTTGACCAAAATGTTGATCCACCGCCGGATAATAGCAGCATCAGGATCAGGATCAGGCTCCGGCTTCCCATACTTTAACCTAACACTTGGCAAGCACGACTCGCTGTTAAAACCTAGAAAACTATCGACAAAACTCACAAAAGCGTCGAACTCCGAGAAATCCTTGTAATCCAAGTCTAATCTAGGTACGAATCTCCACTGGTTTCTCCATCTGCTGGATAAGACACTAGTTCTAACCACATCCTTTGTCGGGAGATTCAAGAGTATCTCATCTAGCAAAGAATCTGGCAAGCTGCTCAGCCGATCTACTTTCCCTGTCTCATCACCCAATCTTTTGATTGCGTCGCGACCTAATATTGATTCGAAAAGATAAAATGGCATTACAAAACTTCTAAAGGAAACGAAACGGCACCTACAAAACCGCCTTGTATTACATATATATACATAGCTACTTACTATTGGGCCCTACACATCAAACCTAGCCCATCAAGTGACGTGCTTCTTGACGTCAAGTAAGGACCCTTTCACAAGGTCTAAAGCATTAATATGATTCTCTTCTGAACTTCAATATCATATCATAAACTAAGAAAAAAACAAATAATTCAAATTAACTAAGTGAGTACTTAAAGAATTTTTCCAAAAAAAAAAACTCATATGTTTATTGTTGATGAGATGAGTATGAGGATCATCAGAGAACGACAACTTGGCACGATGAAGAGAGTTTTGGAATGGTAAAGAGTTCTTTGAGGACGAAAGATTCTTCATTCTTTCTGGAATCATCCAAGCGTACAGTTAGTTTCTTGAGAACTGTTGAGTTTTCAAGCAAGTACGCCACTAATTTCATCTCCTTCGCCTCCCCTTTCAATGGCCTTTCTATCTTAACATACTCCAGAGACGTTAGGAAACTCCGAGGCTCTGACAGAATATTAATCCCCTCCTTCTCCCGATGTGTAGCAGATCCCTGCAAGAACAACACAACACAAGTTGAGTTTATGATACTTTCACCATTTCCATCATAACAAAGGAAAAAAGCACCATTGTTTCAAGAAAAAAAAAATACTAACCACAACAAGAGATTTTAGATTGGGACAGCTCTCAAGAAAAACTGGCAACATTTCCCACCTGTAGCCGTAAAACTCAACTTTTAAGGAAGAGAGCTTACAAAATATTAGTAATGATTCACATCTTGAGTAATCATAAACGACCTGCAACAAAAAGAAGAAAAAGAGTATGAGTGTATACAGGAGTGTATAAGCTTATGATAAAGGTTAGCGAATTCAACATGTATAGGTTACCTCAAGAGTACTAGAAGCAATGATCATATCTTTGACATTAGAGATCCCAACAAGAAATTTACGAATCATATTTTCCTCTTTAGCAGATCATTCGCATCAAACTTCCTCTCGAAACTCAAGTTAAACACAGTATCAATATCAACTTCTACAAGAGAATCCGGATTATCCAGTACGAAGCTCGCGATCCGATGATCACTGAGCCTCAGATACTCAAGCCTAGGAGCATCAATTTCAACCACAAGATCTTCAACCAAATCATGAGAACTGTCCGCAACATGAGTGAAGCTCAACAGAGACTGAGAACGCACACGTAAAACTTCTACACCGTCACAAAAGCTCCTCCTTATAACCAACCTTTCGAGAACAGGGCAGCCTGAGATGAGCCTTTCGAAAGCCGAATCGTTTGCAGAGTCAACACAAACTAGCTCGATAAACTTGAGACAAGGTAAAGAAATCAGCTTTGGATCAGCCAAGGTCACGTTATCTAGCTCTAACCTTACCAAGCTCTCACATGTGTAAACACTAGGAGGTATCTCCACATTATCATTCCTCCACGAATCATCTAAAACATGGAGATATTTCACTTTCCGATTGACCAGAATGCTAAACACCGCCTGATGAGAGCGGCGTCAGGCTTACCGTTCCCATCGGAATCGTACCATAACCTAACGCTTTGCAAGTGCGGATTCGCTGTTGAAACCCAGAAATCTATCGACGAAACTCAGGAATGTGTTGTATTCTGCGAAATTCTCGTATGCCAAGTCTAATCTGTGTATCTCTTTCCAGAGATATCTCCATCTAGTGGATAACACACTGCTCTTAACCACATCGTTCGTGGGGAGATTCGAGAGTACCTGAAATAGCAAGCAATCTGGCAAATTGCTTAGCCGATCCACTTCCCCTGTTTCGTCACCATCCAATCTTCTGGCACGAGCACGTTTCTCTCCGTCTCCATCCTCCATTGAATCGAAAAGCTTCATTTGCCGGCGTCGTCTGTTCAGAGTTTCTCTCGGTGGTGGTAAGTGGTAACTGGGTAAAGTGGAAACTGCAAAGTCTCTCGTCTCGATTCGTAGAGACCAATTCGGTTTAGTTTGGTTTAAATCGATTAGAATTCCCATCCCACCCCTATTAACGCGGTTCTCTACATTCGTGGGCTTATAATGGGCTATACGTTTTGGGTCGTGCAAGTCTCATTAGTTTTTTTTTTTTTAGCATCATTTTAATATTTAACCCCCAAATTTACAGGTTGCTGCATCTTTTGCCGTATTGTTTCCTGACTAACAATGTTATAGCTAGCTGCAGGGCAAAAGAAGAAAGCACTAACATAGTAACATCTCTTGGCACCAACATGTTGTAATCACGAACTTTAACAATTCATATCATCACAAACTAAGAAAAAAGCAAAGCATTCATAATAACTAGGTATTCAAAGACAACCTTGTAACGTTCATTGGTGAAGAAGACTGGAGACTAAGAGGATCATCAGAGAACAACAACTTGGCATGATCCAGAGATTCTTGGAATAGCGAGGAGTTTTTTGAGGATGACAGATTCTTCATTCTTTATGGAACCGTCCAAGCATAAGGTTAGTTTCTTGAGGATTTTCGAGTACGCAAGTAAGTAACTCAATAGTTTCATCTCCATGGCCTCCCCTTTAAATGGCCTTTCTATTTTTACATACTCGAGAGATGATAGATAACTCCGAGGCTCGAACAAAATATCAGTCCTCTCCTCTACATGATCGTTATAAGATCCCTACAAGTACAATCAAAACGAGTGGAAGAAACACAAGTTTGAGATAATTTGATACTTTCTAGAAATAAAAATTACCATTGTTTGGTTAGGTAAAGGTAAACGATACTAACCACAACAAGAGATTTAAGATTGGGACAGCTCTCAAGAAACACTGGCAACATTTCCCATCTGTAGTTGCCGAACAGAACACTCAAGAAAGATAGGTTGCGGTATAATGGTAGTTGTTCACATCTTGAGTAATCATAAATGACCTGTAACAAAAGAGTATCAGGAAAAGATAAAGTTGAGGGCATTCAAGTAGCGAATTCAACATATTGTATATAGAATAATACCTCAAGAGTAGTTGAGGCAATGATCATATCTTTGACATGAGAGATCCCCACAAGAAACTTGCGAATCATACTTCTCTTTTGCAGATCATTTGGATCAAACTTCTTTTCGAAAACCAAGTTAAACGAAATATCAATAACCGCTTTTACAAGGGAAACCGGATTATTCAGTATGAAACTTTTAGCTCGATGATCACTGAGCATCAGATACTCAAGCCTAGGAGCATCAATTGCAACTACTAGATCTTCATCCATATCACAAGAACTGTCCGCAATATGAGTGAAGCTCAATAAAGACTTAGAAAGCACACGTAAGACTTGTATATCATCACAAAGGCTCCTCCCTATAACTAAGCTTTCGAGAACTGGGCATCCAGAGATGAGCACTTGGAAAACCGAATCGTTTCCACACTCAACATAGTCTAGCTCGATCACTTTGAGACAAGGTAAGGAAATCAACTCTGGTGGATTAGCCAAGATTACGCTTTCGAGCTTTAAGGTTACCAAGCTCTCACATGTGTAAACGGTAGGAGGTATCTCGATAGAGTCATTGTTGTTCAATGATTGATCTAAAACATGGAGATGTTTAACTTTCCGCTTGACCACAATGTTGATCCACCGCCGGATAATAGCAGGATCAGGATCAGGATCAGGATCATGCTCAGGATTCCCATACCTTAACCTAACTCTTTGCAAGTACGACTCGCTGTTAAAACTCAGAAAACTATCGACAAAACTCACAAAAGCGTCGAATTCTGAGAAATTCTGATATGACAAGTCTAATCCAGGTACGAATTTCCACTGATTTCTCCATCTCCTCGATAAGACACTAGTTCTAACCACATTCTTTGTCGAGAGATTCAAGAGTACCTCACAGAGCAAAGATTCTGGCAAGCTGCTCAGCAAATCTACTTTCCCTGTTTCATCACCCAATCTTTTGACACGAACACGTTTCTTCTCTCCATCTCCACCCATGTCTGCGTTTGCGTCACGATTACAAACTTCAAAAGAACCGCCTTGTATTAAGATGCTGACAATGTTCACATATATATATATATATATATACATAGCTACTTACTATTGGGCCTACACATCAAACCCTAGCCCATCAAGTGACGGCTTCACGTCAACTAAGGACCCCAGAAACTAAGAGGATCAGCAACGACAACTTGGCATGAGGTAGAGAGTCTTGGGATTGTAAGAAGCTTCTTGAGGATGACAGGTGCTTCCTTCTTTCTGTCAGGATCTAAGAACAGAGTTAGTTTCTTGAGGACTGTTGACTTCTCCAGAAAGTAACTGACTAGTTTCGTCTCCGCCTCTTCATCTCCCATTGGCTTTCCTATCTCAACATACTCGAGAGTTGGTAGGAAGCCATGAGGTCCTGGCATAATACTAACTGGCTGCTCCCCTGGAGTTGTACTAAAACCCTATGAACAAGCGGACGAAACAAGTTGAGTATGTGAGATATACTTTCACTATTTGCATTCACAACAATAAAGCAAGTTTATGGTTTTGAGTAAACAATAAAGCAAATCTTAACCAAGGAGAGATGTTTTAGATTCGGGCAGCTCTCAAGAAACACTGGCAACATTTCCCACCTGTAGTCGGAGAATTGAGCACTCAAGGAAGATAAGTTGCGTAACAAAGGTACTCGTTCACATCTTGACAAGTCATAGATGATCTGCAAGAATAAAAAAAAGTACCAAAATAGAGGTGAAAATGTATTTGAGAGGTGATAAAATAACAATTTCTTAATATGCAAAACTCAAGCACAACCTCCAAAGTATCCGAAGCGATGTCCATGTCTCTGACACTAGAGATCCCGACGAGAAACTTACGAATCATATTCCTCTTTTGCACATCATTCGGATCCAACCTCTTTTGATAAGACAGGTTAAACCTAACATCCATATGCAGCTTCACAAGGGCACCCAGATTACTCATTATGAAACTATCAGTTCCAAAATCACTGAGCCACATATACTCAAGCCTGGGAGCATCAACTGCAACTACTAGATCTTCTTCATCAATATTCTCCTCACACTGACCGACATGAGTGAAGCTCAACAGAGACTTAGAGCACACACGTAAAACCTTTACACAGTCGTGGTCATCCCCGTTTACAGTCAAGATTTCAAGAACCGAGCAGCCTGAGATGAGCCTCTCCAAAGCCTGATCGTTGGCAAACTTAACCTCATCCAGATGGATAACTTTGACACAAGGTAAAGAAACGGACTCGGGATCAGGCAAGAATGCGTCACGGAGCTTTAACGTTACCAAGCTCTCGCAGGTGTACACTGCTGCAGGTATCTCCACTTCCTCGTCCACCTCCCATTTACTCTCGAGAACATGGAGATGTTGAACTTTCCGTTTAACAACAGCGTTGATCCACCGATTGACATTAGCGCCATGAGGCTCATCATATTCCCATTCGTAATCTAGGTCTAAACATCGGTCGTCTAAAATAAAATTTTGCAGGCGTGATTCGCTGTGGAAACCCAGAAATCTGTCCACGAAGCTCACGAATTCGTTGTACTCCGGGAAATCTCCATACCCCAGGTCCAAACCAGGCACATCTCTCCAGAGATTTCTCCATCTTTTTGATAACACGCTGCTCTTAACCACATCTTTTGTGGGAATCTTCAAGAGAACATGACAGAGCAAGTTATCTGGCAAATCGCTCAGCCTATCTACATCGTCACACTTCTCTGCGTCTTCATCCATGTAATCTGCCTGGAAAACATCGAATCGAATACAAAATCTTCTAAATCGAGAACATCTTTTCAAATATTTTAAAATTTGGTTGAAAAATCTATCAAACGTCGAAAGGAATCGAATCGACATAATTCAGGAAAAGAGTAGATCAAAATGGAACGATGATTTTAAGCGAGAGAGGGTTACCAGTTCAACAGCTTCTGAAGAATGATAAAATAGTTGATTTTTCCGGCTCATTTGCCGGCGTCTGCTCAGAGTTTCTCTCGGTGGTAACCGTAACTGGTAAGTGAAAAGTAGTCACGACTCGAGTCCTCAGTTACATATCTGAGAGACTGAGACCCATTCGGTTTAATTTGGTATAAATCGATTCAAATTTCCAACCCTATTAACACGGTTCGCTACGGTTATCAACTTATCATTGATAAAACGACGTGGGATTGTCGTTGTAAGAAAAATGCCATATTCAACACTCGTGGGCTTATAATGGGCTACACGTTTTTTGGTCGTACAAGTCTCTTTAGTACTTTTAATTTTTAATCCCCAAATTTACAGATTCCTTCATCTTTTACTGTATTGTTTTTCTTATTATCAATGTTAGACCTCGCTGCAAGGCAAAAGAAGAAAGCAATAACATCTCTTGACAACAGCATGTTGTAGCCACGATGGAGCGTGATACTGATTTGACAACATCAATAGACTTACAAACTCCAACACTTTCATATCATCACAAATTAAGAAAAAGCAAAGCATACATAATAACTAAGTACTCAAAAGACAACCTTGAGATGTTCATTGGTAAAGACTGTGAGGATCATCAGAGAACAACAACTTGGCATGACGCAGAGATTCTTGGAATGGTGCGGAGCTTTTTGAGGATGACAGATTCTTCATTCTTTATGGAACCGTCCAAGCATAAGGTTACTTTCTTGAGGATGGTTGAGTTCTCAAGTAAGTAACTCAATAGTTTCATCTCCATGGCCTCCCCTTTAAATGGCCTTTCTATTTTGACATACTCGAGAGATGACAGGTTACACTGAGGCTCAGGCAAAATATAACTTCCCTCTTTCTCCTGATCTAGTATATCCCTGTAAGAACAACAACACAACCGAGTGGATAAAACACAAGTTGTAATATAATACTTTCACCATTTGCATAATAACAAAGAAAGAAAGCACTATGGTTTTAAGTAAACAATACTAACCACGACAAGAGATTTTAGATTCGGACAGCTCTGAAGAAAGATTGGCAACATTTCCCAATTGTAACCGTCGAAATCAACACGCAAGAACGATAGCTTACGGAATAAGGGCAGTGGTTCACATCTTGAGTAATCATAAATTACCTGCAGCAACAAAAAAAGTATGAGTATATAAGCTAATAGAACAAAGTTTAAGCATTCAAAATAGCGAATTCAACATAGCTTACCTCAAGAGTAGTCGAGGAAATGGTCATATCTTTGACCCTAGAGATCCCGACGAGAAAATTGCGAATCATTTTTCTCTTTTGTTGATCATTTGGATCAAACTTCTTTTCGAAAATAAGGTTGAACACAATATCAATATCCGCTTTTTACGAGGGAAGCCGGATTCTTTACTACAAAACTTGCAACTCGATAATCACTGAGCATCAGATACTCAAGCCTAGGAGCATCAATTGCAAGTACTAAATCTTCATCCAAATGCTGAGAACTGTCCGCAACATGAGTGAAGCTCAATAGAGACTGAGAACTCACACGCAAAACTTCAATATCATCACAAAAACACCTCTCAATCGCTAAACTTTCGAGAACTGGGCAGAGAGAAATCAGCGTTTCTAACGCCAATTCGTCGGCAAACTTAGCTATAATCAAATCCATAGCTTTGAGAGAAGGTAAAGACACAAACTTGGGGCTAGGCAAAGTTAGTCCACAGAGCTTTAACGAAACCAAGCTCTCACAAGTGTAGAGCGTTGCAGGCAACTGAAAATCCCAACTTCCAGAAGAATCATCCAAAACATCGATATGTTTCACTTTCCGAGTAACAACAGAGTTGATCCACCGGCTGATAAGATTAGCTTCAGCGTCATCACAGTCGTACTTTAGCTTAAACTTTTCCAAGGGCGATTCACTGTTGAAATCCAGAAAGCCATCGACAAAGCCCACGAATGTGTTGTAATCCGGAAAATCACCAATCCCTAAATCCAATACAGGTACGTATTTCCAGAGATTTATCCATCTAGTGGATAACACACTAGTCTTAACCACATCCTTCGTGGGGAGATTCGAGAGTACCTGAAATAGCAAGCAATCTGGCAAATCGCTTATCCAATCAACTTCACCGGATCGTTTCGCTCGGACACGTTTCTCTCCGTCTTCGTCCATGAACGCAAATATCGAATCAGCAAAAGATAAAAATCCTCAAAAACTTCGGATAGAGAATCGATTAATGGTGTCGATGGCAGTTCCTACAAAATCGTGCACTATAACGAAAGAGTAGGAGTGGGTGAAAACAGCTTCGGAAGATTGGCGATTGAGAGAGAGAGAGAGAGAGAGCTACCAGTTTCGCATTTCCCGGCGGCCATTCAATTCAGTTAAACTTAAATCCGACTCGATTCGAATATCCGTCTTTGTAAAAACGACATCGTTGTGAGCATTAACTGCGTTTTGCATTTCCCTCTTGAGAACCATTTTGTCCCACATCGAAAGAATAAAGATTTTCTTTGTAGTATATAGTAGTGAAGTTCACACTTACTGTACGTCGAGCTTAGTAGCGTGAGCTTGTGATCCAAGTGGAGACAACGGGGTGTTGGGACGTTGGATCGATTCATTGGGCCGGGTTCGGGTTTGGCTATGATCTGGCTCGCCCATTCCAAGTTGGGAGTTAAGGCACGGGGCTTGAGCGAAGGCTCGGGCTTCTTGTCTCCTAGAGTCGGGGGAGACTGCGTGAGGCTGGTTTCACAGAGCAGCGTCCACCTCCCGCTCTTGACGGTGGAAGGATTACGAGCCGTTGCCTTCCGATCCCACTATGACTCAATGAGCTGATTCCGATTGAACCATCACTTTTTGTTTTTTTTGTTTTTATAAATATTTTATGCTTTTAATTTCAAAACGAATATAATGGGCCTAAAGTCCACAACTCGTAACTGTTTAAATGGGCCTTGAAACATAAGCTATGGAAGGGAATGAAAATGTTTGCTCTCCCGCCGAGGCTCACTTCGTCCCGCCTCCTTCGTGAAAAACACTTTTGACTAGAGAGAGAGAGAGATAGTGGATGAACAAATTTTCCGATAATCAAATCGATAATCTTCCCCCACTTTTTTGGCTGTTACTTTAATTTGAATTCGAACTTGCAATTTTTTGGAATCCGTCCGGCAGAATTGACAAGAGGGAAATTATGAGGGAAGAAGAAATTGAGAAGATCCGTGGTGTGGTTCGCGACTGCGTCAGTAAACATCTGTACTCCTCGGCCATCTTCTTCGCCGATAAGGTAGCGGCTCTAACAAATGACCCAGCTGACATATATATGCAAGCTCAGGCTCTTTTCCTCGGCCGCCATTACCGTCGCGCCTTCCACCTTCTCAACGCCTCTAAGATTGTCCTCCGAGATCTTCGATTCCGTTACCTTGCCGCAAAATGCCTTGTAATTCCACGTTTTCCCCAATTTTCTGTCCGTCTCTATTGTTTGAAATTGGCTGGGTGCTGGAATTTCAGGTGGTTTCGCTTAAATGGGATTTTCAGTGTTAAGGGTTTTAGGGTTTATCGGCAATTTCTGTGTGTTTTCAGGAGGAATTGAAGGAATGGGATCAGTGTCTCTTGATGCTTGGTGATGCGAAGGTTGATGAAGATGGTAATGTGTATGACGCTAAAGATGGTAACGTAATTTACTTTGATAAAGATGGAGAGGACCGTGAGATAAATGTAAGTTTTAAATGTTGAAATTGAACTAAGTGGTTGAGTACCATACTGTTTCCACCATCCCATTTGTGGTTCAAAGTTATGCAAGTACCTGAAGTGATATATAAGGGTTTTCTTTTGCAGATATCATCGGCAATATGCTTTCTAAGAGGAAAAGCATACGGAGCTTTACAAAACCGTTCACAGGCTCGACAATGGTCAGTTGAGCTTTTTTATGTCACCTATCTTTCTTGTCCAATCGATCATCTGTCATCTGCATTTTGATGACTGTGAGAGAGTGATCTTATTGATCTAGTGGTGTAACATGAACTCAGCATGTATATCAAATTCACTGAAATGCCAGTAGGAAAGTTTTATGAACTTGTGTATATGTTGGCTCCATCTATTGTGATTGAGCATTGCGTGGGAATGTTAGACCTCTTCTCGGTTTAACTAGTGAAATTCGGTTGGGATTGCAGGTATAAAGCCGCTATCAAGGCTGATCCTCTGTGTTATGAGGTACTTCTAGCGCTCTAGTCAATTCTCTACATTACTTACTGTACATAATAGTAAAAACTTCAAGTACCTTTACTAGATATCAGAGAATAGATATGGATGGGATTTATGTAATTTGTTTTTCAGGCTTTGGAATGCCTTATTGAAAGTCATATGCTTACATCTGAAGAAGGTGAGTTATATTTGAAGCTTTTCTCTATTATATTGGCTTATTTGTTTCACGGTGCAGTCGTTTACATGACTAGAAGGTAACAGAAACTTTATTTTACATAAATTCAGAAGGCACTCTGCTTTCTTCACTTCAGTTTAGTCCAGAAGACGGATGGCTCTCTTCTTTCTATTCATGCTTAATAAAGAAGGTAAAGGTTTCTATACAGTAACTTGTCTGATCCGATATGTTTCAATAGTTATGTGGCACTGATATTTGGAATTTGCTTGTTGATTCTCCATTCTGATGATTTCTTTTTACAAGCATCTTTTCCGTTTCTTCTTAGTACTTATTAGTTCTTCATGTCCAGTATGACAAAGATAGCACAGTAGAAGCTAGGTTCAAGAAGCTTGAGAGCGAAACTAGTGGTAGTGGCTCTGCCTCATCTATGATCAGTACGTTGGTTAATAACACAGATCTGTTGGCCTGCAAAGCTGAGTACTACCATCAATGCTGTGAATATCAGAAGTGTTTCGAACTAACCTCTGCGTAAGTTTGTGTATATTACTGCTGAAGCTAAAATTTGAGCAATATGAAGCTTCAATGATTCTAGTAATGTGTACTCTTTTGGTCTAACTTGACAGACTCCTTGAGAAAGATCCTTTTCATCTGAAGTGTACCTTAGTACATTTGGCTGCTGCTATGGAACTTGGTAATTCAAATGAGCTCTATCTAATGTCATGCAATTTGGTGAAAGACTACCCTTCGAAGTGAGTATAAATTTTATTTTCTCAAGCTATATGGCCAGTGGGCGAGCATGCCAATTAAGATATAGTTTTCTGTTTTATCCCAATTTTAGCTAGGATATTTAACCTGTTTTATGGTTTAGCTTGTCAAGACCATGAATCAACTTTGATAGCTTGATTTCTTCTGTTGTTTTCATGAATTGGTATGTAAGCAGGATTCCTTTGCTTGATGCTTTGTGGTGTATAAACTCATTTATGACCTTGTAGGGCTTTATCATGGTTTGCGGTGGGTTGTTACTACTATTGTATCAAAAAGTATGCTGAAGCTCGGCGGTACTTTAGGTAATTATGCTATGGCATTATGCAGGCTTGATCAATTTTAGTATGTAGCTGCAAGGGTATATATATGACTTTGAGCTCCATTTGTTATAATATGGTCTTGCAGCAAAGCTACAAATATAGATGGCTCATTCTCACCAGCTTGGATAGGCTTTGGTAATTCTTTTGCCGCCCAAGAGGAGGGTGACCAAGCCATGTCTGCCTACCGCACTGCAGCTAGGCTATTTCCAGGGTAATCAAGTTACTCTTCTTTTCCTTCAAAATTAGTGACTGTAAGTTCGTAACTTGTTTCCGAAATGAATCATTCTCAGCCCGGAAGCATTGCGGAAGTCTTCTTATTACGTTACATATTGTCTTCTACAGGTTGAATCTTGATATTATCTTGTTCCAGGTGTCATTTGCCAACTTTGTACATTGGAATGGAGTATATGCGAACTCACAGCTACAAGCTTGCGGACCAGGTAACAAGTTACAGTATACTGTGTGGTATCTATAAAAATAAACAACTTATCTTTTGTGTTAATATTGTATTTACATCGATCCTTCTCTTGGCCCAGTTTTTCATGCAAGCAAAGGCGATATGCCCTTCAGATCCACTTGTTTATAATGAACTCGGAGTTGTTGCATATCATATGAAAGAGTGCGTTCATCTTCTCTTTACAGCTACATTATAAAATGCTATTTGAGAAGGTAACTATCCAGTAAATTGAGTCAAAAACATTCACTACGTTTCAGGTATGGTAAAGCTGTGCGGTGGTTTGAGAAGACGCTGGCCCATATACCATCAGCATTAACTGAAATCTGGGAACCAACTGTGGTCAATCTCGCTCATGCATATAGAAAGCTAAGGTATTATTGACGCACACAAAAGTTCCATGATCGTCCTCTTATGTTGGCAATCTCGTGCTGTGAATGTAATGAAGTCACTGACTCGTGAAAATTCTTATCAACAGGAAGGACCGTGAAGCTATCTCATATTATGAAAGAGCACTTACACTATCAACTAAAAGCTTAAGCACTTATTCCGGATTGGCTTACACTTACCATCTGCAGGTATTTGAGCGTTATTTAAACACCAATCATTTTCTTCTAAACAGTACTAAGGCTTGATTACCACATAAGCATAGATTCGCCTATTCTAGCCTTAATAATTCCATTTCCATCTTATTCTTGTCCAGGGGAATTTCTCAGCTGCCATCTCATATTATCACAAGGTATACACACTACTCTATATGAGCAACACTTTTCTTCCTCTCAGACGCTGAGCTAAACATTCTTAATTTTTTCTCAACCATCCTCTCTGTTTCTTCTGTCTTCAGGCCCTATGGTTAAAACCTGATGATCAATTCTGTACCGAAATGTTGAACGTGGCTCTCATGGATGAATGTCAGAACGGGGTTGATTCGAAGGTTGAGCTTTGATGAGAACCTGGTCAGTTAAATTAACCGCCTTATTCTAGTCTTGCTGTAATTTATCTGTATTATTATTATTATGACGCCTGCAATCATTACTTATAAATTATTCCATGCATAAAAAACCAGGTGACTGTTACAATCTATTCTTTATAGTTGGTCTACACACACTTCTGCTTTCCTTATTTTCCAGTATAAAGAGAACAAACATTTGTAGATCCAAAAATTTATTAATGTGCGAAGGGGCAGCTATGTTTCTCGGCAGTGTTGTCTCCACTGTCTGTGGTCTTAGTCTCTGAAACAGGAGGTCCCTTGAGCAGTCCCCCGAACAGCTCTCCTGGATCATAGTAAATCTCAATCTCCTCTGCTCTAAGCAATTCATCAACCTGTAGAGAAACCTCTAGATGTAAGCAAATCCTGATGCTAGAGACACAGAGTCATGTTTCAGACATACCTTTAGAACTCCCAGGCCGAGGAACTGAACCATTTCCCCAGTAGGAGCATGACCTTTGAAATTTCCTTCAAAGTAGCCCCAGTGTCTAAACTTGAAGGCTATAACAGGCGGCCCCGAGTACACAGAGAGTGTCTCCCACGCAAACCCGCGTGGTAAAGCTGATCTAAAGGCGTCATGCGATGACTCGAAGCTCTCTTCCTCTGGCTTGTAGTACTGAAACTCTTCAGGCAATGAGTTCTTGAGCAAAGCATTGTAACTCCCAAGCCTGAGCGTTTCTTCAGCCGATAATCCTTCTCTCCCTGAGTAATTAAAAAACTCTGTTTGGTAAAATTATACAGTTTAAGATAATATAGGTTAGGTGTTTGAAGTAGTAATTAATTACCATTGACAAAGAGCTTAAACTTGTCGGGGTTTATAGTCTTGAAGTCTTGTAAATGAATCTTGTGTGATAACTCCATCTCCCATGACTTGATCGCATTTTGAACCGTCTCTTCCAACGAACCTTCTGGCCATACCTGTGTACAAAACCAAAGACAAGCAACGAGTCAGATTCATAGACTGTAAACTTAAGTGAAATATAAGTTAACCAAAGAAGGACCTTGGTCTGGCCTTCTTCAAAGAGCTTGTTCACAGCTTCGAAGGCTGGAGGGTGACCATACCTCCATTTGATCTGTCCTGAATCTTCAAGGATAAATCTATACTTATCTCTAGTAGCCATATTAGCTTTTGATGTCGAGAGAGTTAGGCTTGTTTGGCCCTTTTATAACCTCACAATACATGTTGATGATATTTAAGAAAAGAGTTTTTAGTGGATTACTCATGAATTTCGTTTTCTTAACTTTATCAATTTGACATTTTGAAGTTGTTAAAAGTCACAATCACATTTCTATATGTTATCAGGACTAAGTTGGAACCAATCACCCTCAGTTACTTCTTTGTCTGTCCAAATCGGCTTCTTCTTTCGTCTAATGACTTAATAATGTGTTTCACGACGAAGAAATAAAAATCATGGAAAATTACAGATTAGGAAAGTCTTGTTTTTGTTTTAGTATACTGTATGTTTGCTATCAGTAACGTCGGGTATTATATGATGATGATCATTATAGATTATCGACTTTTTCTTTAGATTATTGCTAGAAACTATTATAATATTATGGAAAAGGCCACAATTGTGATAAAGCAGTAGACAGACAAGAGAAGAGTTGATTATACAATTACATGTGTTCTTTCTTCTTCAAAGAGCTTGTTCACGGTGTCGAATATCGGAGGACCACCGTATCGCCACCGTATATTCCCACTTTTTCCATCGTTCAGGAGCGATCGGTATTTGTCGGCACCCAATCTCAGAGACGAAATGCCACCCGCCAGAGCATCCGCAGAAGAAGCCATTTTTGTGCGTTTACTTTGCATAGATATTATAACTTAACTAGATAAGAGCACACTATATATAGCAAGTATCGACGCAACCCTTTTAACCTAAGACTAAAACGATGATGTCAGATAAAGACAGATGTCAAGGTTTGGTCGTAAATATTCACTGGGTGTCATCGCAACCCACTGTGAAGTTACAGTAAGCTCCAAGTTAGTTTTACGAATATTTCTGCTCATGGACGATTTGTTGGCCAAAGGATCATCTTCAAACGATTACTATGCGTCTCTAATTGAAGTAAGATATAGTAATATATAGAAATCAAGTCAAATACATTTCGTTCTCCTTTTCTTTGCATGAACATTACCTTACATGAACCATATAAAACTAGTAACTACATAACCCCAAGCCAAAGAACAAACGGATTTAACTAGTTTTATGGTCTTCAGAAAATCTTGCGTGAAATCACTGTTTAATCTTCAGATACTAACAGTCAATTTGTTCTCAGTCATACCTTAAAAGTCTAAAAGAAGCTGTGGAAGAATCCTCTCCAAATGAGAAGCTTCAATCTTGTCCATTCCCTCAGCTTCAGCAATGATTGCAGCGCGCTGCACAGCCTCTGCAAATGCGATGAAAACACCCTTTAGTCACAACATGACGTAACAAAGAAAACTGAGTAATTTCCAAAATCCCAAAAAATGAATACACATGACCTGAGACAAAACTCTTGAGAAGCTCACAGCTGAGTTTCAGAGCTTCAGATTTCGCTACAAGAACCATATTATATTCATCAAGGGTCATACAAAGACATGTCTCATCTCCAAATTCACAGGATAAAATAAGTGCAAAATGTATATATACAAACCAGAAGCAAGTCTGTTTTTCTTCGATGCTCCCATATCAACCTCAGCTTCAGCAGCAGCATCAATGGCATCGCTTCTCTCCCTTTCTGCATCAAAATTGGAAGAGAGAAAAAGAGTCGCAGAGAAATCAAAACCAAAACAGAGAAGATCAACATAAGCGAATAAGTTATTACTGTGAAGAAACATAAATGGGTACCTCGAAATCTTCGGGCCCAAATGTGCTTGAAAATGGCGTGAATCAGATCCTAATTACATGAAATCAACGGTGGTTCAAATGAAAATCATCGAATGCAGACACGAAAACGGCGAAGGAGAAAGGAAAAAAAGCGAGCAGAAATTACAGAATCGAAGGTATTGTTCGCGTCCATGACGTTTTCCGCATGTAATGGAAGCTTCCTGCTGCAAAAACCAAAACGGAAACCGATAAACATCAGAGAAATCATTAAAAAGCAAAAAAAAAACTAGAATCATGGAAATCAATACCATCCAAAATCATTGACAGCCAAGAGAAAACCGATTCTCAAATTGAAAATTCACAAAACTATATACCTTAGATGTTTATACGACGGAGGCAGAGATTTGCAGTGAGGCGGCGAGGAACAACGACGACAGGTAGCTCCGATGGCAGATTGGACGGAAGAAGATAACTGGAATTTGGAAGACGGAGAAGGAAACTCGAGGCAGAGATCCAAACGACAACGTTTCAACAGATTTGGGCCCGTAAGACCCGGCCCATAACAACAGTTTTTACTTACTTTGTAAACCGCAACGACAGCGTTTAGATAGCAATGGTAGCAGAAATATACTTTTCCTGTAAGAGAAATTTTACAGACCAGGCTCATATTTGACCAGAGATTTACTGATTCGGTTTGATTTAGCCAATTTATGCTCAAAACCAAACTCAATTAAACCGAAACGAATCAGTCCAAACTTCAACCAATCATTCGAGTTCAAAGATGATTAAAAGCACTTGTAATTTCATACCTAAGCCTAAAGTATGCTGTATAACGAAAGATCTATGCTTCCTAAACAGAGGAACTTCAATCTTCTTTAGGACTTGATACAACCTCGACGAGATACTGATTCAACTTCTCTCCAAACGTCTTCACAGAGAAGGATTCAACAACGTGCTTCCTGGCTTCAGCTCCCATTCTATTCGCCAACTCCGGATTCTCGATGAATCTAGCCATCGCCGAACTGAAATCTTCTGGAGTCGGTTCACAGAGATAGCCGGTTAGTCCATTCTTCACCGTCTCCACGGGGCCACCGCTGTTGCAGGCTATCACGGGTTTGTATGCAGCCATTGCTTCTAATGGAACAATGCCGAAATGTTCATCCTAGCGCATTTGAAATGGACATTTGAGAGAATGAGAATGAGACTGAAACTTAAGAGGAAGAAAGGAAACAGATGTCGAACTTTACCGTTGGTGTGTAGAGAACGCACAAGCAGCTCGAGAGAAGTTCGTTTCTTTCAGCGGTTGAACAAGATGTGATGAAGTTTACTCGATCAAAAACTCCTTCTTTCTCGGCTAAGCTTTTCAGCTCCTCCAAGTACTCTCTATTCTCCTTCAATCGTTCGTCATATCCGCCTGACACAATGGAGTTTTCTTAGAATGCAAACGGTAAATCTTCATTCAATATTAGACTATGGAAGAAAAAGAGGAATAAATAGTACACTTGCCTGCAATGGTGAGAGTAACATCACTCAGATTTTCCTTACGTTTGCATAGTATAGCAAAAGCTGAAACGGCTAGATCGATGTTCTTTTTCCTCTCAAAGCGGTTGATGGAGAGGAAATTCAACCTGCTTGAGACAAAGGAAAAGAGAAGAACCTTAAAGAAACCCGCACAGAAACTTTCGTATGTAGTTTGAAAATTTGGAGTTTAGGGATATACAATACTTATAAGCATGCGGTTCATCGAACTGTTCGATATTGACTGCTGGGTAAAGAACAGCCGGGCGACATCCTCGTGCATGAAGACTCTTGAACGTCTTTGCAAATGTTGATGCAGTGAATTTGCTGTTAACAAGGATCATATCAGCCATTCCTGTGGTTTGTTCTTCGATAAAGTCAATGGGTTTCCGATACATCCTCCTGAGAGCAGTTGTATGCTTAGCTAGCAAGAGATCAGGGAAATGGCAGTAGAAAACAACCTAGATCCATATATGTTCCACATTTAGCTATTAATATTATAGAAACTGATCACAAGATATTATGATGAGAAGCAAAGCTTGAATACCTTTGATGATCTTTTGAGTTTCAGCAATGGGACTACGACTGAGACCTGGTCTGCAAGTATAACATCGAACGGAGACCATCCCAAGAGAACACAAAGAGCAACAAACAAGCACCTCAAATATGCACAGACTGCGTGTAGACGGTAGAAAATATGCCGTGGCAGGAACGAACCATACACCGTAACTTGAAAGATGCCTGCATAGTTGTTAAAGACATCAAATCATAAATATATAATGCTTACAATTCTGAAGAAAATCCTAAATTGGGGGGAAATTGAGTGTTAAGAATCTGAAGTTCAAGCTAAATTATAACTTTTGTAGCTGTTTTCTGAAGTTTAAGCTAAATCTTAACTCACCAGAGAGAGTTTCTTCGAAGCATCGAGATTTATCGTGGTGAGAGGTGAAGACATGAACTTTATGACCCTGCGACGCAAGCTCAACCGCCGCATCGACGATCAATCTCTCTGCTCCACCTTCGTATTACCAGGAAAAAACACCGATATTAGGGGCAATTTAACGCACTAGTGTGTAAACTCGCTCTTGATTTCTCAAATGGTAGATTCGGTGAATTTGGCCTTATACCAGTGATACGAGAAGAAGAAGGTTGATAAGGATAAACAAAACCCGATCGCGTGACAGAGAACGTACCTATTCCAAGATCTGGATGTATAATGGCGATGTTCATCTTTGAATCTTCTTTTTTTCCCATTTTGATCCGACTTTACTTGCTATGTTTTTCTGTTTGCGTTTTCCTGGAAAATAAAATTTCAGGTGCAAGGAAAATCATGAGGGATGGTAGAGGCCCATCTATTCGCCCAGAGAAGCCCAACAAGCAATTAAATTTTTATTATTTATTTTTATTACATTTTTACAAGACAGCTCCAGGTCTTTTGAAAATTTCCTAAAACGCATAAGATACTTTGGTATTTTCAAAACTGCACATATCTTTTGATATTAACAAAGACGCCTCAGATATTCTGATATTTCAAAACTACCGAATCTCTCTGTATTTTGATATTTTAAAAACTACCCTCAGCTCATTTGGTATTGTCAAAAACTGCCACAGATGTTATCTTATGGCGTTTTAGAAAACGGCCCAGTATTTACAAGTTCTTGTTATTTATAAAAATGCCTCATGACTTTTGATGCCTACAATATTTTCCACTCTTGTAAATGGTATTTCGAAATTTCACCAGGTATTTAGTATTTTCAAACTGCCCAAGATATCAGTGATTTATATAAAATAAATGATTAAATCAATGTATTGCAACATTTTCTCTTCTAGCATTTGATCTTGAAATTCTGGTTAAAATACTCCAAAATTCTCAGTGAGAAAAGAAGAGAGTATTATAAACTTAAGAAAATTCAGAATCCAAAAGTTGGGTGTATACACATTGTCTTTGGAAGTCACAGGAAGACGTATGAGATGTCGTAAACTAGTAATCGTACCTGAAGATTCAGTGCCCTCCATTTACGTGACTTTGTTTATCTCGACTCTTTCAAATTCAAGAGAACAATAAGTTACTGATTATGCTTTGCATCCTGCGTACAGAAAACATAAACATCGGTTTCATTGATCAAACACCAACCAATCGATTCTACATCAAAAGTTGTGATTAGGTACGATGTATACATACCATCTACGAACCAACGCATGACTCATTGTTCTCCTGTGGATTATCAGTTTTATCTTCGCACATATGTTCCTGAAACGATACCACATTTCATTCGCATAAAACCATAGTAGTAATTAAGAAAAGAAACAGTTCTTGTTCTCTTTAGGTAAACCTCTCTTACCTCGATTACTGAAGATGGCTTCTCATTGTTCTGGCTAGCATTAGATTCGACATTAGAAGCACCACTTTTCACCACTCTACTTGGAAGACGATCAAACTCCCAGCCGAGTAGCTCACAGACAAACCGAGCAAAAGCCCTGTGAGCTCGTTTCTTCAGCTTCGGCTTCTTAGTGAAATGCTGAACAAGTGCGTAACAGTGTTTGAACCTCTTTATCATCTTCCTCTCAGTCGCAGCACAACACACAAGACAGATAAAGAGTCCACCTTCACTGTTCTTCTCGTAGTAGCTCTTGAGCTCAGCGTTCTCCGAGAAGACTCGAGATATCAACTCCAACTCCTCTGACAAATTCTCATCACCATTCTCCTCAATTCCATCATCAGTAGTATCCTTGGCAAGAAATTCTTTCAAAGCTTCTGACGCATTCTGCTGCATTTGTAACAATTCAGTCTTTGCAAGTTCCTCTACCGTCACGACCTGAGGCTTCTTTGGATCCGAAAGCGACTCAGATCCCATCACCACCTCTACACCAATCTGTTAACCATGCAAGTAAACAACAACAGGAATGATTAAACCTATCAAATTCATCTTTCGTCACCATTTCCGTTAATTGGATTCACACAACCAAAGAACCAAATCAATGTAACAGTTGCAACCAATGATCAATCGAATCCAAACGAAAGGAAAAAGGATAAAACTTGACCTGAGCGTTCTTTTGAGACGACGCAACTGGACTATCAACGTCCCAGCCAAGAACATTGCAGACAACCTGAGCGAGAGCCCTATGCGGAGTTTTCAAGACCGTCTTGTGAATCGCAAGAGAATGCTGAATCAAAGCCAAACAGCTCTTGAATTTCCGGCAGCTTTTATCTCCGGTGCCGCCGCAAACGAGGCACCAGAACTCTCCATTCCCGGTGTTCTTCTCGTAGTATTCCTTGAGCTTCCCGTTCTCTTCAAACAATCTCGAGAAAAACTGAAACTCCTTGGAAGAAGTTTTCACTCTCTCCGAAGACTGATGATCGTCGTCTCCTTCATCGGTATCCGACGATCCATCATCTCCCCCAGCGCCGGAGCTGTCTTCTTCGCCGGATTTTCTGCCGAAGAAGTCGCGACAGGTGCGGTGGATTTCTCTCTGAAGCTGATTCGCAGCGAATTTCGCCTTCTCCTCTTCCGAAAGAGGTCGCGCCTTCTTACACGGCTTGAATTCCGGCCAGCCAGATCCCGTTGGAGGAGAACGATGAAGCTCCTTCACGGCCCATTCCCGATCCCAATCGGGCCTCGAGCGCTTGTTATTGTGGAGATTTTGAGGTTGGTTAGGGTTTCGCGATGTCATCGGCGGAACAGCAGCTCCATAGCGAGATAGGAGCTGGAAATCCGCCGGCGGGATGTAATTCGTCCTGGATCTCTGAACCGGGTCCTGAAACGGGTTGAAACTAGGGCTAGGGATCGGGTTCCGGGTCGGAGGACCATGGTGCCAGAGAGAGTGAAGGTAGATTACCTCCTGCTTCAGAGATTCTTCGTCGTAGAGATTCATACTTTGTTTCCGCCTTCCTCTAGAAAACGAGACTTTCCGGCGAACTATAATTTTTCAGTTCCGTTTTAGTCGTAGTTTACTATTTATTTATCAGGTCCCCCTATTCTTAACAGTTTACCATTTTCTGCATTTTAACGCCCTAAACTTTTTACGTTATGTGTTTTCAACCCATTTCTCTGCTTTTTACAATTTAAACCTTATACTCTGACTTTTAATATTGTACACTCCCCATATTGTAAACATGCTAAGTCCCCCAACTTTTACTTTGTAACATTTCAACCTTTTTAGTCTGTATACTATTTGCATTTGGCCATTTACAATAACCTTTTCAGTCGTAAGTTAAATCGCTGATTTGTTTTGGGTTAGTAGCTTAATTCAATCAAACATTATATCCTGCAGAGATCAAGTAACTCAAAAATCGAACAAAACACAAATTAATACACCAAAAGTAACATTTGGTAATAACACTCTCGTTTCCGGTTTCAAACCTATAAACTAGGCAAATACAACTGATCTACAATTCAGCAATATGTTTATACGCGTAAGAAACTAAGAGATTTATCCTCACACAAAGATTAACGTCAAGGCCAATTTTAGCACAAAGTGACTAAAACCAGTTATCGAGAGATTGATTAGTTCTTCATTTAGACTCCTAACTCAAAAAATATTAATTAATTACTACCGATGATAACTGAAATATTTTACATGTAATTTAGTATTTATATATATAGTCTATTCATAATACTTAAGTTATAGCACTAACATTGTTGTACAAAAATCAATATGCACCAAGTTAATTCCTAATTCTAGTTCACAAATCTGATCAAATGAGAAGTCTGGTCAATTGTGGTATCTAGCCATCTAGGCCATGATTATTATAATCATACAAACTACTTATGCATTTGGGTTTACATGTTATTAAGATAATACAAATCAATCATGGATCTAGTCTAGTTCTAGTTAATAAGGCAATAACAGTTGCAATAGCATACATATATTTTTATTGAATAGGCTAAACTCCTGTCTAAAATAAACGACTAACTCAAAGTATGATATAAAACTTTCTGCATATCATTAACATATATCCTTTCCTATTTAATCCACAACTTTTTCACGTTTTCAAATACTTAATGAGGAAAACTCACACATTTAAGACCCAACAAACAGCAAGAAAGTAATTTACAAAGAAAAAACGATAAAATGTATAATCTATAGATGTATTTCATTTGATAATCATGTTACTGCAACAGATATATACCCATTCATAGCTACACGCTTACACCTAGCTAAGCCGACACCAGGGTTTTCTCGCGCGCACGTGTGTGTTAGTGTGTACTTTCTAGGGTTTACAGTGTAGTAATTAACAGAATACACGTCACTATTTGTCATATAAAAGCTACATACGTACGTATTTATAATTAACAAAGTATTATGAATCTCATCATCTACATGTTATACATAAAATGATCTTAGATTAAGATTTAATTAATCTATAGACGGCGTATATGTATAACCAAGAACTAAGCTATCAAGTGAAAATACATATGCAGAATTGCAGATAGATCATTATAAACGTGGGAATTAAGTGAAAAATAAGTAGAGATTAATAATCATAGAGAGAATTAAATGCTTACCATTAATAAATCCCACTTTTGTTTTATTATTATGATTTTTTTTTTTGGCTTGCTAAGATGGCAAGTTGGAGTTACTACTAGTCCCCGTAGTACCATCTTGAGCATCATGAGTCTTCATAGGATTCCTCTTCTTCTTCTTCTTCCTTTTCTTGTACGGAACTCCTCTTGCCTTCGCCTGTGAATCTCTCACTTCCCTCAGAAAAACCCTTATTCCTCCTCCGGCAAACGGGTTTCTCTCCGGCAATCCTCCGTTCTCCTCGTAAGCCGCTCTCAGCCGTCCGATCAACGCATCTAAACTCCCCCACGCCTGTTTCAAAGGACAGTTACACTGTCCCGCCGGCTCAACTTGTCCGAAGAAAACGCATCCGTGGACATGAACCTTTGTCTTCCCGAATTGGTCGAGGTACTGGAGGAAATCGAGGATGTGGTTCGAGCCGCACTGTGAGATGTGGACTGGAGGCTGCTGGTTACGCAGGTATTGACAGAACGTGTTCCAGTCTCGCCGTTTCTGTGACTCGTACCTGCTTAGCGGTGGCGGGTTAGGAGGTGATTCCGGTTTTTGCGGTTCTTGCGGTTGCGTTTGAGACGATCCTTCTTCTATGCCTTTTCCTTTGTCTCTAGTACTAGCCATGACTCTTCGATTGGCTTTTACTGATCACTACATGGTTAAACTAGAGAGCTTCATAGATTTTTCTTGCTGTAGTTGAGTTTCTTTCTTTTGGGAGTCTTTGAGGGAGAAGAAGAGAAAGAATATAGAGAAACTATGTCAATGATAGTGGGGGAAAACTTTAGAAAAAACTTACACTAATTATAAATAATCTTATTATATTCTCTAAATTATTTGATGGGAATATATAGATAGATACACACGTAGCATCAAATCAACAAGGGGGTAAAATACTAAAAAGCTAGTGTACTATTATTTTATTTTTGTCAGCAAAATCTAGTGTTCTATACATGAAATCAACCTCGAATAAATCGTTTTTTTTATTACTAGCTTCGTTTTTAGTTAAACATAAAGTGATTCAAATTTGTTTCAGACCAAACAAATGTAGAACGTACATGAATGTATATTGTACTAATAAAGTAGTTGCAAATTATGTAATGATCTTTTGGGTTAAGTGATAAATGAGAGAGACAGGAGATGGGACCCGCGAGAATGCTTTAGTTCTTTCTTTTTTTGATCGGTCGACCTATCAAATTATTTTATCATCCTTTAATCTGTACGATTAGCATTTAAGTATTGTTAGCTAATAACTTTATTTAATTATATTTGTGCCATTAAAATTATAAATATGTTTCCATTCAGCTTAGCAATCATTGTCGTTAATCGAATATTGCCGCCCTATTATGTAATACAAGAAAATGATAAGTGAACACGGACATGTTTTTTTGACTTGTTGCGCAAAATATTTAAACAACCGCATGGTTCAATAGAAATACAGTAATGGTATGTATATTCACGTAGAAACCGTAGCAAAACAACAACAACATTTTGTAGTAAGCTTTTGCTTGTGCATGTAAACATTAATCCATAAATTATTAGGCCTGTAAATATAGCCCAACGGACTTGCAACTTGCACAATTCCTAAACCGATTCCTAAACCGATCTTTAATTTTAAGTATTTTATTTTAGGACAAATACGATTCTCTCAAATAAGACCCGAGACAGATAAATCTATGGAGGTCCCAATCCCAAAGATCCGCAATGGACGTTCATTAACTTAATATAAAGTCTTATCATCTACAAAATTAACATAATTAACATATTTTGATTTAATAATATGATTAAGGATAGGCATTTTTAGCTGCCACTGAGTCACTGACCAATCATTGTTAGAAAATTACATAATAAAGGGTCAATATCCATTATACACCCGTTCTTTGAAGAGTTTTTTCAAAATTGATATCATCACTTTCGTGGATTCCTTTACTTATAATAAAACACCATTACCTACCTACTCTCCTAGGTTTTGATTCTTCTAAATTTTACTAAAACCCATTTTAAAACAAAAAAGGACTATTTTTTTAGTTAAAGTTATGTTTTTTTCCTTACATATGCTCATTCAAATAAGTAATTAGTCGTATGCATAGAAAATGGTCCCATGGCAATCAAATCAAATCATAATCTAACAGAAAATATGAAACGTACAACTACTGTATACTGATATGTCACGATATGAATTATGCAAAAGCATTAATTGCATATAGTGAAAAGGCAAAAACGTTAAAATTGGATGGACTTTGGACAAGGAGAGTATTTTACTTGTTTGTAATTTATTAGTTTGCTCGGAAATTAAACACAAACACAAACCAAAAAGAAAAGAAGATTATATGGTGATACTGTCAACAGCTTACTTTTAATAGCGAAACATAATCGCTAGCTAAATTTATTCATTAAATTATTTATAGTGCTAATAAATTTCGTTAGGACTCTAAATACTTGATGTAACCAAATTGAAGTGTACCGAGAAGAGGAAGCAGTCAAACATTTTTTCTCCTTCTCTTCGTAGAAAAAGCCCAAACATTTGCAATTTGCAATCTCGATCACACTAGGCCTTACAATCGCTTACCGTCATTGGATCCGAGTCTTAATACGACATCGTCACATTGTAAATGACATTGTTTAGGCAAAGAGGCAACGAAATAAGTAATTACTTTGATCATCAAAAGTATATATAGTAAATAAAGCCAAAAAGAGGTAATACAATTATTAAAACGGTGAATCATTCATTACAAGCACACCGATTATTCATTAAAAATTCTTTTAAGTATTCACGTCGGTTTCGGTAAACAAATATAGCAAAGAACACTAATATTTGATGTAAGCAACAGAAGAAGTATTGGCGTCTCTGATGAGTGTACCAAGAAGAGGAGCAATCAAACACTTCTTGTCCTTCTCCTTGTAGAAGTAACCCAAACACTTGCAATCACGATCGCATTTCGCCTTGCAATCGCTCACCGACGTTGGGCCTTGTCCGTCATTCACATACGGCCCAGTAAAATGCTCGACGCCCACGATCTTATAGTAATTCACGGTTTTACCCTTCCCTCCGCTGCAAAACTGCGTCGTTTTGGGCGGCGCGCACTGATCGCTCCACCCGAGCAGTCCTTTCGGCGTGGGGCAGGCGATGCACATCCCGCGGTCGCAGTAACCGTAATCGCCGCAAAACGACGGCAAGCCACATTGACGGACGAAGTAAGTGGAGAAGAAAGAGAAGCTCTCTTCCCATTTGAGATACGTCGCCGGAGGATAGTACGAGAAGGCCTTTAAGCTTCCGTCGGATCCGAGTCTCAGATACGAAATCGTCCCGTTGTAGTTGATTTTGTTCAGGTTTAAAGTCCCGCCTCCGCTTCCGATCGGTCGGACTTGGAGTAACCGGCGGTTAGCGGTTTGCGGTGCCGGTTCGAGGAGAAGCTCCCAAGCTGACGGCTCCGTTAAATTATCGAACTCTCTTGTAACGGCGAACGTAACGGTGCCGCGGAAATCGTGATCTGGCCATCCGCCGTAAACTAACGGCTGACCGGTTTTGTTAACGTACATGGTTAAGCCTTTGGTATCCAGCACCATACTGTACGGACCGTCTGAGCCGTCCACGTCGGATTTACGGCTAACGAGTTTGTTAACTCCGTTGACTTTTAACGATTGGCCGGTGAGGAGTGTATCGGTGGGATGATCGAAGCTCTGCCAAACGAATTTGCCGTTTTTGTCGTGTAGCACGATGTTGCCGTTGGGGAGGATTCGGAATCCGGTGACGCCTTTGTTGGCGGTGTTAGTCTGCCACTTGACTCGTCCGTTTGACTCGGCGAGGACGAGGTTGCCGTTGCGGCCGAGTGAGAGGGTGGCGTTTTCTCCGACGGGAGTGTTCCGGTTTGCGTCCCAGATCCAACGCATGGTGGACTCGTCGCGCCTGAGTCCGACTCGGAGAGCTAAGATGTAGGCGCTTGGGGTGGTGTTGTAGAATAGGAGCTGGAATGGGGATGTGAAGAAGCTCGCGTTCGGTGATTCGATGAATCGGTAACTCGCGTCGTACTCGGTGATGTATTCGCCGAATTCGCCTTGGTTTACGACTCTGAATTGTTTCTCTGGTGGGACTTGAGCTGTAACCACCGCTATGGTGGAAATGGTGAGTGCTAAGATTGCAAATCGAAGCATGATTGATTGTTTCTACTTTGTTTGAGTAGTGAGATGATTTTGTAGAAGATGATTTGTGTGAGTGTATATATAGGTTCTTTGCTTTGGAGCCATTGGCTGTATTCGTTTGACAATTCAAAGTTGCAAACTGCGACTTGTCTTCAGATCAATCAAATTTTTATCACTTGGATAAGGTTTGTCTATTGATAATTTTTCGAATATTTCCACCACTGAGGTGTTAAGTTTTGCTTTACACGCATCTCTCTCCGCATCTATCAAAAACAAACAGTGTGTACAGTAACATGCTGACAAAAATACAAACGTTATCGAGTTTTGTCCTGTCGACAAATCTGGATTTCACTCGAAAACGCAAGTCACGAAATGAGCGAATGGTTTAGTTTTGAATAAATACCACAATTCCGGACGTAGTATATGACCTGGATTTGTTGTTTTGTTTGACTGAAAAGGCATCAAAGCTGTGGATATAGTTTGGAGGAAAGCACATGATATGTTTGTTATTGTTTTGTAATAAAACATCAAAGTCAAGGTTTGCAATGAATACGATACGAGGGGCCAAGGTTTAGCTTTCCATTTGAAAAGTATTCACGTATCCATTGGTAGCATGAACAAACCGAAGAATAACATGTGCAGCCAAAAAAAAAAACAAACGAAGAATAAATGCTCACAAAGTATTGATGGCATGAACAAACCGAGTAATAATAGTATAATACTACAGTACGGCATCTTGAATTTACCCAGCACCATAAAAACAAGAAATGGAACCTAATACCGGAATCAAGAAATGGAACCTAAAAACATCTAAACAAGGTTAGATAAAGTTTAAACTTGAGTTTGATTATCACCATGAAGTTTAAACCAGAGCTTGATCCACCTGGCATCTTGCAAGTTGACTTCTTTTTAATCAAAAGATATCAATTAAAACGATGGGAAGTTGCAATCGGAGTCATTTATATAAATCAGGAATTGAAACTAGACGGGTCTATAAGGTTATACATGCATATATCAAAGACTGTCCTTAATCAAATCTTCTGTTATCACATCAGTCTTAAACTCTTAATCCCTCAAATCTACGTGATAATAACTAGCGTTGACTGTGCAAATTTTACGAAACCAAAATACCACCTAATAAGGCGACGCGGCGTCGAAGCATCGTAGCACGCAATCTTCTTCGTTTTGTTTAAGCAAATCCGCTAATCTACTCCTCTTCTTGGGTTTGTTTTTTTCCACATTTAGCTTCGTGATTGAGACAACTAATAGTATAAATTTTCAATCCCTTAAATGTTATGACATGCGAAATAATGTGTTGGGTCCACGTGGGCTCGTGTGCGTAACAAAGTAATCAAGAATTTGATTCGTACATTTTATTAACTTTCACTTCATTACGATGCAACTTTTAGAATCAGTACATCATTTAAAAAAAAAAAGACTAAACAAACCAAATTTGACATTACTCAAACTCAACACAATACTTTCACATGGCTTCACAACCACACTTTCAAAGAACTTTAAGAACGTAAATCTTTTTAAGAACGTAAATCTTTTTAAGAATTTTTTTTTATCAGAAAATCATTTTTTTTTTAAGAAATAAAATTTTAAAGATACTTTTTTGAAGGATGATAAAAGAAAAATTATTGAATTAACCAAAAAAATAAGTGTTAAATTACATTATTGTCGAGAAAATAAACCGAATTTGGCCCCTCTTACGGTACAAAGACTGGATTCCAACTCCGATATGTTTCACAATTATGTAATTTCACACTTAATTTTTTTTAATTAATCAAACAATTTTAAAACCTTTATATATTAAAATAATCAAAAACTATGATCAGAAAACAAAACCTTTTAAGAAATAAGTTTTTGAGATACTTTTAGGAAAAATGAGAAAAAAAATTATTGAATTAATCAAAAGAACAAGTATTAAATTACATTATGTTGTGAAAACAAACCGAATTTGACCCCTCTTACCGTACAAAGACTGGATTCCAACTCCAATATGTTTCACAATTATGTAATTCCACACTTAATTTTCTTAATTAATCACAATTTTCAAACCCAAATTAAAATTATCAAAAACTATGATCAGAAAATATAAATTAAGAAAAAAAAATTTAATATAGTTTTTTGAAAGATGAGAATTTTTTTATTATTAAGTTAACCAAAAAATAAGTGTTAAATTTTGTCGTGAAAACAAACCGAATTTGGCCCCTCTTACCGTCCAAAGACCGGACTCCAACTCCGATATGGTTTCACAGTTATGTAATTCCACACTTAATTTTCATAATTAATCAAACAATTTGAAAACCTATTAAAATCATCAAAAACTAAATGATCAGAAAATAAAATTAAAACTATTTAAAAACCTTTTTTTTTCCATTGTTGAGAGATGAGAAAATAACTTACTGTTTATTACCATGACATATCTGAATCGGCGCTTGGTCCTTGTTATCAATCGTCAACATGGACCTGCCAATTTCTCATTTGGTTATTTCAAAAATATTTCGAAAGTATAAAGAAGTCTTGCATCTTTCGGCTCATATCTCTTAAAATGTAAAATATTTTTATATCCCATAAACTAGTTCTAACATCTCACTTCCAAAACTAAATTTGGTCATCAATCACATTAAAAAAATCACAAACCTAATGATTCTGATGAATTTTGTCTCTGTGGTTTCTCTGGATGAATTTTGATTACGGTGATTGAATGACTACAACACCTGAATAAAATAAAACACAGAAAGATGTGTGGAAAATCTAAATGAATATTATTACCAGAAGATAAGGATATTTAATAAATCAGCTCCTTTTACCTGTAATTTAAATAGATGCTGCTGTGATGAAATTCGTGTTCCGGAGATGGGGCTTGTTGTTCTTCATCGCTGACGGTTAAACACAACCCTCTAAGAAGTTATGAGCTTATCCAGATCTTTTTTCTTTGTCAATCCCATAAACACAACCTGTACTTCAACAAAAAAAAAAGAACATTTTCATATTTGCATATTGTAAGTCCATCCATCGTACATCCTCAAAATTATTAAACTCTTAGCAAAACTTAGAATTCTCTCTTGCTTACTTGTAAATCAAACTACAGCAGCTGAGCCCAATGCGCCATGTCGTCTTGTAGAAACAGAGCCTTTGCGAGTAAATGACACCAAATGCTATCGGTGAGATGCAAGAAAGACGAACTCATAGCAATTGTCTACTTAAGATCAACCTCTCTTGACATTAAAACCAAAAAAGAGTAACCTCCAACCTCTGATACGGAGGAGGAGCCGTTTGAGAGTTGTTGGGAGAAGAGAGTGAAAGTAAACAGTGAAAAACGTTTGAAGAGTATTTATAATTAAGCTTCATGGCCTTTTACTGTGTCCAACGGTAAAACTTTCAAATTTCGATTTATCTCACTGTTGTTCTTGATTATAGTGAGGGTAAATGTAGCCGTTAACAATCAATCACCCAAATTGTTGATTTATAAAAAGAATCAGTAATTTTTATTGATTAAAGAATCTGTATTAAAAAAAAATCAATAATTTGAAACTTCAGTTCCATAATTGTTTGACATGCGAAATAATGTATTGGGTCCACGTGGGCTCGTGTGCGTCACTAACAAAGCAATCAAGAATTTGATTCATACATTTCATTAACTTTACTTTACTACGATGCAACTGTAGAATCATTACATCATTTATTTAAAAAGACTAAAACAAACCAAATCTGACCTTTATTAAAACACAACATGATAACTTCACATGGCTTCACACCTTCAAAGAACTGACTTCTTGTTGGCATTCGGAGCTTTGACATAAGCAACCAACGAAGAATCTCCGGTTCTAGTCAATGTCTTGAGCTCATAACCCAACCAACACCTCGAACTCTTCCTGTTGTAGAAAAACCCTAAACATTTACAATCACTCGTACACTTGTCCCCACACGCTTTCTCTGTGGCCGATGAACCACCGTTATACTTGGTCATAAAACTATCAGCTCCTTCGATCTTGAAATAATGAAACGTCTTTGGATCGCAACTTGCGAGTCTCGGAGTTTTGCAACTCTCGTCCCAACCAAGAAGCCCTTTGTCGGTAGGACAAGCGTTACACTGACCTTTCTTACACAAACCAAACTCCAAACAATGCTCAGGTATTCTACACTCGTCGTTGCCGTCAGTGTCGTCGTTCTTAAACGCCGTGTACGTCACGTCCCAAGCCGTCGCAGTCGCTGCCGTGCTGTAACTCCAAACTCTGATGTTTCCGTCTGACTCTAACCGAATAAAGCTCAACGTCACGTTGTGTTTCGGCCGCGAGAGAAACGTCGAGACGTTGAATTTAGAACCAGAGTCGACACCTTCCATGTGTAGACCCCACGTGGTATCGGAATCCTCCACGGCTCCGAACGTCATAGACTGTAACTGAGTGATCTTGGTGAAGAACTCATAATCGTAATAAACGATTGGTTTCGGGGTTTTGTTTGTCGTGTAGTACAGAACTAGCTTCTTGTCTTCCATCACAAGACTGTATGGTCCGTTTGTGTTGATCGACGGAGACCGTCTGCTCACGAGCTTGTTCCGACCGGTGCGTTTTAGTGACTGTCCGACGAGAAGCGTGTCGGTCGGAGAATCGAAGCTCTGCCATACGAATTTCCCGGCGGAGTCGTATATTACCATATTGCCATTCTCCAAGATCTTGATCCCCACGGCACCTTTGTTAGCAGTGTTCGTTTGCCAGACCAGACGACCATCGGATTCCGCCAGCACGAGGTTTCCGTCTTCCCCGAAAGTCAACGTGGCGTTTTCTTTGACCGGCGAGCCACGGTTAGCTTCCCAGACCCATCGGAGAGTGGATTCTTGAGCTCTGTTTCCGATTCTGAGAGCGAGAGTGTATGCGTTTGGGGTTGTGTTGTAGAAACAGAGACGGAAGTTGTCGCTGAAGGGTTGGAAGCCACGTACGTCGGGGCTGTATTCGATTGGGCTGTAATCCGTGTAGCCTCCTTCGTTGACCACATGGAATTGGTCGTCGACGGGGACTTTAGCTTGTGCTCCGATTAAGAAAGTGAAGCAGAGAGCTAATGCAAATGCAATTGAGAATTCCATTTTTTGTTATTTGTGTTTTTGATGGATTATGGTGTGATTTGGGTATACAGAGTGAGTTTCTATTTATAGGAGCAAAAGGGAGTCTTTGTTTAATTGATTTTAAAACGTTTAAATAGTATTATATTTTCAAACGACTTTTTGGACTTTGTCTTGCTGTAATCTACTGATTTTGCTGGTTTTGCTTTGAACAATTTATTGAGCTTATCTTAATCTCAGTGATAACGTGCACGATTAGCTGAGCCCAGTCAGCGATTATGAACGATTTTTAATTGAATACTAAGGTGTTTAGCAAAAATTTAAGATTTATCTGTCGTACTAATTAAGTAAGAGTGAATTAACAAACAAAAAAAGGACAGTAACGGTAATAAGGTTGGTAATATATAAGGTTATACTTTATTCTAATTTCCCAAGCAATAAAATGTACAACAAAGCCATGTTTTTTTTGTTTGAATTTCATATCCGGTGTAATATATACAATCATCCAAATGATTGATTTATAAAAAGAAGCAGTATACGTGTACAATGAATTGTATTTGTTAATATTCGACCAGATTTTCCTCCAATCATTTTTACTTGAATATCGGAGAGTCTTTCTTAACATTCATACAAAAATAAAGAGGACAAAGGATAGATAAATCTCTATGTTCTGCTCTCTAGTCTCTAGATCTGATCTGTCGGATCGGCGGTGTGTTCATGACTTCATGCGTGTCTGAGTGTCTCAATACGCGGCGGTTCTCAGTTGTTCGGGGCCCAGTCCACAAAACACGTCAAACTCGACGGCTCACTATTTTACCATTAGCTTATCCGCTAATCCACTCTACTCCTCTTCTTGGGATTTGTTTTTTCAAATTTTAGCTACGTACATGGCAAAAATAATCAATAGTTTAAAATTTCAGTTCCATAATTGTTTGACATGCGAGATAATGTATTGGGTCCACGTGAGGTCGTGTGCGTCACTCACAAGGCATCAAAAATATGATTCATACATTTCATCAACTTTACTTTATTACGATGCAACTTTTACAATCAGTACACCATTTATAAAAAAGAAAAAAAACACGAAACAAACCAAATTTGGCATTATTAAAACAACACGTACAATAACTTCACATGGCTGATGGCTTCACACCTTCAAAGAAGTAACTTCTTGCTAGCATTAGGAGCTTTGACATAAGCAACCAACGAAGAATTTCCAGTTCTGATCAATGTCCTCAGCTCATAACCCAACCAACACCTCGAACTACTCCTATTGTAGAAAAACCCTAAACATTTACAATCACTCGTACATTTGTCCCCACACGCTTTCTCCGTCGCCGACGAACCACCGTTGTACTTAGTCATAAAACTATCAGCTCCTTCGATCTTGAAATAATGAAACGTCTTGGGATCGCAACTCGCGAGACTCGGAGTCTTACAAGTCTCGTCCCAACCAAGAAGCCCTTTGTCGGTAGGACAAGCGTTACACTGACCTTTCTTACACAAACCAAACTCCAAACAATGCTCAGGTATTCTACACTCGTCGTTACCGTTTCTGTCGTCGTTCTTAAACGCCGTGTACGTCACATCCCAAGCCGTCGCTGTCGCTGCCGTGCTGTAACTCCAAACTCTAACGTTCCCGTCTGATTCTAACCGGATAAAACTCAACGTCGCGTTGTGTTTGGGACTCGAGATGTAAGTCGAGACGTTGAATTGAGAACCAGAGTCGACACCTTCCATAGATAGGCCCCACGTGGTATCGAAGGAATCTTCCACGGCTCGGAAAGTCATAGATTGAAACTGAGTGATCTTGCTGAAGAACTCGTATTCGTAAAAAGCGATTGGTTTCGGAGTTTTGTTTGTCGTGTAGTACAGAACTAGCTTCTTGTCTTCCATCACGAGACTGTACGGTCCGTTTGTGTTGATCGACGGAGACCGTCTGCTCACGAGCTTGTTCCGACCGGTGCGTTTTAGTGACTGTCCGACGAGAAGCGTGTCGGTCGGAGAATCGAAGCTCTGCCATAGGAATTTCCCGGCGGAGTCGTATATTACCATATTGCCATTGTCCAAGATCTTGATCCCCACGGCACCTTTGTTGGCGGTGTTCGTTTGCCAGACCAGGCGGCCATCGGCTTCCGCGAGCACGAGGTTTCCGTTTTCTCCGAAAGTCAACGTGGCGTTCTCTTTGACCGGTGAGCCACGGTTAGCTTCCCAGACCCATCGGAGGGTGGATTCTTGAACTCTGTTTCCAATTCTGAGGGCGAGAGTGTATGCGTTTGGGGTTGTGTTGTAGAAACAGAGACGGAAAGTGTCGGTGAAGGGTTGGAAGCCACGTACGTCGGGGTTGTATTCGATTGGGCTGTAGTCGGTGTAGCCTCCTGTGTTGACCACTCGGAATTGGTCGTCGACGGGGACTTTTGCTTGTGCTCCGGTTAAGAAAATGGAGAGAGTGAAGCAGAGAGCTAATGTGATTGAGAATTTCATTTTCTTGTGTTTATGTGTTTTTGATGGATTTTGGTATGCATGGTGAGTTCTATTAATAGGAACCAATGAAGTCTTTGTACGACTTTTTGGTCCTTGTTTTGCTGTAACCTATTGATTTTGCGAATTTGAATTTGAACATTCTAGTGAGCTTATCTCGACATCAATGCTAATTGCTAACCGAGCACGACTATCTAAACCCAGTCAACGATTATGGACGAGATATAATTTAATCCCAAGGTGTTTAGCATGATTGTAAGTAAGAGTGAATTAACAAACAAAAAGGGGCAGTAACGGTAATAAGGTTGATGCTTTTTTATAAGACCCAAGTAATCAAATTTACAGTTTTCTTCTATCAAAAGCCATGTTTTCTTCTATCAAAAGCTTGATATATTGGTGAATAGATTACATATTCTGTGTTATTGGTGACTAAACATGACATGTTCTTAATTAAGCTTTCTTCTAGTAGGACCAGTACAATGACATTACTGGTTTGGGGTGGGACCGACCAGCAACCTTTTAAGTTGAAACTTTTAACTATGAGCCAGATGATGCTCATGGTCGATTCTCTCGTCGCATATTATTATTATTATATAGATAGATAGAATTCGATATGATTCAAGTACGTGCAGTTTGAGAGTAGCTATCTTTATCAAGATAAATATCATTCATAATTATTTATCTCTGTGAAAATCTGGATTCTGGACGATGTATGTTGACCACTTGTTAATAAAGAAATTCGAAGGTGCTTTACAAAAATAAACTGACAAAAGGATCTCTATGTCTATATGCTCTAGATCGGATCTGTTCTCTGTGGTGTGTTCATCATGTGTGTCTCATTACCCGGCGGCTTCTCAGGTTTGCGGGGCCCACAAGGCAGGTCTAATTCGACGGCTTGCTTTTTTTTTTTAAACTTTATTTTGACAATTATTTTTCTGGGTCCACGTGCCAACTTGTTCCCGTCGGCTTGTCAAGTAATGAATGTAAATATATACCAAAATAAAAAGACTTATTCCATTGCTGTTATAACAGGCCAGGACCATCATATGTAATGGGCTTTCATTTATCTATTCAGCTCCGGTTGTTGGGCTGCATCCTTTGTTGGTTACACAAAACTAGTGGATGCTTTTGTAATTTATAAAGTTAGCGGGTAAATATATGTAAATTTGTAACAGAAATATAGATGGGAGTATTTGTAATAAGAAAAACTTCAAGGAACATATGAAATAAATAAAGTGAGCGGGGGATGTCACCAGAGACGAAACTATTGAGCGAATTCGTTTTAAAAAATAAAAATAAGGGCCATATGCAATAAACTTAAGGAGCGAAAGGTAGTAATAAACAAAGCTTTCGGGAAAATATGCAATAAACTAATTAGCTGTTAATTCATTGTCCAGTGTTAGAATTTTAAAGGCAGAGAAAGGAAATCTTTCGAGGAGCACGTCAGATTCGACCCAGACGACGTAGTGTTCTCGATTATCGGCGTGCGTATCTTCTTCTCTTTCTCTCTCCCAAAAACCCTAACTCTCTTAGATCGATCGAATTCGTGTAGCACGCGATAATGGCCAACAGTAATCTGCCCCGAAGAATCATCAAGGTTTGTTTTCCAATCTCGTTTCGATCCCATTTTGCGAATCTCCATGATCTCTGTTTATCTCGGATTCTATTTGGTAATTCTTCGATTTGGAATCGGAAGAAGCAAGAACTAGCTTTGTTTGAGCTGGAACTCACTGAATTTTGATATCACCGTTTGATCTTTACTTGTTTTCTAATTTTTTTTCTTTCGTTGCGATCTGATGATAGGAAACTCAACGTCTGCTCAGTGAACCGGGTAAGCTCATTGATTCGTCTTGCCTTGTCGAGTGATAGTGGTTGATTTCAACTGATTTAATTTTGACGGTTGAATTGTGGATACGGAATGTGATGTTCCATGGAGTTTGAATTTGGTTGTAGAGTATGTGAAAACCTGGTTTTAACGGATTTTCATTGATCGATTTGTTGCAGCTCCCGGTATAAGTGCCTCTCCATTTGAGGATAATATGCGTTATTTCAACGTTATGGTTCTTGGTCCTTCACAATCACCTTATGAAGGTAATTCTTATACGATGTTGTACTTATACCTTATGTAGATCAAGTCTGCTCATTATCGAAACTTAATTTTGTACTTATATATGCGAATCATTTGCTTCATTCTATTTTCTAGGGGGAGTTTTCAAGTTGGAGCTCTTTTTGCCTGAAGAATACCCTATGGCAGCTCCCAAGGTAAGTTACTTGGATCTGAGTTTCTATGTTTAAGTAATGCATTCTCTGCATACAATGGTGACTTGATTATAAGTAGGGCCAGTTATAAGACTCTAGTTATTAATTAGCTGTTGAGATATTTTTGAATGTACCTAATGATCTCTGAGAACGGTGCTTCTTTTTGGTTTATGACTCACGGTGCTTCTTTTTGGTTTATGACTCACATTTCTTGTCACAATTTCTCTTTTCGTATAGGTTAGCATATCCAGTTTTTTTAACTTTGAATTTGGATGCAGATAATTTGTGTTGAGAGTTGTAATTTTTCTATTCTTTAATACTCATAGGACTCTTTTAATGATTTGATATGGAACAGGTTAGGTTTCTCACCAAGATTTACCATCCTAACATTGATAAGGTCTGCTCCAACTCCTTCCTCTGTTTTCCTTTTACCATTCTCAAAGCCAAACACACTTTCCTAAACTTGGCTATTTGCATATACAGCTTGGAAGAATCTGTCTTGATATTCTGAAAGACAAATGGAGCCCTGCACTACAAATACGTACCGTGCTCTTAAGGTATATGAGTTTGATTACATTAGATTCTCTCCTGCCACAAACCATATGTTTCTCGAGGCATGACTGCTTTCTTATTCTATTGATGTGTAGTATTCAAGCTCTTCTGAGTGCACCAAACCCCGATGATCCATTGTCTGAGAACATCGCCAAGCATTGGAAGAGTAATGAGGCAGAAGCTGTGGAGACAGGTATCATGATTCAAACCATAAACTCTGAACTTAACTTGTTTTACTCTTGTTTTCTTCCTAAACCAAGTGTTTGTATCTCACATCGTCCTTGTGAACTACTTGCGCAGCTAAGGAATGGACCCGTCTTTATGCAAGCGGTGCCTGATGGACAGCAAAAGGATCTCTTTCATCCAAATAACATTACATTTGGTGAAATCTATGTCAACATCAAATCAAAAGTTATAAGAAAGCTTATATTATGCTGGTTCTTCCCCCTCATAATGATGAAATTGTGTTTTCAGCACAGGAAGCTGTAATCTCTACGAATTATTGTACCATTACTATAGGGTCAAAACTCGTTTACCCAATTCGATACTCGTCAAGTTTTGTTCGTTGAATCAAAAGAGCTCTTTAAAATTCCGTCAATATCCAAAAGGTTGTTGATAAATGTTTGAGTTTGTGCAAGTATTCATAAGACGATTATTAACAGTTCATAAAGTTTGCTTGTAGCCAATTTGTTGTTGTGGTGAGTCATCCAATTATTTTTAAAGCGATTCTGTGATTTTGTTGTACTGTTGGAGGATCGATAATTTGAAATGAATGTGCAACAACAGGCCAATTGCATTCCAAACGAAAAAATATATAAGGCCATTGTATTAGTAGGAAAACACACATGACACAACTATGGTCGGAAAAGAATAACCAGAAGAGCTTTACAATTACAAACCACAACACAAATTAAGTCACAGAAAAGTAATCCACATCCATCATAATCATCATCCTAGTGTAATAATAACTCGATATAAAAAAATAAGAAGAAAACACTACCATAAAAGCCACCAACCCAAAGGAATCATCATCAGTAGAGTAGAGAGCGAAAAGCCACCAACCAAGAACACGTTTTCAGATTTCATGAAAAATATTAATGAAGCTGAAGTGAGGCAGTGAGATTTTCCTCTACCAACCGTGGAAGAAGAAAAAGAAGAAAGACTTACTACTAACTGCACTAGACGGGAATTGCGTCTACGTTCGATGAATCTTCACATCTCAATACAATTCCTTCAAGACTCGCAGGGAACGTGCACTTACTCCACTGCCAACCAGCAGCTAATGGCTCTGTCATTGGGACTATCATTAGCACGTTTTCGTTTCTCTGCACCACTCCTATCACACTCACTGTGCTTCCTTCTTTGATATACCTGCAAGGATCACAGAAACCAGCAGATTTATTTTAGTAACTCTTTTATTGTTTAAGCTTTTCGATCACTTCTTTCTACAAGTTGAGTTTCTTTCCATACCCTTCTTTAAGCCGCATCACTTGTTCGTCATTGGATAGATTCTTCTGACCCAACCACCTTACGAAATCTGGAGACGTTTGCTCGCTTCCTGGCTTAAAATCGATGACAACAGAATCATCGACCACAGGCGTTACCTTTGCACCGTTTCCGGTTTTGACCAATGCTCTGAGCCCAGATTGGAAATCAGAAATGTAGAAGTCTACCACATGCCTCTGCAATGTATTGTATAGGTGAAAAGTTTTAAAGACATTTCACATTGAAACACAACATTTTTTCTGAGTAAACGAAATTGTCATCTCACCTCTGCAGATTTCAGTCCCCATGTGAAGTGGCGATGTGAAGCATTGGCTGGCTTTGAACCCCATCCACGGTACTCATATAGACAAGTAGACGTGTATACACATCTCGGAACTCTATGGAAGGATGACTCAAGCGGCACGTTACCACATGTTACCACCTTTTCAACAATTTGAATTTATAAGAACCAATGTCATTAACATAGTAGAGACTAAATATATAAGAGCAATGCAATAAAGTTTCTTAGATACTTACCCCAGTGACCTTAACGTATTGACCGTTTTTGGCAGTTCTAAGATCAGCATCAGGATAACGAGCGATGAAGTCTGCGATACCACGTCTTTCGCAAGAGATATTCCAAATGAAAAGTGCAGCAACAACTGTGAACAAGACCGCCACAACAATGAGGAGAATCGCATTGTGAACTGCTCCAAGAATGAAGCCTCCAGCGAGGAACCCCATTACAAAGATAAGTATAACCAGCCAGAGCACAGGCTTGGGGAAGCTCTTCATGCAGGAAAAGTCATCTTCTGAGCCAAGCGTAGTCACCGCCTGGTTGTGAACAACAGTAGGCATATGTGTCTTCATCGAACCAGAATAGTCTAGAGGACCAGAAATCTTCCTCGGAGCTCCAGATGAATTCAGAGGCCCCGAAGTAATTGGCCCAGATGTTATGAGACCTGTTGTTGGAAGTATAGGAATAGGGCCAGAGTTTTGCCGTGTTACACCACCGGATTGTGGACCAGAGGATTTCTTTAGAGGCTCTCCGTGCTTAGACAAAGGTCCAGAGTTGGTTTTCTTCATTGAATTCGATCCAGCAGAAGCTAAAGAGCCAGACATACGACCAGTGGCGTTAGGCACGCCTGGACCTGATTGTGAGCCACTTCTTGAAGAACCACCAGTTATTGGGCCAGACTTCCTTGACTTGGTCCCATCTGTGGGAATGTCAAACATCTTCCCTAATTCTCCTGACTTCTTGATATCACCACCTGTGTACGGCATGGCTACAGAGCTCATTGTTGGAGGCTTTTCTTTTGGTTGCTCCGGTCTACCAGACACAAAGAGCCCATTGCTGAGCTGGTGAGATGCGTATCTCGAACCCATTTTGATATCTTCAAGGGAAACCCAAAAGTGGATACAGATAGGTGAGCACCAGAAACAATGTGCTGAAACGTGAAGGTTTCAAAGTCCTGCAGGAACAAAATAAGGAATACATGAGAAATGGCCAACACCACGAATAAAATTGTATCAACTATCAAGAGCTACAACATCCTAATGTTGGGATTCAAGAACCAAATATCACTTTCCCTATCTAAGAACCTCCCCATTTCTCTGACAGATCCAGCTCACTGAGAACTTCTGATATAGTTAATATCACTTGAGATCTACAAAACTCCTATGTATAGTTCCCTATAAAGTCCATAGAGGAATCAAACAGAAATCCAGTAATCAGTGTCTCAGAACCCAGAAAAAAAAAGTAGAAACCCTAATCACAGTTTCCAATAGTTTGGTTTCCAGCTCAAATCAAACGACGTAGAGTAGAAATCGGCAGCAGATCGCCATGACTAACAAAACCACGAAAGAGATTGATCCAAATCCAATACCACCAACACGCAAAACTAAAGCAAAACCTAAATCCCCAAAATGGAAATAAACGATCACAGAAGGAAAAATCCAATCTGAGAAAAGGAAAGTAAAAAAACGGCGTCGATTCACACCTCAGATAGAGTGTAAGTGTCCACGAATCCCGGTGAGAGAAGCAAAAAAACAAATCAAGGAAAATAGTTGGAGTGGTGGGAGTGACAGTAGAAGACGAAAGCGAAGCAACACTCGAGTAGCTTAGATCCCATATCCGTAGCTCACTCTCCGCCGTCCCGATCCCGATCCCGATCTCTGCGTGCCGCAACAGTTGGTGCGTTGTCTCAATCTCTCTCTCTCTCTCTCTCTCTCTCTCTCTCTCTTTCCTCTTCCCTCACTTTCTCTCTCAAAAGCGCTTCAGATTTTTCCTTCCTTTTTAGTTGTACAACCAACTGATGGAAGAACACTCCGTTTTCTTTTGTTCCCGTCTCTGTCAAAATTTTATTGTCAAGAGTTTTAGGAATCCAGTAAAAGTAAAAGGAAAGGCTGTAAAACTGTAATTATTACAGATGACGATATATGTTGTACATTGTACTCGGTTTCACTACAATAATTGTTGTAACGTCAATAAAGCTCTCTTCACTTCCATCTTCACTCCATCTCTCTCTCTTCACTTCTCTCTACTTTTCAAAGAAGTTTTGAAAGATTATGTTTATGATGGAAACTCCAGATCTGGCTTGAGTTCTAATATGCCTTAAACTTGGTGGTCAAAACAAAACTTGAATACCATTGATGATTATTGAGGATTTGAAGTTTAATACTTATCAGAGCTCAACCCGATCTGGAGGTTATATCTAGAACAAAAGCAAAAAGTTTCTAAACTTTTTTTTGACAGCTAGAGAGGAAGTGAGAGTGTGAAGTAAAGAGGGTAAAATGAAGAAAAATAAATTTGATTTGTGAGACTGATTTAGCTATGGGATCTTTAGCTATTGAAGTTGTTATTGGACCGGCTTACTGTTGGAAATTGGATGTATTCAAGCTGGATCATTTTAAAATTGCACTTTTTTACTCTCATCCGTTAAAAAGCTAATCTTCTGTCTTTCTCCTAATTTCGTCGGGCCAACAGAAAACTGAACTTTCTCTCTCTGGAATATGGCTCGGTCTTTCTTTCCGTCACTTTCTCTCTCTAGGTGCCGCTTAGCCGCAGCTTCTTCTCTCCTTCCTTCATCTCGAACCATCGTGATCCGATCTCAATCATCGAACCGCCGGTCGAACCGCGTCGGTGAGCTCTACGAGATCGATATCGCCGCGGCGTCTCAGTCGCAATCCGATCCTCTCCTAGAGAAGCTAGAGGACGCGGTCCACGGGATAATGGTACGACGATCCGCACCGGATTGGCTCCCTTTTGTTCCCGGTGCTTCGTATTGGGTCCCACCTCCTAGATCCCAGACTCACGGGATCGCTAAGCTCGTTGAGAAGCTGGCGAATCCGGTCGGCGATGAAGAATCTATCTCGATCTCGTCGGGTCGTGGATGGCCTTCCTCTGATTACTTCATTAATGGTATGAGACCATTTACGCTTTGGTTCCGATGAAATGTTATCGTGATTGCGTTTGGTGATTGCTCTGAATTGTTGAAATACAATTAATTGAACAAATTTTTGAAATTGAAAAAGCTTTGATTTTTTACATGAAGAATCGAACTTTCGCTGAATCTGTAATCTGCGTAGGCAATCTTATTATCTTCTTACAGTTTTCTGATGATTAGAGATAAATTTCTTTCATAATTAGAGGAGTTTAGTCGAAAGGATATTGAAAAAGAAAGCTTTGGTTTGTCTGTTTTACAGTTGTCGTTGTCTGAAATTTCTGAAAGTTAGTTACATCAGTGATGGAAATGGGTGACCGGCTTTGATAATGACATTTGACCATGGCTTAGAGAGTCTTTCCCTTTATAGGTAGTGTCGTGATGGAATAGGTTTCTTCCTTTATTATGGTTGAAACTTGAAACTTGAAATGTAGTGTTAGTTATTTTGTTGCTTTTGCTTCTCTGTTCTTCTTTTTTGTAAGAATTGTCTGTGACTATGAGTTACCCGTCTTGATCGCATCTTGTAGCGTCAGATATGTTTTTCTTTGGGGTAAAACGTTTCTTAAATGTTTGGTCTTTTTAGCATTTCATAAAAGCTGATCGGCCTCTGTTTTTTTTAAAAGGTGTACAGCCTCAATCAGTGGAGACGGAGACGGCTTCAAATTCTGAGGATGAGGAAGGGTAAACCACAAAACTCGTCAACCCAGTGGCTGGGTAAGTTGTGAGATATTATTGACCAAGTACCCACTTCAGTAAATTTCTTTGGCATCTGATGGAACAAATTTCAAAACTTTGCAGGCTCTTCAAAGATTTGTTGATATTAAGAAGACGAATCAAAGAAGAGTTGAACCAGCAAGAGCGGCTGTGAAGACTGGACATTGGTTTAGACTTTTATATAGGGGTAGAGTATAGCAAACCTTTTACATACATCAGATCATACCAAGTTCTGAAATGTGAAACCGAATAAGGTGCTGTTTTAGTGTAATCTTCCTTATAACAGTTTGTTGAAAATCGTGTGTATATATATGTGCGCATCAGCTCGCAGATTCAGTTCCCAGTTATACTTATTGCAGATTGTTTTATTTGATCCATTATGCAGTGTATGCATTTCAAAAAGATTATAAAACATTAGACATTTATGAATAGATATGGTGTGTTGGGTGAAACAATATCATTACATTTTCACCATGTAGTATATCAGTGGTGTGTACATAAGGGGCAACAATTCTGAAGCTATGAACATAAACGAAAAATATAGAAACAAAAGCTAGACAGATTATGTATCAGAATGTACTTCTTGCTCTAAAACCTCGCCGTTTGCTCGCTTCAGTACACAGTTTCCAGGAGATTGAGAATTTTGACAGAGCATGGAGAGACAGAACATGCATAGTCCTGTTTCAGGACAGATGAACTAGTCAGAAACCACTGCTTTGCAATATTTCACGCAAGTAAGAAGAACCAAACGAATGAAACATTGTGTTTCATTTCTTTTACTAATGTTTCCATCAGGCAGGCTTTGTGACACTTGTATCTAGAGTCTAAGCAGCAAGAGTTTAAAAGACACAACCAAAATTTACTCTCATCAAGTTTCTATTAAATCCAACATATTGGTATGTAATGTTACTTATCAAGTACCAACACACTCTTCTAAATAAAAGTGATATTTTGCGCAAGACTGAGACTAAATGTTTGTGCTATTACCTGCATAAGCAACGGTTACACCTGATATGAGTCTTCCGAGAGCTGCTAAGAAGTAAAGGCAGATTACGACCTACAAGAAAAAAGCATCAGACCAACATCTTCAGTATATGGAATCAATCTAATAAGTGGTTAGTTCCATTGATGCTAATGCCTGATCTAAGAATAATATCTTATATGTGGTGCTGAGTTAGTAACTAAGTAGATACTTACCTTGACAAAAAGCCTCTTGTCATGTCCTGTTGCTGCAACTCTCAAAACGGCCTCTGCTGCTCCAACGGTATTAGCTAAGCGGGCAACGATGTTACTTGCTGTGTCCTGTGATATTTGCCACTCTAGTGGATCCACTGGAACCCTTGAGAAGAAAAGTTATAGACTTGTCAATCATGTCGCCGAAAAAACATGAGTCTTGGAAATTTCTTATATACAAAAAGAAACCAAAATTTCAAAGGCCGAGAGAAATCCAAATCAAATCAAACAAGAAGCTTGTACAGTGATCACTATGAAATTCATTTGGCGCACATGCCGAAATTAACAACAATGGTTGAACAACCACTATTCAATTCGAGAATTCAGACACTGAAGAACGAAATCCAATACAGGAAACATAATGAAATGTGAGAGAACTTACGATACATTGAGTTGGCGGAAAAGGAGACCAAGGATGGCGAGAGAGCATAAGAGAACGATGAGAACATCGGAGAAGAGAGAGAGAAGAGTCGCGTTGCGATATGCGCAGTGGTAATACACAAGCGTCCCGCTTATCAGCAATCCCATCGCTTTCCCCACTTCTCCCATCTCTCTCTCCACTCAAAACTTTGCTTTTCCCTTTACTCTCTCCCCAGATTTTCCCAGAAAGTTTTGATCTTCCCGGAAAATAAACGGTCTTTCTATGATCAGAGAGATTGTCAAGCATGTCTTGTCGTTAACGAATACACAGATGACAGAACGAAGGAGCACATAAACGGACCCACTTATTGGGCCTTAAATACATTATTATAAAGCCCATTAATAATCATCTACCACGTGGCAATTACTTACGGAGCCAGATATACAAGTGTAGCGTGTGAAGTCACGTACAGGATTGCTCCACCATTTCGTCAATCAGATCAAACTTCTACAACTCTTTCAATATCTACGTGCCTCCCCTCTCTTCTTGTGACCACTCTTCCTGTCTGTTCACTGGTTAGGATCTCTATCTCTCTCTCTCTGTAGATTTTTTTTTTTTTGTTTCCTTCTGATTTCTCGAAACGATCTGATTCAAAACCCTTACGAATTTCTGTTTCCTCGATCTCGTATCCTGATTCAAGTTTTTTTGACCATTTCTGTTTGGTGTGTGTATTTGATCGGATCTCGGCAGTTTGTAGGAGGTGAATTTCGTTTTCCCTGATCGATCGGATTTGAGGTTTTTTTGAATCTCTAGTCGCTGAGAAAATGCCGGCGTTTTATGGAGGAAAGCTCACGACCTTCGAGGACGATGAGAAGGAGAGCGAGTATGGTTACGTCCGCAAGGTATTATCCCGTTCGTCGATCTGATATTCGATTTCGTTTTTTCCTGTTGTGCGATGTTAGTTTTTGAGAATTGATAGATGAAATGGTTGATCTGCTATGGTTGTTGAGTAACTCGTATCCGAATTTCTGATCTGATCTAATGGTTCTTAGTGATTTGACATTTTCTCTGTCAAGCTCATTTCTCGTAATCAGATTGTTGATATACACGTATTGCGATGCAGGTCTCAGGGCCTGTTGTTGTTGCCGATGGTATGGCCGGAGCTGCTATGTATGAGTTAGTGCGTGTTGGGCATGATAACTTGATTGGAGAGATCATCCGTCTTGAAGGAGATTCTGCTACGATCCAAGGTTTTTTCTCTTGTGTTTCTTCGTGTAGTTTTACTCTACTGCTCATCTTTTCTGCAATTGAACGTTTTATGTGACCTGTGAATTTCCTCAGTTTACGAGGAAACAGCTGGTTTGACGGTTAATGATCCCGTTCTTCGAACGCACAAGGTTAGTGTGTTCTTCATCTTGGATTGATGGTTAAAGATCCTGTTCGTCTGCTGCTAATGTAGCTTTTTTTTTTTGAATTTTCAGCCTCTTTCCGTGGAGCTTGGACCAGGAATATTGGGAAATATCTTCGATGGAATTCAGGTTCGGTTTGATTTAGAATCTTGCTAGACATGAAGTATTGGACTTCAATGATTCGTTATAACATTGCATACAGCTGATTTGTGGCTTCTCACAATTTTGTTGGTTTCATTTTTTTCAAATATTTCAGAGGCCTTTGAAGACTATTGCGAGAATATCTGGTGATGTGTACATCCCTCGTGGTGTGTCTGTTCCAGCTCTTGACAAAGATTGTCAGTGGGAGTTCAAGCCGAATAAATTCGGTAATGTGTTTTACTTCATTGAATTTGACTTGGTTGATGTCAATTGATGTTATTGATGTCAATTGAATTTGTTATTGATGTCAATTGAATTTGACTTGGTTGCAGTCGAGGGAGACACAATCACTGGTGGTGACTTGTATGCTGTAAGTTTATTGGCCTCCTCCTTAAGCTAATCATGGCAAGGGAATATATATCATACACAGTTACTGTGGTGGTTCCCTTGTTTGCTATTGGAATAGTTTTTTCTGAAAGTCAAACATAATTTTGGTATGCAGACCGTCTTTGAGAACACTCTGATGACTCACCATGTTGGCCTTCCTCCTGATGCCATGGGAAAGATCACTTACATTGCTCCAGCTGGTCAATATTCCCTTAAGGTTTGAGTCTAGCTCTCTCTCAGTTAATTGTAAATGAAGTCATTTATAAACTCTTTTCTTTTCCTTCAATGTTTGAGATAATATATAACTTGATCTATTGTTAACACTTCCTATTGGGAAAGAGTGGCTTTCTGCTCATGGTTGTCTGACGGAGTTTTCATTTCCCAGGATACAGTGCTAGAACTTGAATTCCAGGGTGTTAAGAAATCGTACACCATGCTTCAGGTTTGAATGCATCTTTATACGTCCTACTTGCACGCGTAAATTTTAAGCTATTTGGTTCACTTTTTAAAATTTGTTTGGTTGATGTATGTCAGAGCTGGCCTGTACGTACGCCTAGGCCAGTTGCATCAAAACTTGCTGCCGATACTCCTCTACTGACGGGGCAGGTGAATACTCTTTTAATTTTTTTACATTGGTCATTGTCATTCGATGAAGTGTGTTGCTGATAGCTTTCTTTTCATGTTGTCAGCGTGTCCTTGATGCCCTTTTCCCCTCGGTTCTTGGAGGAACCTGTGCCATTCCTGGTGCTTTTGGCTGTGGAAAAACTGTTATCAGTCAGGCACTTTCCAAGGTAGGTTGTGACACTCGGGTTTTGTTCCACTTAATTACTGGATATATCAACTTTCCAGAGCTAATTTGGTCTTATATGCATAGTACTCCAACTCCGATGCTGTCGTTTACGTTGGTTGTGGAGAGCGAGGAAATGAAATGGCCGAGGTATACCTCTTCTCACTCTGAACATGCGTATTGGTCACACACATCAGAAATTGGGTCTGATGAATTCCATAAAATAGGTGCTCATGGACTTCCCACAATTGACAATGACGTTGCCTGATGGTCGTGAGGAATCTGTCATGAAACGTACTACACTGGTTGCCAATACCTCTAACATGCCTGTGGCTGCTCGTGAAGCCTCAATTTACACAGGTAATTTTCAGGCATGTAGGTTTAGTAGTTTTTAAAGAAGCCCATCCCATCTTCTAAAACTGCTCATTCAAACCATGTTTATTATGAGCCTCAATTTTTTGTTTGTTTTTGGTAATGTGAACTCCAGGAATCACTATCGCTGAATACTTCAGAGATATGGGCTACAATGTTAGTATGATGGCAGACTCAACTTCCCGTTGGGCAGAAGCACTGAGAGAAATTTCAGGACGGCTGGTAATATTTTCAGTCTCACTTTTGCTGTATGGATTTTCGTGTTGTCCTTATCTAGCTGCTCCTTTTCTCAGTTTACTGACACCTATTTTGCTTTATTTTCTAGGCTGAAATGCCTGCCGACAGTGGATATCCTGCCTATCTTGCAGCACGTCTAGCATCTTTCTACGAACGTGCTGGTAAAGTAAAATGTCTTGGTGGACCAGAACGTGATGGAAGTGTCACAATTGTTGGTGCTGTTTCACCTCCTGGTGGAGACTTTTCAGATCCTGTTACTTCTGCAACCCTTAGTATTGTGCAGGTGATCATTTGGTTTATGGCTGCTTTCCTATCTTTTGTTATTGTGTACATATTCTTATATGTTGATCGAGATGAACCAGATGGTGTTTAGAGACTTACATATGGCCAATTTTGTTCTCTTCCATTTTGGTTGAATTTATTTTTCTTGTTCTGCAGGTCTTCTGGGGTTTGGACAAAAAGCTTGCCCAGAGAAAACATTTTCCTTCAGTCAATTGGTTGATTTCCTACTCAAAGTATTCAACGGTATGCTTTAATATTTCGGGTTCTTCAAACCTGTCTTTGGTTTAGTATCTCGGATTTCTGTACATATGAGAAGCGTCTTCATTTTGTTTCAGGCACTGGAATCTTTCTATGACAAGTTTGATCCCGACTTTATCAACATCAGGACAAAGGCCAGAGAGGTGTTGCAGAGGGAAGACGATCTTAATGAAATTGTCCAGGTACGTGTCGCCTATCACTGTATTAGTATTGGATGCACGAACTCTATTATCTTAGTGATCCTAATGTACCTTAAGGTTTTGAATGTCGTTCTTCACTCATTATGCTTTGCGTGCAGCTTGTGGGAAAAGATGCGCTAGCAGAAGGTGACAAAATCACCTTGGAAACAGCTAAGCTATTGAGGGAAGACTACCTAGCTCAAAATGCCTTCACAGCGTAAGATTTTGGCTCCCTTGGTGTTGCTTTTAACCTCTCTCTCTTTCTCTGTCAACGTGTTATTTACTCTTTTGTACTTTTGGGACGAATGTGTTGACAGATATGACAAATTCTGCCCCTTCTACAAGTCTGTGTGGATGATGCGTAACATTATTCATTTCTACAACCTAGCCAATCAGGTAAATAAGATGATATTACTCGTAATCTTCTTTGTTGAGTAGGTATTTAGGAAAATTGGTTTGTCTAAAACCCATCTATTGCTGTAACATTTTTCCATGTTGGTGGTGATACACAGGCCGTTGAGAGAGCAGCTGGAATGGACGGTCAAAAGATTACTTACACTCTCATCAAGCATCGTTTGGGAGATCTTTTCTACCGTTTAGTGTAAGCATAACTACTTGTTTCGACAAAGTCCACACAGATTCTGCATGAATGTGTCTGAAACTGAAGTTGTCGTTTATGGATATAACAGGTCTCAGAAGTTCGAAGACCCAGCTGAAGGTGAGGATACACTCGTGGAAAAATTCAAGAAACTGTACGATGATCTCACTGCTGGATTCCGTGCCTTGGAAGATGAATCTCGGTAAATCTTTGTCTAAAAGTCCTCCGAATTGGGTGGTTTGGAGAAAGAAAGAGAGAGAGAGAGGTACTCATGTTCTCTTGTGTTTTTGAGCCAACAACTTTCATAGTGGTCGGTATTTTATTTATCGGTTTGTTCGATCGATCGAGTTTTTAGCTCTGTGAACATCATATGATTCTTCGGCTGTCCTGTGCTGTGTGTAATATGTTTGATTCGTTGTTTTTTATGTTTTCATTTTAATGGTAATAAGGTACAGCCAAAGTGAGTCATCTATTTCATTTGATGCACCCTCTCAATTCAATAAGTTATTTTCAAGTCCCAAATGTATTGAAACCTTTGGGCTACTGTTTACTTTCTCATAATATCATCATTTTGTATTGTTTACCATCTTTGATCTCTAGTAAAAATACTTTTATGAGTTGATCAAAAACTCTGAAGTCTAAACACACAATTGAGTCTGAAGTCCATTTTTTTATCTTATGGCGGTAAAATAAAATGCTCTGAAATTGAGAGACCTCACACATAATGGACCCATTAGTTGGGTAAAATCATAAATTAATATTAAGCCCACCAAGCGTAATTAGAGAAAGCCCAACATGTCCATTTTGATTCCCTCCGATTTGTTATCTTCTCGTCTTCGGCCGTCGCCGGAAGCCATCCGCCGTTTCGCCGGCGCTTCTACCTAGTCACAGAGAGCCAGTCCTTCGGTTTACTGATAAAACCTTCATGTGGAAGACCAATACGAGAACCAGCTTCCGTCAGGTATACCTGGCAGTCGTGACGAGGCGATACTCGAGAGTTGCTCCGCCGCCATCGGAGGTCATCCGCGTGACAAACAACGTAGCACACCTGGGACCTCCGAAGAAAGGAGCGTTGCCACGTCAGCTCATGTCATTGCCGCCTTTCCCTGGCCATCCGTTACCTGGCAAAAACGCCGTTAACAACGGAGCTGACGGCGACGAAGATGGAGGCCACGTCACGGCCATTAGTTGGGTAAAGTACTATTTCGAAGAAATCCATGATAAGACTGTCCAAGCTCACTTCACAAAGGGCCTTGTGAGTGTCTCCGGTATAACATTTCATTGCTTCTTAATCAAATTTGGATTCGAGAATATAGTTGACACTCTGCACATTTCTCTTTCGTTGAGAGATCGCCAAGAGGAGCAATTTGCATTTGGATTGTATTCATTTTAGTTTGATTTACATTTTTGTGGCAGGTTGAGATGGAGTTTCGAGGTCATAGAGATGCATCGACAGAGAAAGAAGATGGAGCTAGAGCCATGAGAAAGGTAAAGTTGATATTTGTTCTTCTTCTTGTTGTTGTTGGTGTGATCATTTTCTAGGATTTGGTTGAATAATAGTGATGGAATTGTACTCACAGATTAATAGTGATGGAATTGTACTCACAGATTAAGCATAACGAGGTAATGAAAATAGGAGATAAAATCTGGTTGCCGGTGTCAATCGCTGAAGCCAGAATCTCTAAGAGGTATGACACTATACCAAGTGGAACCTTGTATCCAAACGCAGACGAAATCGCATACCTTCAAAGGCTTGTCAGGTTCAAGGTAAATGTCGTTTGTCACTCCCTGCGAGAAGCTCTTCTGTGATTTTTAGTTTAACCCATTCGCTTCTCTGATGCAGGACTCTGCTATTATAGTTCTTAATAAGCCGCCTAAGCTTCCCGTCAAGGTAATAGAGTGTTTCTCTTAGCTCATGCATAATGACTTCATTCATGGAAGTAAACTGTTACAATCATCTTTTTGATTGTTTGTTTTCAAGGGAAATGTGCCGATACATAACAGCATGGATGCACTTGCAGCAGCAGCTTTGTCTTTTGGTAACGATGAAGGTCCTAGATTGGTAAAACTCACATATTTTGGGTATTGCCGTTTACTTGAAGAATTTCGATTTGGTTTTGACATGTTATTTGTGTTTCCATGGTCAGGTGCATCGTCTTGATAGGGAAACTAGTGGACTCTTAGTAATGGGTCGAACCAAAGAAAGCATAGATCATCTCCACTCGGTGTTCAGTGATTTCAAGGGGAGAAACTCAAGATGTAAGGTAAGAAGACACACTACAGTCTATAGCTAGTAAGGAAAGGTTGAGCGTAAAATTGTTTAAGCGAGTCCTAAATATTGTTCAATCCTAGGCTTGGAACAAAGCGTGTGAAGAGATGTATCAGCAATATTGGGCATTGGTGATTGGTTCTCCAAAAGACAAGGAAGGAATAATTTCAGTTCCTCTTTCAAAGGTATCTCTCTCATTTTAACTTCTGATGCCTGAATCCGTAAATGATTTTAAAAACCTCTTTTCTAGGTGCTTCTAGATGATGGAAAAACAGACAGGGTGGTTTTGGCTCGAGGCTCAGGCTTTGAAGCTTCACAAGAAGCTATAACAGAGTATAGAGTGTTAGGACCTATGATCAACGGGTGTTCATGGTTAGAACTTCGTCCCATTACTAGCAGAAAGCATCAGGTACCTTTGCTATATATTCTCTTTACCATTTTTTGTTTTTGTTTCCCTCTTCTTGATCAAGTTACATATTCTTCAACACAGCTACGTGTACACTGTGCTGAAGCACTTGGTACTCCAATAGTAGGTGATTATAAGTACGGTTGGTTCGTCCACAAGAGATGGAAACAGATGCCTCAGGTTGATATCGAACCAACCACCGGGAAACCGTATAAACTGCGCAGACCAGAAGGTCTTGATATCCAAAAGGGAAGTGTCTTGTCCAAAGTTCCTTTGCTGCATCTGCACTGCCGAGAGATGGTACTTCCAAACATTGCCAAGTTTCTCCATGTCTTGAACAAACAGGAAACAGATCCGCTTCACCCAGGAATCACCAGCAAGCCGGATCTCTTGCGGTTTGTAGCTTCAATGCCTAGCCATATGAAGATCAGCTGGAACATAATGTCTTCATATTTGGTGTAGCTCTTCTGGTTTCTTTGCTTATGATGATGACAGTTCCTCAAACTCAGCTTCATATCGAGAATATTTGTATTGTATTGTACAGTCTAATTCACCTATATTTCTCGAGGTAGGTTTCAAAGATGAATACGGCTCAAGTTTTACTCACATTTAGCACAACTTTGGCTGTAAAGTTAAGTTGCAAAATATATACAGAATCAGATAGTGATCACAGTTTGGTATATCTATCCACAAAGGCCTTAGCTTTCTCTGGTGCGAAGAAGCGTGCCTACACATTAACAGTTTAGAGCTTTGTGTCATAATTTTGTTTACTCATTTGGAACGAAAGGGTTCAAATGTAATTCACCTGGATGAACATTCTCTCTGCATCTCCTCTGCTTCCATTTTCTTTCAATATAATTCCCTGAAACACCAATTCACATAGAGTTTATGGGAATGTTAAAAACTGTGAGACTTATTCAGGTGGGACGAGAATATTTACCTTAGCCAAGTAGCCTCGGAAATCTTCAGGATGATCAGTGATAAGACGGTCATAAACAGCTATAGCGTCACTGATATGTCCCCAGTCTGAATAAGCTTTTCCAAGAAGCAAGTCCACCTGAACAAATATTGCTTAGTACAAGTCACAAAACTACTATAGCTCCTTAAGTCCTTATGATATGATTGTGGTAACTGGTTTCTTCGGAAGTAACATACAAAACAGATAACCCTTATAGGAACACTTAAGAGATGTTTGTTTCATAACTGATTATGCTAAAATGTTCTACTGGTAAGGTCATGATAAGGTTTAGATCAATCTGTTACCAAGAAACCAGCTTACCTGAATTGGGTCTATATTGGTTTCATTTTCAGCTGTTACACTGTCTGTTGTGCTTATTTCCCTTGTATTAAGACGTTCACGAGTGGCCAGAAGAAATTTGACGGCCTGAGAATCATGACATAGGTGAAATGAAATGGATCGACTGAGATGTTAAGATAGATCTGGTAGAAACAGATTTACCTCGTCTGGTTTCTTGGCAGCTAAATAGGCGTTCATGAGGCCTCGTGTGACTTCAAGATCAATGCCTTTAGACACCTAAGGTACATAGAACATCACTATTAAGGATATCAAAAGTTATTGCAATAACTCTTTCACAACATATAAATGGTAGTACTAGTAGCATCTATACTAGGCATAAGTTCAATTCTTATATCCCCACTAGAGAAACACTTCCTACAATCTTAATAAACATTACTGAGTCAACTATGAGTTCAATGCAAGTAGAAAGAAGAAGAAGTAATCAAGCATAACACACAAATTTTGAGAATATTTACCTTTTCGGAAATCTTGTATGCAGCGATACTGCCTTCATAGTTCTTAAGTTCGTAATTTACTTCTCCAAGCAATCGAAAGACATCAGGATCAGTTGGTCTCTCCTACAGAGAAAACTATTAGCTAAGTCTCATACCAGCATGTTCTTATGAAACAAATGACTTTGACATAAGATACAATAAAAGCATGGGAGAAACAAACCTTAACCAATTTCTCAAGAAGCGTAGCAGCCCGTGGATACTCTCCTAGTTCAGTCAATGTCACAGCTGCGCCCTGCACAGTCCCCCAAATTTCACGAAAATTTTGCACCATTATAAATAGTTCAGAAGAGGAAGCAATGATAGTTTTCAGCTAATTGTAAAACTTCAGCGAATAAGTTTATGGAAACAGAATAATTTTTCATGCAATCCAAGATTGGTGAAGAATTAGGCTCATTAAAGAAGAACAAAATGAAAACTTAAAGCAAAAGCAACTCAAATTTTCCTTTAAAATCATTGGGGACCGGAGTATTAACATAGTCTTCACTCACCTCCAAAGCAGCTTGATCCTGGGGAGTGCCATTGAGAGTTGTTTCAAACTCTTTGAGCCTTTGCTGCCAAAATAATATTCATCGCATCAACTATACTCAATTTACCAAAGTAAACAACCCAAATTTCATCCAGAAGAATATATAAACCCGTTTATATTACCTGAAGCGTGGTTTTCTCCTCTTCTGAAATTTTGTTTTTGACCACCGCGGTGTTCTCGGTTGGACTATCACTGAAAAGTGAAAAACAACATTTTATCAGTTGGCCTTGGAAAATGTCTCTAATTGTATAAGGCTACTAAAAACACTCTGATCACATCAACGTATCTGAGTAGTCATTGGAACAGAAAGCCTCTAAAAGATAACACACCTTCCTGTGGGAAGAAAGTCTCCAAGAGCGAAAACTAAACCAAAGACAACAACAGCTACGCCGACTCCAATCTGTCATGGCATGTTCATGAGACTATATAAGGCCTCAACCGGTTGTTAGGAAACAGACAATATTATTTGTGTGTACCTTAGTACCAAGACCAATTGTTTTCTGATCAGTCTGGACTGGTGCATCATAGTCTATCGGACCAAATTCTCTAACTACTTCTGTCTTTTTCTGCTCAAGAGCTGACCTACGCAAATTGGGAAAGCCAAATGAATTTCTTAGAGGTTGGAAAAAATTAGTCCATCAGAGGTTTCAGGTTCTTTTCCTACGTAATCCTTTTTTGTCATCTATAGTTCTCTAAAGCCTTATTTGCATGCTAAAATCATAAAAATATGTGTACCTTCTAATGGTTTCTAGCCGTTCTTCAAAGTCTATATCGAAAGATCGACTAGATTTTCCTTCAAACTGAGAATTCAGACCAGGTGCCTCTGCAAGCAAATGCAGGCAGCGAAGATCAAAATCAGGCACAAATATGTCTGACTGATATTGGCATTCGTATTAAATCATTTTTCTTCTTCTTTAGATAAAAGGAAGAATGCGACATACGAAATGAAGTTCATGAAGGAGCAATATGCCATAAACAAATTATACTTACTTCTGGGTACAGAAACAGACTGTTTAGATGATTTCCTACAGCAACAAAACCAAAATTGAAAAAGTCCATATCAAAATATGCACAGCATTGGACTATAAAATGCTTAAACAAAAGTGGATAACGAACACAAAAACTATACCTTTGCGGTAATGCCGGATCTTTCTCTTCCTGTGATGCGATTTCACATTGTTGTCTTAGTATAAGTTTCAAAAACAGAGATTCAAAAGGAAACATCAAGAGCGCATAAGACGGGGAATTTCTGTAATCACACCTTTTTGGAGCCAAAACCGCGCTTTGGGTTAGCATCCGAGCAACAAACTCGAAACAAGAGAAACTTTGAGTTAAATGAAACGGCGTTCGTCGCCGCCGCTAGTGTCATGAACATCCTCTGCAAATCCTAAACCCACGGAGAGATTTTGCTAAGAAATTCTCTGAGAAATGATGAATTGTAACAGCTGAGGAATTCGGAAAACTTCAAAGTGTATTCATGTACAGCGTTGACTGAGAGAAATTCGTTCTCGCCGGAGAGAAATTGACGATGAGGGGAGAGCTCAGTGATCGGACCGGAAAGTTAGTGGTGCTGCTTATTTTGCAGATTGTTTTATCTATGGGCCGGATTATTTGAAATGTAACTTGGATAGGCCCAAATATATTGGGTAGATTCTACGGCCCAATATTTAAACATTTAAAAATTGATGGGTCTTTTTGGATAAGTTTGTTTAATAACTCGAGCTTATGATGGTAAGTGAGAAATAGTGATGAAGTGGCAGCTTCTCATTGGATAGGATGTGTCACTAACGGAGTGAAGATAATTAGGTTACTTTTCATTTTTACAGAAAAAAAGAGGAAATTAATTTAGGAAATTAGAGCAAAAAAAACAAAAAATTCCGAAAGTTCTCTGAAAAGTCTTCGGATTTACGGAGACAAAAGACAGAGAGAAGAGAGAGCGCTTCTTCGGCTAGGACAAGCTTCGTTAATGGCGGTTTCCTTCTGATCACTCACCGGAGCCGTAATTTCCTCTTCCCTGCGTTTACCGATTTAGGGTTTGTTTTCGGAGAAACTGTTCTGATGCTTTAGAAAATTCCGTTGATTCGCTTCGTTAACAAATGCATTCATTTCGTCTTTAGATCATAACAATTTCTCTTAGTACGGAAGTCAGATCTAACGCAATTTCTCGATTGAAGTTTTGGTGTTAAGCAAATTAAGTCGGATGCTTATTCACTGGCGTTTTTTCATTTTACACTGAAAGCTTACTCGATTAGATCTTGAGGTCACATGCGGTTGTTTGTTTATTGCGTTTTCTGGGCACTTTATTGTTTTCGGCGATTGCATAAATAGGAAACGACGGAAAATGTAGCTGAAACCTTAATTCGGATGAATTTGATTTTAAATTCAATTTGAAAATGCTATTCGGTAGGTGAAGAGAATCATCAGGACTTAATACGTTTTCCTATTTTTTGCAGAAAATTCGATTTTGGTGGAAACCTTTTATGACAAGTCTTTGAAGAAGCTGGAATTCAAGATATCGCTAGACGTTGAGGGCTCGTATTAACTTGGTGCTGCATTTTTATGAAGTGGTGTTAACAATTGGAAGAAAGTTTTGTAGCATCTCAAGATTCAGCGTCCAAGTTCTGGGGCTGAGTTGCCCCGTAGCACTGATTTTACGCCTCTACCAGTACTCCGGAGGGCAAATTCAGCTCAAAACATGATGATGGATGAAGATATTGAGCAGGCCAGTTTGATGTCTTTCAATGACAGGCCTAGGGCTTTTCCCAACATGCGTAGTAAAACCTACAGTCCACTGGTAAGACTATTGCTCCTCTAGATTTGTAAACCTTATGTGATGTTATAACTTGTTTCCTTCTTTTTCTTTAAGCATTCTTAGTTTCTTGAGCGTTTTTGTAAAAAGTTCACTTGTTTTTTTTGGCAGATATTCCGGATTATTAGGAAATTGAATGTCCGTGTTCTTTCTATACTTCTACTTCTCTGCTTTGGAGCGATCTTTTACATGGGAGCAAGTACTTCTCCCATCATCGTGTTCGTCTTCACAGTATGCATCATCAGCTTCCTTTTGTCAGTATATCTAACCAAGTGGGTTTTAGCGAAAGATGAAGGACCTCCAGAGATGGTTCAGGTAAGCTCATTTAATGTTTGTGGTGTTAGTGTCATGATGTTGGTTTCTTTTCTTCTATGTTCTCATCAAGCTTTCTTAATTCTAATTTGTGCGGTCGTTCTCTTATTTGTAGATATCAGATGCTATACGTGATGGAGCTGAAGGGTTTTTCAGAACGCAGTATAGCACTATATCCAAGATGGCCATCTTGCTAGCGTTTGTGATTCTTTGCATATATCTATTCCGTACCTTAACTCCCCAGCAAGAGGCTGCTGGTTTAGGAAGGTGATGATGCATGATTATATGCACAAGATTTGTTATATCTTTTGTGTTGTGAATGATACTCAATCTATATTACTGTTTGCTGCAGGGCGATGTCTGCTTATATTACTGTTGCTTCATTTCTTTTGGGGGCGCTATGCTCAGGTCTTGCTGGTTATGTTGGAATGTGGGTGTCAGTTCGTGCTAATGTGCGTGTCTCCAGTGCTGCTAGAAGATCTGCAAGAGAAGCATTGCAGGTTCTTTTTTTAGTTACTTATTTTTTTAGCATGGCGTGCACATTTTGGCAAATACTAAGTGGCAGATATAATGCAGATAGCCGTTCGTGCTGGTGGGTTTTCAGCTCTGGTTGTTGTTGGTATGGCTGTCATTGGTATCGCCATCCTTTATTCTACGTTTTATGTTTGGTTGGGAGTGGATACACCTGGCGGAATGAGTGTTACTGACTGTGAGTCCTCTGTTGCTTTCTATGAAAACTAATTCCATTTTCATCTTGTCTGCATAGTTAATACATCATCATACTACGTTCGAAAGATTATTTATTTTTATCTTGTGTGCGTAGAATCTCGTCGTTGGAAGCCGGACAATAAGATTTTTTCATGATCTGTTGACCTTTTTTCTATATTGATTGAATCTTTCTGTTTCTCTTACAGTGCCTCTTCTTCTCGTGGGATATGGTTTTGGTGCTTCGTTTGTTGCCTTATTTGCTCAGTTGGGTGGTGGAATATACACTAAGGGAGCTGATGTTGGGGCAGATCTCGTTGGAAAAGTCGAGCAGGGTATTCCCGAGGATGATCCTCGAAATCCTGCTGTTATCGCTGATTTGGTATTACATCTTTGTCCTTTTTGTACACTCTACAAAAGTATACCTGTCAGATTAAAGGTTTTAAAAAGGTTAATGTTTCGCCATTCAGGCTTTTAAATTATTTTCATCTTCTTGCAGGTTGGAGACAATGTAGGGGATTGTGCTGCTAGAGGTGCTGATTTATTTGAAAGTATAGCTGCAGAAATCATCAGTGCAATGATACTAGGTGGAACAATGGCTAAGAAATGCAAAATCGAAGGTTTGTCAGGGATCTCTCTTTAAAGTTACGAATTAGTATAAAGGGTTTTGCAATTTGAAGTCAGGGAGATAGGAAGAACATTGAATGATAATAAATATTTGGTTGTAAACATCTTTCTAAATTCCTTACTCAGGCTTGATGCTTACTCAAGTTTTTGTCTATACGCAGATCCATCAGGCTTTATCCTCTTTCCTCTAGTTGTTCATTCTTTTGACTTGATAATATCATCAATTGGTATATTCTCAATCAAGGGAACACGTGATGCTAGCGTTAAATCTCCAGTAGAGGATCCAATGGCTGTACTTCAGAAAGGATATTCTCTGACTATTGTATTAGCGGTTGTGACATTTGGCGCGGTAATTGTCCTCTTTCTTATGTTCCTTTTGACATTCCGTGCTGCATTGATCTTATGCACATAAGTGCACTTCTGCACTAGTGAATTCTACGATATATTCTCCTAACATCATTATTTATGTTTTGTAGTCCACTCGCTGGCTGCTTTACACTGAACAAGCTCCGTCTGCATGGTTCAGCTTCGCCTTATGTGGGTTGGTTGGCATCATCACAGCCTATGCCTTTGTCTGGATATCCAAATACTATACAGACTACAAGCATGAGCCTGTTAGGACGTTGGCTCTTGCTAGCTCGACTGGTCATGGGACCAATATAATTGCTGGGGTTAGCTTGGGTCTGGAATCGACAGCTCTTCCTGTTTTGGTTATAAGTGTTGCTATCATTTCTGCTTACTGGCTGGGAAATACCTCGGGACTAGTGGATGAAAACGGAGTCCCCACTGGAGGTCTATTTGGAACAGCTGTTGCTACAATGGGAATGCTAAGCACTGCAGCGTATGTTCTTACTATGGACATGTTTGGCCCCATCGCTGATAATGCTGGTGGGATCGTCGAGATGAGCCAGCAGGTAAATGTTATACAATTGATTTAAAAAACTCCTTCTGTTTCATCTTTATACTAATGTAGAAATAATAATTGTCTCGTGTAGCCAGAAAGTGTCCGTGAGATCACAGATCTTCTTGATGCTGTTGGGAACACCACAAAAGCAACAACAAAAGGGTTTGCAATTGGATCTGCTGCACTTGCGTCATTCCTTCTTTTCAGTGCATATATGGACGAGGTTTCAGCGTTTGCTAATGTGCCTTTCAAAGAGGTAAATGTTATTATATTACGCATTTTTGCTGTATTCTCTATGTTCAGACAGTTTCTCTCACGCTCATCCTCGGATCAAAACAGGTTGATATTGCTATCCCAGAAGTCTTCGTAGGTGGATTATTGGGCTCCATGCTTATTTTCCTCTTTAGTGCTTGGGCATGCGCAGCAGTTGGTCGAACTGCCCAAGAGGTTGTTAACGAAGTAAGAAGACAGTTTATTGAGAGGCCTGGCATAATGGTGAGCACAATTTTCCTTTTTCGAGTGCTTTTTCATCTTCACTTTCTTTGTTTATTATCTTGTCGTCGTTGACTGGTGAAATCAACTTGCTGAAACAGACGTACAAGGAGAAGCCAGATTATAGTCGCTGTGTTGCTATTGTCGCATCTGCGGCTTTGAGGGAAATGATAAAACCAGGAGCTTTAGCTATAGCATCACCCATTGTAGTTGGTAAGTCAGTCACGTTCCTCAAAGTCTGATTCTTCTCCTGTATTGAATCGAGACGATTGTGACCAAAGCTAATCTTTATCTTTCTCTCTCAGGTTTGGTGTTCCGGGTCTTGGGATACTACACGGGACAACCTCTGCTCGGAGCTAAAGTTGTAGCTTCTATGCTAATGTTTGCAACAGTTTGTGGTATCTTAATGGCACTATTCCTAAACACAGCGGGAGGTGCTTGGGACAATGCGAAGAAATACATAGAGACCGGTGCACTCGGTGGCAAAGGAAGCGAAGCCCACAAAGCAGCCGTGACTGGTGATACGTAAGCATTTTGTTTCACTTTATGATCTCAGTCAAAGTTGTATTCCTAAGTGTGATTTTCTCATTACTAGTATTCAATTGAAATTGCAGCGTTGGAGATCCTTTCAAGGACACGGCCGGTCCATCTATTCACGTGCTCATCAAAATGCTTGCGACTATAACTCTTGTCATGGCTCCGGTCTTCCTCTGAAAATGATAAGTGTTTACCCTAAAGACCGTCTCTTGCACATATACATAGAGATAGGAAGAGACGAGAGAGAGAGAGAGAGTTGGTTATTGGAGTTACATGGATTAATGGTTTTGTGTTTCATTTCATCTGAAATAAATGAGATGTTTCCTGTTTTTGAGTTTAGTGACACTCTTAAGCAACTCTAGAGACAGTTTAATCAACTACATCTTTGACTTTGTGAATCTTCTCAACTCTCACTCTACTAGATTTCGTCTTTCTACCACTTCTTATTCTTCTTGATTTGCCTCCAATTCGTACAGACATTTGTCTACTCTGTAGCCTTACGAGGCGGCGGCTGCTGCCAAGATGGTTGTGATTGTGTTTACTTCCTAGTCGTCTTCTTTTTATTCTTCTTATACTTCTCTGCTTCGGTCTAGTGTCGCTTAGACTGTCTGATGAACTTGATTCGTTATCGCTCGGGTGATCAGAAGTCGCAGCTTCTATGTCACGGAGACGATTTCTGCGGCGGTTGACACGTTTTGTGCTGGCCAAAATGTTCCACAAGCAACGACACATCTCTCCAATGGCGAACCAGTACGTTGCGCAAACAGCACAGGACATTTTGCAGATGCTTTTCACAATACATTGGCAGATTCCGAGCTTGAATAAGAGGGTGATGAACATCAAAACTGCCACAAAGAACAAAATACAAATTTCTACAAATAGTTTTGCAAGAATATGTAACAAATTACTTAATATAGAAAATAGAAGGAGAAAGGTTACTTATGAAACAGAGGCCTGAGATCAGAACTAGCTTCGCGATATCAGGAATACAAAAATGCTCTATGAAACATGCAAGATCCCATGGCCCCGAGCAAACGTTTCTGTAAGTGATAAATCAACTGACTCAACGATTTTTGCGACAATTCCGGTCTATTTCAGATAAAACCAAATGATGATGACGTGAAAAAAACTTACATACAGGATCTTCCAACTGTGGCTTTCAACGGTGCTGTAACTATATTCCCGATAAAACCTCCGACGTCGGTTGATGCTTTGCCTATAGCGCCGCCCATTTTCCTTAAACTGTTAACGTAATCGGTGATGATTTGATCAATCAGTGACTCTCTTGACTGATTTTCACTTCAATAGTGTACATCAAACGTAAAGAGATGAATACTTTTTAAAATTTCTGAGAATCTTCAGAATGTGAATGAAGTTACATCTTCGCATACAGTTTCCTCTGTTTCAGAAAAGAAAAATTGCGAGAAACCGTTTCCTCTGCTTGTACGAAATTGCAAAACAAACCTATATTTGTAGATAATTTCAAAATAAACCCATCCGCTTATACGGAATTGCAAAACAAACTCGATGCTTATACAGAGTTGCATAACAAACGTATACTTGTTGATAATTGCAAAGGAAACCCATAGACTTATACGGAATTACAGAACTAACCCCTCGAAACAATCCATATGCTTAAATAAACCCCTCATAAAATATCAACAGAACTTTCTTGATTAAAAAAGTGTGAATTTGATTCAATTTCGTATACAACAGTACAAGTAAATACACTAGCAGCTATATGAACAATGCAAACAAACAAACAAAACTGAAGAAGCTACAGAGACATCACCAATCTCATAACATGAGTGATTTTCTCAAAGAAACTTTTTAGCCTATAATCTAAGAGGTTTCACTATGAGCTTGAAGCTCTCCTAAACCCAAGAAATCAGCAGCAAACTCTTCATCGTTCTTCCCTAACATTTCGTGTAATGTACAGTCTATGTTCCTCTCTTTGAGCACCCAAAACCTCGGTTTTATCCTCTTCTCCAGCGAATAACTAAAATACCTCGGATAATCTATCACCTCTTCAACCGGTTTCTTCATGCTCTTCACCAGAAACTCTAACTTAGGTCTAAGCACTTTGTCAATGCTGTATCCTAACAACGGTGCGAATTTACGTATCATGAAGGCAATGGCTCTCTCTGATATCCCAACATCCATCAGATACATTAGCCTGCAAGAAGCCAAGTAATTACAATGTAAGAGGTCATTCATTAGCTAAAGAAGGATACGTTGAGAAATGGCTGAGATAGCTACCGAGGAAGCACTGTTTTGTCTGCGTCGTATAAGAGAAATTCTGGATATTTCTTTATGATTCGAGGAAAATGGATACTGGAAACACCAAAACGAGTGAGAAAGAGGAGCTTTTTATTCAGGGTTTTGTCGATGCTGCAGCCAAATATCTCAGGACATCGACAGAATATTTGTCCCACGACTTCCTTTTCAAACCCCAAATCTTCCAAAAAGGAAACAACCTGTTTACAAGACGAGAAGTCACCTCAAGTTTAAAGAAACAAATCTTGCACAAGAACAGAACGTGAAGTTTGGAAAATTTCTTTACCTTGAGAAATTCTTGTGGTTTACATAACAAAAGCTGAGGCATTTTGGGTATAACTTTCCCCATACTTTTGTTTCTAACACCTAATTTATCAAATTCCTTTACCATCAGCTTCATATTGCTCGTTGAGCAACCGAGGAGTAAAGGCCATCTCCTAATTGCGTGGTCGATATCCATTTTCAGCACCTAAGACAGTCAAAATCGTAGAAACCATGTCTTACTAAGACTCATCATTGAACAACAATGATAAAAGTCCACTGAACAACAATGATAAAAGTCCAAGCTTACCGATTCACTCTCTAACCATGAGACGATGCGTGAATGGTGTTCTTGAATGCTCGGTGAAAGAATCCATGGATACTTCAGCAAAACTTTTCCAGAATCCTTATTCACTACACTAACCTGAAACCAGCAACAACCCACAATTTTCAATAATCAGCAACTAAGAGAAAACAAAAAGTGTGTAGCTTTCAAGCTAAACTATGTACAAATCAATCAAATAGCAAACCTTTCCCAGAGCTGCAGCGACCCTTCTTTTAACCTCCTCAGTTTTGATGAGCATGATAGGAGGGTACAAGAGAAGTAACTTCCCCAAGCAATCTTTAGGAACACCAATGCTTTCAAGAAACTCTATCAATGGCTTCATATCATTTTCTTCCGAAAGTAGAAGAAGCCGAGGGAATGACTCTATTAAAAACCTGAAAGACGCATCCACAGAGCCTAACATGTCCAACCCTCCACGCCTTGCTTCAATCTAAAACGACATTTGAGACTGTAAATAAAAGCTAATAGAGACAGAGAACACAAAAGTATCAGATACTATAAATGAGGAAAGACGAAACCTTTTCGAAAAAGGAGAGAGTTTGCTGCACATCTTCATCAATGGGAATGGACAAGTAGAGCATCATTCGTCTTGCATACTTCCCAACAAGACCTTTCTCATCACTGCCAGAAAAGAATATTTCCTTCAGGTACTTAACCTATAATCCAAATCCAAGATTAAGTACCATGCCAAATCCATATCCCAAACCTAACTACATCATACAAGACTAACATTTCTATCTCCTACCATACCTTATGGAGAAGTTTTGGGAGCGATTCTGAGGAGAGGTAATGAGCCAAATACATGGCAGAAGACAAACTCAAACCAAGGCTCTCCAAAAACGCAACTTTACCACCATCACCTTTCTGCTTCACCATGTAAACCACTTTCTCCTTAAACCCTAAACCTTCATTTCCTTCTGATTCTCCATTCCCTTTCCACGAATTCCATTCCTCTAATTCCCTAACACCATCTACGATCATCCGCCTGTATTTATGACAATTCTCGGAAATGAAATCTGAATCGGCCTCCGAGAGTCCAATCTCTTGTTGGAGAAACCCAGAGATGGAATTCTGCGCGAGAGAGAAATGGTCTTCATCGTGATTACTCTGCGAAGAATTAGAGCTGGGAATCGAATCTCCGGGTTGAAACGAGGCGGATACGGCGACGAATCGGCCACCGTGGTTAGCAGGGGACAAGGTTACGCGACGAGGAGAGACGAGGAGAGAGTTGGAATTAAAGCTAAATGATTGTTTATGAGGTGAAATCAAGTTCCGAGTTTCCAAATTGCAAGTGGTGTGGAGAAAAAGCTCCATTAACAAGGTGGAGAAGACAAAGACCGCTACTTTGCTTCTACCCACATGAAGAAAAGAAGAAGAAGAAGAAGAGAAGCAGTTGCAGGGTTTATCTATTGTTGTAGGCTTGGGTTTAACCAATAAACCATTTTATTGCCATGGACGATTAATTTAAAACCGCAATTCCGGCTCACTCAAACCGGTCAGAGCTATTAAAATAAATATTTATTATTGGAAAATCACAGTCGGGTTCCTGCCGTTTGTGGGCCTGAATATGGGCCTATTAATAAGCCGTTACATTATCAAATGTGAAACAGAAAAACCAACTTCTCTCTAGGGTTCTACACTAACTTCTTCTTCAAGCTTCTGATGAACTTCAAAGAAACTTGCTCTGTCTTTATTTAACTCCTGCAAATTTTGAGCGTTAAAACTTAAAACTCAACAAAAATCCCAAACATTAAATAATAAAAAATCACTTGAAACATCATCAGATTCTTAAAAGTTGCCAGACTTTCTTTCTCCATCTCTCAAAACTAGTAATAAGAATCAGCTTTAGCATAAGCTCTCTCCACTGAACTCTTGGCTTCTTCCAACCGTCTTTCATCTTCTGTTCTCAGCTTTTGCAGTTCCATATCCTAAAAAAAGTTTCAAAAACCAATATTCAGTCTCACTCCATTACTTTGAATAAGTTGAAACTAATGTATGATTCCTTCTTAACAGGACCAAACACAAGTTTTTCAATTTTATTACCACCTGTCTAGCAATTAAAGCTTCTCTGCAGGCTTGGCTATACATCTCCATAGTTTGTTTGAGCTCTAGTTTCAGCCTCTTCATTTCAGCTTCAACATCATCCTGAAACAACACAAAATCTATCTAATAAGAAAAGTATTCAAATGAAAAAAGAACAAAAAAGGAAAGAAAGAAAGAAAGAAAAGGATGTTGAGTAATGTAGATTACTAGTACTAACCAAGCTTTCAGATGAATGGGAAGATGTTGTACCAGGTGAATCGCTAGGGAAGACAGAATCACTGAACTTGACCCCCAAGCAATGTGAGCCAATGCTTTGCTCTGAGCTCGTTGGCATTCTTGAAGTCCTTCCAGATTCAGGGGTGGAATCAGAGAGCTCAACGATCGGTCTCCCTGAGCTGATTAAGGAAATGTCAGAGTCTCTATGAGAAGGAATGAGGCTGTATGACTCGTTATCGCTCGGGTGATCACAAGTCGCAGCTCCTGTGTCACTGAGAAGATTTCTGCGACGTTTTGTGTTGGTCAAAATGATCCACAAGCAACGACACATCTCTCCGATGGCGAACCAGTACGTTGCACAAACAGGACATGGCATTTTACAGATGCTTTTTACAACACGCTGGCTGATTCCAAGCTTGAAAAAGAGGGTGATGAGCCTCAAAACTGCCAAAAATAACAAACACTTACCAATTTATCCATATTGATTCGAAAAAATAATATGTAACAAATTACTAATATATATAGAAAATAGAAGGAGAAAGGTTGTGACGTATGAAACAGAGGCCTGAGATCAGAACTAGCTTCGCAATATCAGAAAGACAGAAATGTTTACATGAAAGATCCCATGGCCCCGAGCATACATATCTGTAACTGATAAATCAACGATTTTGCGTCTTATTTCAGACAAAACCAAATAATGATGACGTGAAAAACTTACAGACAGGATCTTCCAAGTGTGGCTTTCAAAGGTGCTGTCCCGATAAAACATCCGACGTCGGTTGATGCTTTGCCCATTTTGCTTAAATCGGTGATGATTTCACGCCAAACGTAAAAAGATGAATACTTTTTAATTTTTCTCGAGAATTTTCAGAATGTAAATGAAGTTACATCTTGATCTTCGCATTCAGTTTCGTCTGGCGAGGAAGCGATTCCCGATGGTTTTGGAATAATTAAATATATATTAGTTAATATCCGAGATATCAGAAAATCTGGCATACTTTGCTTCTACCCACAGGAAGAATAAAAGAAGCTGCAGGGTTTATCTAATTCTGTAGACTGTAAGCTATGGGTTTAACCAATAAACCATTTTATTACCATGGAAGATTAATTTAAAACCGCAATTCCGGTTCAGTCAAACGATACGAGCTATTGAGCCTATATTGATGGGCCGTTACATTATCGCTTCTTAACATATATATTGATTCTGGGCCTAATAATAAGCCGTTACATTATTGAATTTGAACAGAAAACCAAATTCTCTAGGGCTCTACACTAACTTCTTCTTCAAGCTTCTAATGAACATGGAAGAAACTTGCTTCTGTCTTTGTTTTAACTCCTGCAGAAGTTAACCAGATTTTCTTTCTACATCTGAAAAGTAAGCATGAGATTCTGCAACTGGAGATTCCGAATTCGATATACAAGGATCACTCTGTCAAACAAAAAACAAAACAAAAACGTTACAAAACCACACACAAATCGAACCTTTACGAACAAGAAAAAAAAAAAAAAAACACTCACAGATGTTGAAATGGAGACTTGGCTAGGGTTTGGAGACCTTCCATGACTTCCTGCATAATACACAGTCCCTAAACTCTCTTCACCGATATCTCTCAACCTATTGAGCTCAGGCAATATCTCTTTCCCAAGATCCGGTCTGTCTTTCCTTCTCAGCTCCGCGCATTGAAGCGAGAGCTTTGCTAAAGACGTAGCTTCTTCCATAGGCCAATCCGGTACTGCTGGATCAAGCATGTCCTTAAGAGTCCCTTCTTCGATCGCTTGCTCAACGTAATAAGCCAAACCCATCGGCTGTTTCGCAGTCAAGACCTGCAAAAGCATGATCCCTAACGAGTAAACATCTGACTTCACACCCAACATTCCGGTTTGCTGGTACTCTGGATCGATGTAACAGAATGTTCCTGCAGCTGACGTGACCCTGTACTGTGTAACGTTCTCTGCTACCGCAGGGACTAATCTTGCTAGCCCTACATCGCTGATCTTGCTCACGTAGTTGTAATCGAGAAGAACGTTTCCCGGTTTAAGATCTCTGTGGACAATCGGTTCCGGTTTAGTCTGGTGGAGGAAGAGAAGTCCTGTGGCTATCTCAGAAGCGATTCTGAAACGTAGCTGCCACGAAATCGGCGGCGTGTTGCCTCTCATGAAAAGACGATCTTCTAAGCTTCCTTTGGCCATGTATTCATATACAAGAATCCCAAATTCTGGACAAGCTCCAAGAAGAAGCACCATGTTTGGATGCCTTATACAACTTAACACTTCAACCTCTTTCTGAAACTGTGATCTTCCTTGAGCTGCGTCAGGGCGTAAAACCTTGACAGCAACGCTTGTGTGATCAAGAAAGCCTCTAAAGACAGGACCATACCCTCCTTCTCCTACCTTATTAGACTCTGCGAAATTCGAAGTTGCTTCTTCGATTTCTTCAACAGTGTACTTCCTATACCGAACAAATCCTCTGGAGAAGGAGTCAGATTCTTTTAAGGTCTTCATCTCTGCGGTCAGTCTTCTCTTAGCTTCAACTTCTGCTAGTCTCTTTGCAGCGTCTGCAGCTTCTAATGCCGCTTTGGCTTTAGCTCTCTCCTTTTCCACTATTGACATTGCTGCTTCCTCTGAACTCTTTGCTTCTTCCAACCTTCTTTCCTCTTCTGTTCTCAGCTTTTGCAGCTCCGTTGCCTAAAAAAGTTATAAAAAAAACTATATTCAGTCTCACTCCACTACTTTGAATTAGACATTACTTGAATATCAAGTAACCTAATGTATTTTATTAATCACCACCTGTTGTCTAGCACTTAAAGCTTCTTTGCAGGCTGTGCTATACATATCCATGGTTTGTTTGAGCTCTAGACGCAGCCTCTTCATTTCAGCTTCAACATCATCCTGAAACGTACAACAAATATAGTCTGCTGAAAAATCGATCTTTAAAGTACAAGAAAAAGAAAGAAAGTGAAGGATCTTGATTCTTGAGTAAGGTAAGATTACTAGTACTAACCAAGCTTTGAGATGAATAGGAAGATGTTCGAGCACTTTCTTCAGAGAAGTTAGGTGAATCGCTAGGGAAACCAGGATCACTGAACTTGATCCCCAAGCGATGTGAGCCAATGCTTTGCTCTGAGCTCGTTGACATTCTTGACGTCCTTCCAGATTCAGGGAAATCAAGGGTGAAAGAAGAGCGCTCAACGCTTGGTCTCCCTGAGCTGATGAAGGAAATGTCAGACTCTCGATGAGGAGGACTCATGAATGACATGTCCGTGTCTGAGTCATACAAGTCACAATATGTCTTCATTCCTTGTCTTTTCACTAATGGTGATCTACAAGAAACAAACAAAAAAATCTTGAATCTTTTAAGACAATATCTTTTTAAGACATCAACGTTAAAGACATCTAGCTTGAGATTTCATACCTTGTAGTTTCTATTTCAACTGATCTACGAGGCCTAGACGGTGTATTACCTGTTTGCAAGATCAGTGAAACAACAAAACTGGATCAGCTTTAGGAAAAGAAGATAACTCTTGAAAGAGAAAGGTTTTTCACCTGTAGAATCTTGATGCCTCTGTGCTTTCTCAGGAGTGACTGGATTGTCAGATTCAGAGATTTTCATCGAGTTATTATGGTAAGGAGCAGGACGAGATGCATTTCGTACTGAAGCGATCTTGCCTTTTGAAATGACATAAACACTGCAAAAATCTGGAGCTGATTTTGACACAGTTGTTGGCAAATCCGTCTTGAATCTTCTGCTCGGAGAAAAGTTATTGATAAAAAAATTCAAAAACGTTGTTACAAAAATTTGAGAAGTCGAAGATTAATATATTTTATATATACCTCATGAAGCCATTACGTGATGCTGTTCCAACGACTAAATTCTCGATTGCGGACGTTGTAACATATTCGATAATTGCTCTGACTTTGTCTACATCTTCTAGTAGTATGTCTCGACAATTTATCTGCTCCATGAAATAAAATAAAATAAAACCCTAAATTAAAGATCCATAATTCAAAGAAAAACCCTAACTGGTTCTGATAAAAGTACGTACCTCTTTACGCGAACAATAACAGTGGAAAGAGAGAAAGAGATCTTTCGCTGACTTCTCCGATTGCTGCTTCTGCTGTGGCGTTCCTTCATCAAAATCTGCAAAAATAGAAAAGGAAAATTCAAACTTTCAGTTACAAATCATTAGAAAGAAAAGAAACCCTAATAATGAGTGGCGAAAAACAAGAAATGTGGGAAGATTTTGGACCTGAAGAATATTTGGAGGCGACATGAATAAGAGAAATGGTTTGGCCACGAGAAGCAAGATTATCGATTGTCCATTTAAGAGCATGTTGGCTTCCTTTGTCTTTGTCTATACATACTGCCACTGAACCAGTTCCTGTTTCTTTCTTTGTCGCATTTTGCTTTGGTAGCCACATTATTTTTCTTGTAATTGATTTCTTAACCCTTTTGACAAAGAGACAAAAACATAAGGAAGAAAACTAAATCTCCCTCTTGAGTCTTTTTTATGAGACAAAAGAAAAAACTTCAGTTTGATTTGATTTTAGAAAAGAAACGTTTTAGAAGTTGAGTTTGATTGGTGAAAGATTCTTTATGGAGGAAACAGGTCCACGATAAAGTTAGCAAATCAGGTTTTGTAATGGTTGATATTTAAGGGTTTTATTTTTGGCTGATATTCTAATTTCAGATTGTGTGGTTCGACTTTGTTTTCAACAAGTTGAATAGTGGAAAAAGTGTAACAAATGGTCTAAATTTAAACGATAACATATCTCTTTATCACTTCTTTTATTCGCCTCTTGAAACTTACCTTCCAATGGACGATAGATAAAGAAACCAAAAATACTTTTCTAGAACGTTAACATATCTTTTTGGATGATGCTTTTACACCTTGAAACAAAAACAGGATTGTTGTTCTATTTAACCTCTAGGACACTGCATAAAAGGGACACTGTAATAGGTTAAAAAAAAAATTCTGGAGATGGATGATATGGGAATTAAGAGACAAAGAAGAGATTACTTGTTGGTGGAAAATATTTTAGTTAATCTTGTATACATTAAATATAATACATATGAACATGTAAAAATTTGTATGTGTGTATAAGATGATGAGTTTTGCTTATTCATCAGTAGAAAACTCCAACCACTCACATATAAAATAATAGCGTATAACAAAAGTTAAGTTTTGACGCATCTTCTTTATCTTCTCTCTTTTCAAGGTTTTTCATATGGCAATGAAACTCGTCTCCTATACTCTGCGAGCGCCCACACTGGAAAAATGTTTCTGTATGCTGCGTAGTGTAACAAGCAGTTCTTCATGAAAGCTCCAGTTATCTCCTGTGAAAAATATAAAATTTGGACTCTTCAAAAGTTGTACATTTCCGGTAACAAAAATATTGGAACGTTTAGTTTGCATTCATTCAAGTTATATAGTTATGGTTAACTTTGTTTAATGTTTTCAGAAGTACCTGCTGAGGAAAATCGCCATTGTCTAGTTGGGAGTTGATTAAGAGTTTTGCAGCCCTGTGAAGAGGAGTAGGATCTCTCTCAGCCTGTAATGTGAGATTAATAAAAAAAACAATTCAAGGTGATGACAAAAGATCTTTTTTTTTCTTAGCATGTAACAATTCCAAACCTGTCCAGCATGAAGTAGACCCATCATTGCCCAAGAGGTTTGCACCAAGTTTGATCTATCCCCTTCACTTGGAATGTATCTCTGCACACCAAACCAATTAAAGTTTGTTTGTTTTTTTTTTTTTTTTTTTTTTTTTTTTTGTGAACAGCTGCAGGAAGCGTGCATTGCAAGGATATTTGATGATTATACCTTTTTGGAACATGACAAGTAGCTTTCACCCCAGCCTCCATTATCTTTCTGTGTTGTGAGAAGGAAATGAACACCTTTACGCACAGCCAAACAGTTATTGTATGTCTTTCCAGCAGCTGCAAGCCCTCCCAGACCAAACCATGCACTGTATGTGAAGCAAACTCCCCAGCTTCCGTACCATGAACCATCAAGCATCTGTATGTTCTCTATGTATTGGACCGCTTTCTTGATGGAACTGTTTATCTCTTCTGTCCTGTGGTTCGGATATAGTTGCTTGAACAGAACCAAAGCTTGGATTGTTGATGAAGTACACTCGTTGTACTCATGCTCAACCACAATGTCAGCAAAAAACTCTGTCGGATTTAGCAACTGAAACAAAAAAAAGTGACATATGTTTCTGAAATTTTCTTTCCCGAGCCACACAAGCCTTGTGATATAAATATATTGATGGGACTGTGTTCTTACTTCCAACCATTCTTGTCCACGTGCAGGCTCCCAAGCAGTTACACCTCCATTTTTACTCTGCATCAAGAGAAAATTTCCCATCATGAAGCAGCTTTTTGAGCAAGTGAGTTATATATAATAGTAAAGCTCACCTGTAGAGACAGAAGGATAGTAACAGACTCATATAAATGTTCTGGATCCATTTTAGGTCCAACAATGTCAGGTGGCATCATAGAGAGCAACAGGCAACACTGTAAAACCAAGATAAGTGTGCTTATTATTAGGTGGAAATTAAACTAATTATATTGAAATTTTCTTACTAATCTCACCTTTAATCCTTCAGCTGTGCAATCAGAAGCTTGCCATCCATGATCCCGGTCAGAGAAAGTCCACGACCCTTTAGACATATGCCGGTGCATGCTCGTAAAGTCATGCGAAGGGTTCTCTCTAACCTTCAAAGAAACTTATTAATCGTAAGACAAATCCACTTGTTTCTCAAGTCACACAAAATCATACTTCAGAGATGATTATCGAACCTGAGAATTCTTAAAGAAGTCATGTCCTCTCCTGAGAACATCAGGAATTTCATTAGATAGATTACTTGCAACTAACGCTTGGAGGGCAAAACCAGAATCCCATAATTGGCTTCCAAAGCTCTGCAAGAACACGTCTCTCAGGAACTCAAGAAATTTGTTTGAATCCGTATGATCAACAATTAGATTTCATTGATACCTGCATTTTCATCCCATCTTCTGCAACCCACAAGTAATCTGAAACCCTCAAAAGATGCTTCTTGAAATGTATTCCGTTAGGGTTTTCAACCCAACACGCAAGCATGCATAATGCCTAGCTTCATCAGAAAATCTGAGTTTTTTCAGTTATAACTCAAAGGATAAAATTCTGAGTAAACCGGATTGTAATTCGTTTCTTACCTTTTCAACACATCCAATGGTGATATAACGGCTATTCTCGTCTTCATAATGTATATGTTTCATTGCCACCCCAAGAGCTTTTTCTCTAAGAAGCTTGTTAAATGGCCAACATGTAACAACCGGCTCTGTCAAAATGTAAAGGCAGTCCCATATAACATCTTGAACCAGTGGACGTGGATAGTACGCATCTTCCTGACAATGAAAGTGTGAATTTATCTTCCTCGAAAAACTATTTAACTTAATGAAGAACAATAATTTGATCTTACCTTTGCACACAGATGTCGTGCTTTATTCCAGTTTATTTCACCATAAGGTTGTAAGTATATTTCCTCACGTAGCTTCAGAATAAGAGGACTTATTGGACCAACGAATCTCTTCCCGTAAAGATAAGACATTGGCATGTAAACCAACCTCGTGTAACACCACATTTTCGCTGCACATTTTTCATTAAACTATATATGTCAAAAAACCAAATTCCACAAGTGGAAAAAGGTGATTTATACGGATTGACATAGCTCTGTTTATATTCAGAGAGCAAGAATGTGACAAGGTAACTACGATATTCTAGAGTTAATGTATACCATATTCTAGAGGTGATATAGTATTATCAAAGGATGAATGATATAGACTTTCAATATATTATCGGACGCAATTTTAATATATCTCTAAACCTGGATGTATAGGAAGACAGGAAGGTAAGATCCAAAACTCTGGAGGCATGGGGTTGCTTCCTGACCAATCATACACACCGAGTATCTACAAACGTTTCAACCAAATTTCTTTTTTAAATATCTTCTTTTGCATATCGAACTAAAAAAAAAACCATTAGGATATATATATACTCACCGAAAGCCATGTTTTTCCCCAAGAAGGTATGTATGTTGCACCACCATGGCCAAGAATCCATTTCCTGGCACGTTTGCACACGTTTTGAGGTCCTCCATTTGGACCTTCTCCAAGTATACGCATGCATATGTAGTTTAGTGTGGTGCAGAACATGGTGCTGTGGCTTTCTATGTGTAATCCCCACCCACCATCTTCATTCTTCAGCAAAAACAAACACATCTCAAAAAGAGTTTATGAAGTAGCGTAAGTGGTATGTTTTGAAGATTTGCTTATGATAATAGACCTGGTGACAGTAGATATATCGAAGGATCTCTCGACGATGCTCTTTAGTGAATATCTCGTGAAGATGTCCAGTAACGAATAAACAGAATACCTGTATCCTTACCAAAAGAAGAAAAGATCAGAGAAGTTTAATATGGATGAAGGATTTCGGAAATGAACAAAATTGCCAAGAAATAGAGCATGTTGCAGTAGAATGACACGTACCAAGGGAGGAAGGAAGAACAAAGGACCAGCGTTTTCAGCAGGCCAGTGACCATCACTAGCCTGCAATGCCGATAAGAAATTGACTCCTCTCCTTAACGCATTTGTAGCTGTTTCGCTCGTTATTTTCTTGGAGTCTTCAACCTTCACCGGAGGTATAGGTTGCTCGAATTTCTTCTCTTTCAAAAACTGCATCAATCATTTCAACGGGTTAAGGACAAAACCAAACAACAGGATTCGCATACAAATTCGAAATATTATTATACAATTTTTGTAAAAGGTTAAACCATAGAAACTAAAAGATTGGATATAATATTTTTATTTGAGTTACGTACTTCTTCATATAAAATAAAATAAAAGGTTTACGCTTTTTGCCTTGTAGGGTTAGCCAAAAACTAAAAATATGGACCTAACCCATGATATCACGTTTTTTACACAGTCGCATGGTTTACATGAATGAACTATGGGGTGTTGGAACTTTCCTTATACCATCAGTGTGTGATACGCTTAGATACTCTCGTATGTTGAATTTCGATGACATGAATACATGGGCGAACATAAGCTACTTATTACTTTAACCGTGTGAATATATTGCATATAATATTATATGCAACATTTCAATATCTAAATCTTAATATGGTTTTCAAGAAATTGTTCGGTTACTCATAATATAATGTTTTTTCAGCTTCATCTTCTGTTCTTCTTGCTCAAGTTTTGATAATGACAGGGAACAAAGAAATCAGCACCGACTTCATAACTCATTTATTTCGCATTTGCAAATTCTTTTCCACGTGTTTGGTTTGCCAATCCTTACTCTTTATTTTAGAATATGGTTGACAAAAAAATAACAATAAATAAATACCTGCATACGCCATAAGAGATCGCTGCTAGC